ATTTTGTTGTTGTTTTGGTAATTTTGAATGTTATTTTGATTCAATTCATCTATTTCACCAAAAAAAAAAAAGAAAACATAAAAAAAAACATTTAAAATCAACTCAAATAACACTGTGTTATTACATAAAAATCGATATCCATCAAATAACAACGACAACCATCAAAAAAAAAGAAGTTTGAAACCTCATTCAGCACATCATTTCAAATGTTACAAATGTTATGATGATTGAATCAATTATTATCAATAATTGAAACAAGTAAATGGATCTTTCGATCACGGTTGTATCATCATAAAACATACTGGAATCATTAAAAAGTAAGAAAAAAAACATCAAAAAGTTGACCAAAATGATAAAAATCAATTAAATTCTTTTTTTTTTTTTCTTTTATACTACTCGAATTCCAAGCTCAGATGAGAGAGAGTAAATTAATGATCATAATGCTTGATACATCTTTCTAGATAAAATACCAATTGGTTGTATCATCATAAAACATACTGGAATCATTAAAAAGTAAGAAAAAAAAACATCAAAAAGTTGACCAAAATGATAAAAATCAATTAAATTCTTTTTTTTTTGTTTCTTTTATACTACTCGAATTCCAAGCTCAGATGAGTGAGAGAGAGAGAGAAAAATGTCAGTAACTCACAACTTTTCTTTTGATTCCATAATAAAAAACATTTAAGAAAAAAAAAAAAAAAAAGAGAAAAGTTAATGATCATAATGCTTGATACATACATGTTAATGGTAGAAATTCTTATTTCATAAAATAAAGTTGACCTTCAAAATATCAAACAGAAAACTATGTCGAGAATTCTATCACTTTCTCTTTCTCTCTCTCTCTCTTTCTAGAGATATCCAGAATTTGGTCGAAACAAGAATTATGTGTGTGTATTCTAGATAAAATAAATAAATAAAAAAATGTTGAATTGCGTTCCTAAATGATGTTAATAATCATTGATCTAATTATTCATCATCAACATCTATCTGATTCTTGTGTTTATCTATCTCTACATATATCTAAACATTCAACATTGACATTGGAATGTTGTTATGCAATTTGCATTTGTGTGATGAATCTGAATAGAAAAAAAAATCATGAAAAACATTCATTGTAAGAAGCAAGTTTTATCTTATTACTTCAAATCTATTATATAGACGGGCAATAATTTTTATTTTTTTTCTGGTTTCAACTTTTTTTTTTGATTTCTACAAAAGTTTTCATGTTCATTTTTCATGTAATTCTGCGGCCAAATAGAAAGATAATAAACATGGTATATATAGTAAACGAACTCGGAGATATAGAGATATATCTATTATTATCAAAAACTTTTGACCATTCAAACATACAAATAAAAACACAAACATCCAATTGTTATAATCATAATCCATGAAGATGAAAGATTAATAATGGGATCAAATTGAATCAAATCAAACAATGAATGATTGGAATCAACAACTTTTATATAGAACAACAAAAATTCCAATACAAATGCCATCTATAATGAATAAAGATTGAAAAATTTTGAAAAAAAAACTCAATTTCATTCAATCATTTTCACTAGATTTGGTAGTGTTTTTTTTTGCATTCACCATTCATAAAAAATAGGTAAAACGAACAAACGGATAAAAAAAATCAAATTACAGATCGAAGAAAAAACGACAAATCATGTGATTTTTTTTTCTTTGTTTGTTTTGATTGTCTATTGACAAATTGGTTTTTTGTGGAAAATTCTCGAAATACACACACACACACAAAGATTACGTCAAATGATGCGTTTTTATTTGTTGTTGTTGTTTAGTAGGGCAAGTTAGTCGACAACAACAAAAAAGAATGATTTCAATATTTTTTTTTCGCAAAAAAAAAAAAATCTATTTGATTACATAAGTCTTTGGTTAACATTTTGGATCAACGTTTCATGAATGTTGTTATTTTTGTTCTTGTTATTATTGTTGTTTTTGTTGTTGTTTTTGTTGTTATTGTTGTTGTTTGAAAAGTAATTTTCTTACCTGATTTTTTTTCTCTCAGTAGTAACAGCAATTACGTCATACTAGTCAAATCCTTCGTTTTTTTCTTTCCACAACAAAAGAGATTTTTTTTTTGTTGCAGTTGAAACCTGAACATGTATGAATAGTTGGTTGGTATAATGGAAAAAAAATTCTTCTTTTGCATCACATTCCATTACTAGCAAATATTCATTCATGAATAAATGTCAGAATAAAAAAAAAAATCAAATTTCATAATAATAATTGTCATTGCTGGGCACAGAAAAAAGAAAACGATAAAAAACAAAATTTTCTTATAAAAATCACAATTTTTTCAGTAAAAAATCTTTCTTTTTTCTAGTTTGTCAACAATTCCAAATGAATCGTTTGTTCATTGCTCTCAGTTTTTTTCACATTTTTATTTTCATCGCATTTGATTGACGGAAATTGATGTTGATGATGATGATGATGATGATTTTCAGAAAAAAAAGAAAATTCTCTATCTACCATCAAAATTTTGTGCGTTTCATTTTCTTTTCATTCACTCATTCATCATTTTCACTATTATTATTCAAAATAAATTTGGATTTTTGCCAATATTTTTTTTTATTGAAAATCAGAACCACACCTGTAGGTGGTGTGAATGAATGAATGAATAAGAAAAAAAAATCAATAATGAATAATCATTGCTTTATACAAGAAATAAAATATGCTTGTGTAAAGATGCAGAAACATTTTTTTCTGTTTATATAATTTGAAAGTGATATAAAAATAGCCAATTTTTTTGTTTCTAGAATCTAGATTCTAGATTGTGGAATGTGTTTCGAGAAAATTCACGTTACAATAAATTCATGAGAATGGCTATTGAAAAACAGTAATAAGATATGAAATAGCAGAACAAAACAGAAAATAAACAAAAAATATTGTCAATGTCACAATGAAAAGCACATGAAAATCAGATGTTGATATTTGCAAACAACGACAACAACAACAAAAGAAAAATTCTCAAGAAATAAAAAAAAATGATGATGATTTAATGTCCATGGCATACAATTCAACAACAACAACAACAACAACAAAAACTTTCACAATTTTCTTTTTTCGATCATGTTCTAGTGTGTGTGTGTGTGTGTGTCATTAAAATAATTTTTCTTTCGTTTTTTTTTCTATTCATCATCATCATCATCATCAGCAATGGCTGTGAATTTGTAAGGTAGAAAAAAAAATGTAAAAGTAAAAAAGGAATAAATGGAACTCTGCTGCTGAAAAAAATCAGATGCTGTAATCGTGAAGAAACAAGAATGGAGAAAAAAAAAAATTGTAACAAACAACAATAATGAAAGTGAAGCCAACTTTTCAACAACAACAGCAGCAGCAATAATGAAAATTTGAAATGATTATCCGGAATTTTTTTTTCATTTTAATTTCACAACAAAACATCTTAATTCACAAAGCCAAGTCATCAACATCATCATCATCATCATCAAGATTCTAATGAATAGTTTATAAATCCAAATCTGAATACCAATTCATTATAATGAGAATATTCTTCTATAAATAAATAGTCTAACATCTTTAACTAGCCCAATATATTCCATTTTTCTTTACCTTGATCATATATAAAAATAATTTGTCATTTGTTATTTGTGACAAAACAAAAAAAAAAGGATGTTTCGTTTGTTCAAAATCAATTATTCATATCAAACACTGTTACATCATAAAACTTTTTAATCATTTATAATCATGATGTTGTATACGTTATTTATGGATTCATTTCATTTCCTGAAATTTTCCTTATCAATGTTTCCACTGGAATAAACAACAAAAACAAAACGAAAAAAATCCAATTTGTTCAGATATCAAATATTGATGTTAAATTTTCGACTTTTTCTTGTTGTTGTTTCATCAAAAAAAAAAAAAAAAAAATCCGAATCAAGAATCAAGAATCTAATTCTATTTCCGATCAACACTGAGTAAAATGTGTTTTCACAGGAAATACACTGGAAACTTGGTAGCAATAAAAAAGAAACATTGTGTTTTTTATTTATCTGGCCACTTTATTAGGCATCCATTTAATTTGATAACGACGATAAAATCATTTTTTTTTTCTTCTATATATAGTGAGAAAACGAATAACTTCTTCTTTTTTTTTTGCAAAAGTTTTTCACTTTCAATTTGTCCTGTGGGGATTTTTTTTTTTTCAAAAATTTTTTAAAAAAAAATGAAAGACAAAAGAAAATTCCCAGAATTTGTTGAACTTTTTTCCATATCACCTGAATCATTTTTTTTTTCATTGCCCATATAAAAAGTCATTTACAGTTCAAGTGTAAAAATATCAATGATTAGTGTTGATTATCTTGATTGGACGACCACTAGAGATCATCATCTGCAGCAGCCATTGAACTTGGTCTATTGTGGTAACGAGAATTTCAATTTAGCCATTCATTTAACTATATACTATATATATACTAATGTGTGAAGAAAAAATTAAAAAAAATTTTTTTTCATTAACTTGAAAAAAAAAAACAGAAAAATTTAATAAAGCACACAAACAGCATCATCATTATTATTTCCATTTTTCATTTTAGATAACGCGTTTGTTGTTTTTTCATTCATTACATCATTTTTTTGCACAAACAAAACACGCAGAAAAATTCTTATTAAATTTTTTATTTCATTTCACTTTCTTCTTTATCCTATTTCAGCACCATCACCCATTATTTATTCAGTTGAACATCATCATGGAACCTGAATTTGTACCAAATAATGATGATGTTGACGTTGATGTTGTACATGAACATGAATAGAATGAATTTGAATTTTCAATATAATCGAAATTTTTCAATAATAAATCATGTAGAATCAATAATGATGACATAATTTGTTGTACACCATTCATCAACCATTGATATTGTTGTTTTTCAAATTGTTGTAATTGTTTACGTAAATCAATGATTTGTGGATAATGAAATATTTTCATTAGAATATTTAAACGTTCACGTGTATAATCTAACCATGTATTATCGATTATCATTGATTTTATCAATGACAAACGAATTGTTTGCAATTTTCTTAACATAACACAATGTGCACGTCTTATGTTTTGATTAGAATCCTGTATGTTTGGCCGTAATAATTCAATACCGATATATAGTTTCCATAATCGATCATCAATACGTTTGAGTATTGATCGTAATTGATTAAACAATTCATAATAGATATTGTTCATTGATAATAGCTTTTTGTTTGGCCAATAATAACAAACTGATGAATACTGATGATGATGATGAATAGGATGAGAAGAAGAATTTTTCATTTCCATCATTGAATAATATTGGATTTTATTTTCATTTTGATAAAGTTTATTCAAGCGTTTAATCACAACATTATTATTTTGAGTAGCAGTAGCAGTAGCAGTAGTTGTAGTGGTGGTGGTGGTAGTAATGTTTGCCATAAATGGAAAATTTTCATTCAATTCATTGGATAAAGTTTCTAAAAACTTATTTGATAATAATGAACATTGGTTGCTGTTGTTTGATAATTTTTCTTGGATAAAATCATTCAATTCAATAATAATTTCTGGCAACCATTGATAAACTAGTGATTCTAAATTTTTGTTGAATAAATTTCTTATAAAATTTCTCATTTCAAATCCTATCAATTTATCATGATGGCAACATGACAATGAATTTGTTTTACAGATTAAATGTTGTTGTTGTTGTTTATTACTTGGCCTAGATTTTTGTTTCAATAATAAATTCTTGTCAGCGGTAACTGATGATGATGATGATGATGATGATGATTTACAATCTTGAATTGTTGATGGATGACCAATACACTTGATAATTTCTGGTGAATTTTGTTGTTTATCAACATATTCAATATGGCTTTTATTGTCATTTTGTTTTGTTTTCCACATATTTTTTTTTTAATTTTCTCGAAGAAAAAAAAATTTTTTTTTTGCTTCTTATATAGCATTCAATTGAATTTTTTTTTTGGGGATTTTAATTCAATTTTTTTTTTTTTTTTTTTTTTTTTTTCACTCGTTCTTATGTTGAAAATCAACAATGGATTGGATTGGATTTTTATTGTCGTATTGTTGTTGTTGTTGTTGTTGTTGTTGATATTGTTATTCAAATAAACAAAAATGGCCCAGTAACACACATTTGTTGTAATTCACCAAAAAAAAACGAGGGTGAATAAATTCTGGGTGAATGGGAAAATTTTTTTTTTTGTTGGAATCAAAAAAAAATTGTCAATTTTTTTAAGTGATTTTTCAACATTTTTTTTTCTTTCTGCTCATGTTTCTTGATTTTACATGTAGAATTTTTTTTTTGGACAAACTGGCAAAAAGCAAGCTGACACACACACTGGCCATCGTCATCATCATCATCATCATGATGATGATCATGTTTGAAAATGAAAAATGATAAAAAAAAAAATTCAAATTGCACATTTCAAGGTGAAGAAAAATGAAACGAAATATCGATTTTTCATCCAAAAAAAAGGCAAACCAGCAGCCAAAAAAAAAAACAACAACAGAAACGGCAAATAGACATCCAAACAAACAAAAAAACAGAAAAAACTCAAATGCAATCAAAGTGAGCCGGAAAAAAAACGACAAGAAAAAAATATTTTATTTTCCATTATTATCAATAACACATGGGTCATATATTTTATTATATTATGTTTGAGAAGAAAATAAAAAAAAAAAAAAAATTTTTGATTTTTCTCTCTCTCTCTCTATTGCTTTCCGCATGAAATCTCAATGTTTTATGGCATTTCAAGTTTTTTTTTCTCACTATCTCTACTCTCTTTTTTTTTCGCTGGCCACGATGATAATGGACATTTGTGTGTGTGTGTGTGTATGAGTATGAGTATGTTTCGGACGTTTTTCATCTACCATTAATAAATAAAAATAAAAAAATTTCAAATTTAACCAAAAAAAAGGCTCTGAATTCTGAAATCCAAATGCGAAAATTTTCAAAAAAAAAAAAAATTTCTTTCTTCAAATAAACACACACACACACTGAATTCACCTAATATATTCGTATATACTTTATACACTGATTTCTAATATTAATGATTGAAAAATGAGAAAAATTGTTTCTTATTTTTTTTTCTTATTTATAAATCAATCAATCATTCTCTCATTCACATTCAATCGATCCATACGGATCATAATCATATTGACTGCATCATAATTTTTCTTTTTTTTGAGTCTCAAAAAAAGAAACAACAAAGGCAATCACAAGAATATATCGTTTGGGAATTTAGTCAAATAATAATAGTCGGAAACGATAGATTCACTTGAATGAATTCACTTTATTATAATTATTTTTGATTGTGGCTGTGGCAGACTTATTTCTTTTTAAAAAATGATCATCATCATGATGATGATGATGATGTATTGAACGGTCCTTGACTTTTCCATTATTGTTTCTTTTGTTTCATCATCGATAAGAAACAGAGCAAGATGATTAAAATGAAAACAACAAGAATAATAATCATTTATATATATATAAATGTACTTACAATTGACAGTCAGAATGTTGATGATGATCAAATCAAATCAAATCGGATCGTGAAACAAAACAAAAACAAAAACAAAAACAAAGCAAAGCAAAAAAACGAGGAGAACAAAACAAAAAAAATTTTTTTTTTTGCAAAATCAGTTTTTTTTGGCTATTGAATTATTTTGATTAGTACAAATTGATTTTGAACACACACACAGAAAAAAAACAGAGAGATTATATATCTGTCATTATTGTTGTTGTTGTCGTTGTTGTCGGTGTTGTTTTTTTGGTTTTTTTTTTTTGGTTGGAAATTCATTCAATTTGTTTATTCAATCGGGAATCATCTTCTTTGTTTTTTTTCTCGTTCATTTTTATTTGTCTTCTGTTTGTGTTTATTATTATTATTTTTGTTTCCTTATCCATTTGTGAACAACGCACATCTTACCACAGCAGTCAATGAACTTTTTTTTTGTTTTGTTTTTTTTTCATAAATAAAAACGTCATCCAAATGATGAGAAAATGTTATTATTATTGTTGTTGTTGTTGTTGTTGTTGTTAATGATAAGAGAAAAACAAAAGCAAAAAAAAAACATCGATTTATTCATTGATTGAATGAATCAATGACAATTTTCTATTTATTTTTGATCAATCGAAATCAATTGTTGATTGATGAAAGGATACTTGTTTTTTTTTCTTGATTCTCAGTACCATTGGATTACACAAAAAAAATTGGATGCAATTGAAAATATAAATATGAAATTTGTTTATTTTATATTTACATTTGTTTCATGGACAATGGAAACGTTTTTCATGGACAATGGTCAAGTTCAATGTTGTTTTTGTTTTTATTGTTGTTTTTTTCATTCGATCATTATTATTTCATGATGATGATGATTTTTATTTCAGCAAGAGAGAGAAAAATGGAAAAAAAACTGGAAATTTATTCAAAAATATCCGACCAATCGATGAAAATGAAATTTATTGCCGAAAGTTTTTTTAAAGAATAAAAATTCAAAATTTTTTTTTTGTTTTCGAAATATGAATCATATGTTTGTTTGTTTTAGTCTTGTTTTTCATATTTTTTAGTTTTTGTCATTATTTTTTAATGGAAACATGAACAAGTAAACAAACAAACAATGGAAAGATAATAAAAACAAATTATTCATGAAGATAATGTGATTACAAACAAACAAAAAAATTCAATGCAGTTTTTTTTTGGGTTTTTGTTTATTTGTTTATGAAAATTTTTCATTTCTGAATCTACAGCATTGAATGGAATTATGGAAATTTGATTTGAAACATTATTCTCCATTGGTCAAGTTTTACTGCAAAAAAAAAATTCTGGAAAAATACAACAACAACAACGACCAAACTCAACAAGTTTATTCAAGAATATTCTTCCATTGTTTCCGATTTTTAATTCCAAGAAAAAGTAGAGAAAAAAAAATTTCACGTTTTTTTTTCTTTTTCTTGTTTTTCTCGTTACAGTGAACACAATATATCGGAGTAATATGTTCCCAATAGAGCTATTCCATGAAATTGTTCGTTTTTTTTTGCTGTTTTTTGTTGTTGTTGTTGTTGTCGTAGTTTTTGTCGTTGTTGTTTGACCTACTATCTCGAATTTATTATACTTTAAAATTACTGTGGAATTATTCAACTTTCAATCTTTCCTATAGCGATATTTTTTTTTTTTTCGTTGTATCCAGTGAATCGAACAAAACACACGCACACACATACACACACACTACATGGATGAACAGTTGTTTTTTTTGTTGTTGTCATCCAGAGATGAAAAAGTAGAAGAGATGAAAAAAACGACAATAAAATAAAATGAAGAACCAGTGGGAAAAAAAACAAAAAACAAAAACAAAAACAAAAACAGCGAAAAAAAATGTTTTTCCGTATAATTTCATTTTGGGCAATTCATCGTCGTTGTTTATGAATGTGGAACAACAATAATAGCAATAATAACCAATATATATTCAAATTAATTGTAAACAAAACAAAAAAAAATCGACAACAATGGATTCAAAAATTCAATGAATGGATTACACCGAATTCAATATTATATATACACACACACACACACAAAGAATCCGAATCAATCCGATTCTGGAATATTCTATATTCAAATTCCATAATTTTGGTACAACTTTTTTTTCTAGTGTATTTATTCATTTGCATGATGATGGTGATGATGAAAAAAAACCAAACAAAACAAAACAAAACAAACAATAAGAATATCCAGAAATGAAGAAAAAAACAAAACAAAAACTTGCCAAAACAATAACAAAAAGAAAAAAAAGAAACAAAAAACAAAAAAAAAGTTTAAATACAGTTTATATCCATTAGCCATTATCTACATCGTCATTATTATTATTTTTTTTTTTTTTTTTCATTCATTATTATCATCACTCTTGGGATGCTGTCAAGTTACATCCAAAGACATATACACACACACACACACACACACAGACACAGATAGACAGATACATCACAAAATAATAATCATAATGATTTTTTATTACATAAAGCTGCCAGAAAATGAACACACACACACACACACACACACACAATCAACAAGAGAAAAGTTGAGTTCAAAAAACTTTTAATATTCTTATCATCATCATCATCTTCATCATAATCATTGGATGATGATGATGAAGATGTTATAAAAAAAATGATTAAAAATCATTTCCATTCATCGATTATATCCAGTTTATTTTTATTATAGTTAATTATAGAGTTATTTATTATTAATTATCATATACAATGATGATGATGATGATGATGATGATTTTATCACTTGATTATTTTATCATTTCATTATTTTTCGTTCATTGACATTTGTTTTTTTGTTGTTTGTCATTCATGAATTTTTATTTTTTTTTTTCTCTCTTCTCTTTGATGATTCTTATCGTTTCATCATTCAATGATTCATGATTCGTCATGTTATGTCGTTTGTGGTGTTGTTGTTGTTGTTGTTGTTCGGTTGTTTGGTTGTTTGGTTGTTCCAATGATTGAACATGATTTTCAATCATGAAAAAAAAATTGGTTTGAATATTCTTGTATGTTATGTGTATGTTGGTAATTTTCAGTTTTGAATTTTTTTTTCCACGATAGAATGATGATTTCTTCGTTTTTTTTTCTATTACTATCGTTTATTCACTCATTTATTGACATACATCAAAAAGAAAAAAAAATAAAATTTATAAACACTTCAAATAGCAATCAAAATAAAGAATTCGATTCTATAGAATTTAAGAATAAAAAAAAATTTTTCTACACAAAAACAGAAGAAACAGAAAGCAAACAAACAAACAAATCAAAATTTCTTAAATTCTGTAATGAGCATCATCATTATATTATATTATCAACATCATCATGAAATGAAATGGAATGGAATTTTAAATCGATGATGATTGTCAATGTTTTTTTTTTTTTTGTGTGTACGTTCACCACCATCACCATTTTGGATTGTCGTCATCATCATCATCATCAAAAAATATTCGCAGATGTTTTCTGCTGGCAGATCAGTTGTTTGTTTTGTTTTTGTTTTGCTTGAAAAAAAAACGATGCTGCAAATAAATGAAAAAAAAAAAATTTTTCATCTCATTCGTAAATGTTGTTCAAATGAATTTTCCTATAGATTCAAAGTTTTATGGGACAGAAAAATTCGAAGTAAAACAAAAATGAAAAAAATAGGTTTTTTTTCGCACGTAGAGAGGCCAGAATATTCTATTTTTGGAATGAAAATTTGTTTGTTGGCCTATTTAATATAATGATGATGATGATGATTTTTTTTGTTGTTTTTTTTCATGTTCAGAATAAATTCGAAATTTTAGATTAATGATGCGATAATTTTGAACAAAAAAAAAACATCATCCTCATATTCCACCTGTATATCGCAAAGGATATAGTGTCAAGGTTATGGAATAATTATATCCAATTTATGGACAAAAAAAATTTTTTTTCTCATTTTTTTCTTTATTTACAACAATTTTCATCATTGATTTTTAATTTTGTGTTCACGTGTGTGTGTGTGTGTGTGTGTGTGTGTGTGTGTGTGGTTTGGTTTTGAGTCTTTTAATTGTTTTTTTTTTGCTGTGTTGAGTTTGTCATATCCCTGGAAAGAATCAATTATTTTTTTTACAATATAGAATAATTTGGGTTAAATGAAAATGGAAAGAAAATTTGTGTGTGTGTGTGTGTCGTGTGTAAGATCACAGGGATTTGTGTCCCTATTTTTAGTTATATATATAAAAAACGGTTATATCCCGTTGATTTTGGGCACAGGAAAAGCAACGAAAAAAAAGAATCAAAAAAAAAGTTTGTGCAGAATGAATGAATGAATGAATTTAAATCCCAAATAAAATGAGTTTCCGAAAATAAGAAAATTTTTTCTTTCTTGGAATTTGTTTTGTTTTGTTTCGTTTTTGTAATAGTTTGTATACAAAGTCACAAAGTAACAACAATAAATTCATTGTGAATGTGAATGATTATTTAAACCCATCCATTTGATCCAGGATGTTTTAAATGTTGTTGTTGTTGTTTATTTGTTGTTGTCGCCGTTGATGATGATGATGATTGTTGTTGTTGTTGTTGTTGTTGTGATGTTTGAAGATTTGATTCGAATTTATTATTATCATTTGTAATTTGGTCCATCGTATCTGATTCACGTGATTCTCGAGATCGATTTGTTGCTGTTGTTGTGGATGTTAAACCACCACCACCACCACCACCACTACTATATCTATCATCATTTCGTAATGATCTTATTGTATTTGTAGCTGAATTTATATTTTGATGATGATGGTGATGACTATGATGACTTGACGATGGAATAGCTGCTGCCGCCGCCATCTGTTGATCAAATAATAAAAGATGATCTAAATCATCTAAATGTCCATGAAAACTATTGGAATGATGTAGACGATGTTGTTGTTGTTGTTGTTGCGATTGTTGTGATAATGATGAATCATTGGCTACCGTGGTTTGATGATGATGTTGATGGAAATTATCTGAATTTCTGGAGGAATAATAAATAGAATCCGATTCATGTCCGTTAGATGAATGTTCCAATGAATAACCAAAATGACTAATGGATGTTAATGATGGTAATGTTGCCAATGGTTCATAAATATCGGTTGTATGTCGTCGAAATGATGATGCAGATGAATGATGTGTATGATGATTATGTTGTTGTTGATGATGACCAGAAGACGAATGATAAATTGATTCAGCTGTTAATAAATTATTGGCAGTTTGATTACCACGTGTATTTGTTGTTGGCAAACTAAATGCTTGTGTATCCAATAATTGTGGATGTGATGAATGATGTTGCCGCGTTGATGATAATGATTGTTGTTGATGCGTTGTTGTTGAATGATGAAAATGATGATCATTATTGTTGTTGTTGCTATTTGAAATGGCATGATTATGTAATGTTGATGGAAAATAATGTTGATAATGTCGATTTGTTGATCCATTCTTATTCCGTTGTACAGTTCCATAATGTTGTTGTGAAAATTTATTTGATGAATTTGAATTTGATGATGATGTTGTACCATGATTATTGTTTGATGATGATGATGATGATGGATAATAATAAAAATGATGTAGATTTGAATTTGAATTTGATTTTGTTTGTTGTTGATTTGTCATTGTAGTAGTGGTAGTAGTACCATAATTATTAGTAGATGTATCTTTAGATGAAGAATATAATCTTCTTGTGGTTGTTGGTACATATGGATCAATAGCATTTGTATTATTCTGTGATGGTGTTGCCGATGTTGACGATGATGATGATGACAAGGAATTTTTCGTTTGATTTAATCCACTTGTTGTTGTACCCAAAAGACTTGGATGAGTTGCCATTGAAGGTAATGGTGGTGGTTTATTACCCGAACTAATTTGTTGTTGAGTATTAGCAGTGGCCGATGCAGTAGCAGAAGCTACAGTTTGATTCGGATATGGTAAATAATCATAAATAGTAGATGGTTGATAATAACTAATAGCCGATGGTGTAGGATAATTTCTTATATTTCCTCCCGTATAACCATAATAACTACGACCATAAGTTGGTTCATAAGTTGCGGCTGCTGCTACAGCTCCAGTGGTTGTTCCATAATGTGGATGATTATGATGACCAACAATAGCCAAACCACCACCACCACCACCAGCAGCAGCAGCAGCTGTATCATAATAAGATTGATGATGTGCTTGAACTTGTGCTTGTGATGGTATCAATGATTGCGATGGATAACCAAACATTGTCGCCGATGGATGATATAATGATGGTATTGAATGATGATGATGACTATTTGATTGATTTTGATGATGAAGATGATTATGATGTCCACCGGTTGTTGTATATCCATAAATGGAATTTATGACAGCATTATTATTATGACCAACGGTATTTGTAGCAGAGAATGGATGATGATATAATGCTGAATTTTGTTGTTGTTTACTATTTGTTGACGGAAAATATAAAGCATGTGATGGTGTTTTTGATGTTTGTCCAATTTTGTTGCTACCACCACCATTATTTGTTCCATAAAGATTTGATTGTTGTTGATGATGGCCATGATGTTTTGATGAATCAAATTGATGATAATTTGATTTAGCATTTGATGATGATCCAATCGAATCAAGATTATATGTATTTTGTTGCATTGATTGATTATTAGATGATGAACATAATGATGAATAAGTTGATTCAACATTTGAATTCACAGCAACAGCAGCTGAACAATAAGATTTACCATGACTATAAGAATCCATTATTAATGATGATGATTGTGAATCAATCGAATTACGTTGTTGTATTGCACTATTTAAATTTTTATTATTATGGATTGATGGACTTGCATTGATTTGATTCACATTTGTTTGATTAGATGCTGTCGATGTTGGTGTCGTTGTTGTTGTTGTTGTTGTTGTTGATGTTAATGTTTTTGTTGATGATAAAGTACTTGAATTTGTTATATTTGATGATGAAACATTTCCACCAGAATTGGAACCTGGTGTATTTGTCACAGAATTAGCAGTAGTATTAGAATTTGTAGATTTAATTGATGATTGAAGATGAATAGCTTGAGATGATGTTGTCGCTACTGTTGTTGAATTGGTTCCAATGGATGATGATTCTGATGTCGTATTATTATTATTATTATTGCAATTCTGTTGTTGTTGTGCTTGTTGTTGTTGTTGTTGTTGAGCTTGTTGTGCAGCGGCAGCTTGTTGTTGTTCTTGTTGATGTTTAGCAACTGCTTCTAATGCAACTTCCATAATATCAGTTTTAGTTAATCGAAGTGAACGTCGTGAATTGAATACTTTATATGCCATTAACTAAATTATGAATTTGAAAGAAAACAACAACAAAAAAACATTACAATCAAAAAAATGAACAGAAAAAAAATGCATTGGTTACCAATATAAGAACAGTGATTAGAATCAATACGGCAACATAGAACCATTGTTCATTGAACCAACGTTTCAATGATGCCATCGATTCATTTGATAATAATAAACGACGTAATGTTGCCAATGGGCTGGATGGATCAACTTCACGACAACGTTGATTTACATCACAATAACCATTATAATTATCACATGGTGTACCAGGTTTAGCATAAAGATCCGGTACATCATATGGACTTGTATTCCATTCAAATGAAGATCTTGTTGATGAAAAAGAAAAAAAATAAAAATCATCAGAATTTTAATTTTTTTTTCAAAAACAAAAACATACTTGCAAGTACTATCATCAGAAGGCATACGACAACATAATTCACAAAGTTTTGCTGGTGAATCATTTGGACCTTGTTTACATTGACAAGATTCAAGACCATATGCCATACATATTGAACCAGTACATTCCTATGAGGGGAATCAAAATGAAAGAAAAAAATGAAAATAAACAGCAAAAAAAAAAAATTCCCATACCCCCATATAGCAAACATATTCTTCATTACAGATTGTTTTATTTGCTTTATTTGTTGATGGTGGACATTGTGGACCTTGACCAGTGGATATTTCGAAACGGAAAAAAAATAATAAAAACATCCAGATAGCAGTTAAGGAGAAATAATTTTTAAAAAATCATCATTTGTTTCATCAAATAATTGTGTATGAAAAGGATATTTGCAATAGCTTGCTGTACGGCAGCCATTATCATCACGGCATTTATTGCCAACTTTTAATTTACAATCCTGTGTACAGCATGGACCTTGGCTTGGGCTACAAATCACATTTGGACGTAATCTATGTGAAAATGAATGAAAATCAATCAATACTATATTGATTGGATAATAATAAGTATAATGGGTAAAGAATACTTACCGACATGGTGGCTCATCTGGTGGTGAATTGGCACGCATTGGAAAACAACATGGTTCTTTACAATCTTCTTCCCAGCCACAATCACATTCTTCACCATCTTCAACAACTTCATTACCGCATATTGCATCTTGTGGTTCTAAATGAAAACAAAAAAAAAAAAAAGATGAAAAAATAACAAGAAGAAAAATTAACTGTCAAGTTTGAATTTTCATTTTTGTTTGTTTGTTTGTTTGTTTGTTTCAAGTTTAAACATTAAAAATTTCGACAATGAAAACAAAAAAAAACTATGAAAACACACACAAACAAACACCACATAAGACTATGAGTGAGATTGATCATCACATCTAACCATCATCGTAGAATATAAAAACCAGCATCGTTTGAAATGATGAAAACATTTTTATTTTGATTTTACAATTTTTGTGTCGACATATTTTACAACTTTGAATTCGTTTTTTTTTGTTTTGTTTCTAGCCATTTGATTCTTCATTTCATCGTATATCATCATCATAAATTCATTCGTATTTCAAGCGAAAACAACAGCAAAACAAAAAAAAAAAAAATGATCATCATCTTGTTTCCAATGGCAGTGGTAATGATTATTCTGGCATCAGTATTGGATACAATTGTTTGTTTACCAATTTCAAGCCAAAACAATGATTCTAACGGATCTTTCGAAATGTTTTCAAATTCATTGTCAAAACGTATTGAAAATTTATCTGTGAATAAGACAAATACCACAAATGAACTACCACTATTACCATTACCGCCAACAAATGTATCCAGATTGGAAATGACTCCCGATGTTAATCATGCATTGACCATCGATCATCAAAATATTGTCATCAATCTTGGCCAATCATTATCTTCTGGTATCACTAATGCTATTGTTCGTCCATTAACATTTTTCAATAATCTAATCGGATCGGCTGCCGGATCTTTGCCCGGATTGTTTGCTGCCAATGGTGCTGGTTAGTGCTAGATATTTTTTTTTGTTTTGTTTCATTTCATGTTCATCATCATCATCATGCCAGAAAACAATCAGAATCTAGAACGAATCTAGAACAAATGAATTTTTTTAGTTCTCTGTTTTTTTCCAAATGGCTGATCACTTAATCGTTTTTTTTATTTTGTTTTTTCATTTAATTTTTTTCTCTTTCTTTCTTTCTCTCTCTTTTGCTTTTTCAGCTCTTGGCACTGCAATCGCTACACCAATTCAACTTGGCACTTTGGCTGCAAATGCTGCCATTTCAGGCATTACTGGTACAGTTGTTTCCATTCCAATATCGTTAGCTTCGGGTGGTGCAGCACAATTAGTCGGTCTTATTGGTACTGGACGACAATTATGGCATAGTACATTGGGTTCTGATCCAAATAATTCAACATTCTGGCAAAATGGTCAATTATGGCTACAACCATTGGCCGTTGTTACCGGTACTAATTCAATACTAGCTGGTGTTGGTTTGAATGCATTGAGTCAAGGTGTTAAAAATTTAGGCTGGAGTATTGAACGTTTTGGTGTATCGTTAAGTAATACCGGTAAAAATGCTAAACAATTTGGTTCAGTATTGATTGGTTGGGCTAATGGTAAACCATTGTATGCATCCATTATTAATGAAACCGATTCATTAAAGAATTCATCATCGATTGTCGAAGAAATCAATCAACAACAACAGCCAATGGATACAATCACTAAAATTGATCTTGACAAAATGATTCCATTGAATTTAGAATCAGAATCGATGATTGAAACAACGACAACCACGATGGTTGAAATTGAAAATTCACAAACTCAATCGAAAAATGCTGATGATGATGATGATCAAATAGCTGAAAATTCAATTCATAATGAAAAAACTACTAACGAAATTACAAATCAACCAAAAGAAATGTGATCATTTAAAACTATCAATTATTTCGACACTTTAATTTATTTTTCATTTTCATCATTTTAGTCAAACACATACACACACACACACTTGTTCTCTCTTTTGTTGTTATTGTTTTTGTATCACCGAATTTGCATAAAAAAAATCGACTAAAATTAAAATAAAAAAATAAAAATAAAAGTAAAAATAAAATTGAAAAACAAAATCGACAAGCAATCGTCTTCACATACACTTCGCATTCATATTTGAATCATCGACTTTTTTTTCAAAATTCAAATTCAATTTTTATAAAACTGTCAAAGTCATCGAAACACACACACAGAGAGAGAAAAGAGCAGTTTTTTTTTGCTAATACTTGTCAGTATCGCGACAATTGTCAAGTAGCAAAAAAATAAAAAAGTCAAGTTTGTTTTCACATTTTGCTGGAAAAAAAGTGAGATATAATCGAATTTCATCAAAATAAGATCAAGTTTGTTTTTGAATGAAAAAATTTTTTTTTATGAAAACATCAAAATTGTCACACAATCAAACTTTATCGTTTTTTTTCTCAAGAATCTGATGATCTTGAATGACAGTTTTACATACACACACACATTGTATTCTGTTGTATTCTGATAAATTCATCTTTTTTGTTGTTGTTGTTGTTGAATGGAAAGAAAAACTTTCCAGAAACCAATTAGAAAAGTGAGAAAAATTCTCATTTTCTATATTTACAAATTGAAATTTGTATTCCATTTTTTGGTCTGATGATGATTCTGTGTGATTCCGTTCTTTTTTCATTTTCTTTTCGTTTCTCATCAATAATAATGATATAATGATAAAAATAAATGTTGTGCACATCATTATCAAAGTTCTGGTATATACTACTATATCCAAAAACACACACACACACACAGTAGAAACCGGAAAGAGAAACAAAAAAAAAAGCTTTTATATGGCAAAAAAAATATATTAATTATAGGAAGACAAACAACACTGACCACAGCAAAAATTTTATATTATTTGATGTGGCAAAAAACACTCAAATACACACACACAGCGGGAAAAAATTAATAGATTCATCTTGTATTTTTTTTTCACTAATTTGTTTGTTTGTTTGCCAATAATGGCGCTGATTATTATGATGAATACAAGAAAACAGCAGCAATTTTCATCATAGTCATCATTTCGTTTTTATTTGTTTGTTTGTTTGTTTTGGACCAAAAACATCATCTGTGGCTCTTGTGTTATTGTAACGAGAAAACAATCTATGGACTGGATACAGTTTTCAATTTTTGAAAACAAAACAAAACAGAAAAAAAATCATAATCATTCAATGTAAGATTAAAGGTCACAGTGAAAAACTCTCATTGCTTTTTTTGTCCATCGATAGTTGTTGTTTAATAATGATTGGGACTTGAAATAATTGAATATATCTCATTGTTCCGATATCGTCGTCGTCGTCGTCATCGTCGTCGTAGTTGTTTGTTGTAGATCGGTTTTGGCCTTTTTTTTTGTTTTCCCATTTTTTTTCTTCATCACGACCGGCATACTAAACAATAGAATTTTCTTTTCTTTTTATTTTTTTTCTCCATTCTTTTTTTTTTTTTTTTTTTTTTGATTATATTGAATTCGTGTTAATGGAATTAAAGTGAATGATGATGATGATTCAGTGTGAAAGAAATGAGAAAAAAAGTATAATTTTCGATTTTCTTAAAGTTTTTTTTTCATCCTTTCTCTCTCTCTTTTTATTCAATGAAATGGTCTCTTTTTTTTTCTTTTCTTGGATTTTTTTTTAAACAAAGTTTCATATAAATGAAACAACAACGACATCAGCTGCAGCAGCAGCAGCAGCAGTACACAAAACAGTCTTTTAACCAGAAAAAAATATATATAGGCCAAAACAAAGGACCGATTCGTTTTTTTTTTTTTTTTTTTTTTTGGTCTCAAATCTTGATATTTTTGTTGTTCAGACATACATAGAAATGGAAGACTATAGTGTAATAGTCACAATTGTAAAAGTGTGATTTGACTGGTAATGTATAGGCAAAGAAAAAAAAAAAGAATAAAGATGACGACGTTGAAAAAGAATTTCTTTAACAAAACAAAACAAAAAAGAAAAAAAAACAGTGAGATAAAGAATCCAAGAAAAAAAAGACAAACAAAAAGAAAACAAATCATATACAGTGATGAAAACAATGACAAACAAACAAACAAAAAACACACAGACAAACATCAAACCTAGCTATTCTATGAATGAAGATGATGAAGCTAGACAAGATTCTAAGATGAAATATTCCTGATATGAAAAAAAAAAAACCGAAAGAGCAAAAAAAACAAGACAAAAAAAAGAAATCGATTTATGGTTAAATCACAGATCTGATGGTCGATATCAATGTGTGTGTGTGTGTGTGTTGTGTTGAAAAAACAACCAAAATATATTTTTGGGTATATTATTATTGGTCTCTATGTTTGTCCAAACTTTATAATCAAAATCAATAAAATGATGATTGAAATGAATTGGAATCTTTTTCATTGTAGTTTCGAATCGAAAAAAAGACTAAAAGGTTTCATCTAGTCACATCAAAGTTGTGATGACAAACTTTTCACTCGTCTTCTCTCTCTCTCTCTCTCTCTCTCTCTCTTTTCTTCATAATGTCGATATATAATTCTATCTTTTAAATGTCAAAAAAGAAAAGAAAAATCGATTCACTTCGATACTCACCTTGAAAACATCCTTTTAAACTTTTGGCTTTTGTATTCAATACAGCATTGATACTACGTAATGAACATGGTGAAAATTTATTATTATTACGTTTATCACCGGATGTAGCTCTTGCAAACATTATATAGTTGCCATTTTCACCGCCCGGTGTACATGCATGATCATCTTCAGGATCGTGCTAGAGGATATAGACAAAAAATCATTATTAATTCTCAATAAATCAATCAATTAATAATTACCGGTGATCCAAAATTATGACCAATCTCATGAGCCAATGTAACATGCGATACAATGGGAGGCACATGTTTGCCATAATTGAGCAATGTAACGATGCCTGTATTTAAGCTCTTTAGGCTACCACGATAATGCTGATAGATTTGAATAAATGAAATGTAAAAAAATAAATCAATTAGCTGACTAAAAAAAACTTACCCCATTCTTTTCACAAACACCACCGGCATTTTTAAGATCACCGGTCCATGCAAGTCCTAATGTTCCACCTTCAAAATCTCTATAGGTAAACATATAGGCAAGACAGAATGCATCGTAATCTTCTTCAGAAAAAAGCTCGAGAAATTTTTCCACACCATAAGTGGACGGATAACGATATTCAGGATCTTTTAATGCTTCCATTGTATGTACTTTGATACGTTTAATCAAGAATGAAATATTATCTGGACGACCATCTTGATCAAAATCTATCGAAATCAAATTCGTAAATTAATATCCTAAATAAGCACACTTGTCCAAAAAAAAACTTACCAGTATTTTTATAGATATTATTAACTTTTTGTACATGACGTGTCATTGATTCAATACATGCTTCTTCGCTGCCCATTTTTTCATAGAACAAATGATCAGCTTGCAGATATAGCATACAAGTTGTTTTTTTCGGATCCACAACAACATGACGATCATGATGTCGTTGGTCATCGATCCAATGGGTACGTGGATGCACTGCTTTTATACCGTATGGTTCTGATTCCGTATAATGTAATGAATCCATATCACGCCAATAAATACCATGATTACTACTACTACTACTACCACTTTGTTGTTGTTTTTGTTTCAATTGTCGTGGCTGTTGCTGTTTATCACCACCACCACCATGATGATCATCATCGATTAATCTTGCATTATTATCATTTCTTGCCGTACTGCTACTGGTAATTGTTTCCAAAATTGTTGTTTCATTATCATCCATTAAACTGGAACTTTTATTATTGCCATTCATTGACATAATATGAGCTTTTGAAATATTTGTAGAACGTCGTTGTCTTCGTTTCATTTTTGTTTGATCTACTAAAGCATCATCATGATATGAATCAAAATTATTTTGATGGAATGAAGAAAGCCAATTACCACCACCACCAACAGTAGCGGCAGTTGTTGTTGTTTGGAATGGATTAAACAATGGAATATAATGTACAAAGAATGATGCTGTTGTTGATGTTGTTCCATCATTGGCAAAAAAATTATGATGATCATTATTAGCCATTGTTGCAGCACCGTGTGTTGCATTCAATGGAAAATTTACATCACCACTAATATAGATAACTGAATGAAAATCATAATTTCCAAAATTGAGATCAAAATAACGTTCAGCTGGTTCAATATAGAATTCTTCATATTTCGTTTGCAAATGACCATCCAATAGACCATTTTTAGTAATAATACCAACAAACGTTGAATCTTCATCATCTTCAAGATGACCAATTATAACATTTGTCATATCATATGTGAATCGTTCATTACCAGTGGATTCAATCATAATATCTTGAGCAAAAACAGTTTCACTTTGACTTTTTAATAATAATTGAAATTTACGATTATGAGCCGAAAATTCTAAACGAATATGATGATGATGATCATCATCATCATCATGAAATCTTCATCATCAATATCCTTAATGTAATGATGATCGAATGAAGAAGAATGTTCTTGTTGATCATTATCATCGACAATAAAATCAAAATCATCATCATGTTCATATAATGGTAATGGACAATTATGACGAAAAAAGGCAATAGTCGTAAGATTCATTATTGTATTTGTAACGGTTGTTGTAGTTAATGATGGTATCATTGTTGATGATATTTTTGTTGCTGTTGTTGATGTAAAATTCATTAAATCACGTTGTATTTGTTGTTGTTGTTGTTGATTACTAATTGCAATATTATTATTATTATTATTACTAATATCGACACTGGAATTCATTATCACAGGTACCGATGTAGTAGTATTATTTGCAGTTTTAGTTGTAGTTGGACTGGTTCCAATTGTTCCAACATCATCATCATCACCATTATCATCATGTGCCATATTCATTTTCTTTGTCATACGATCATCATCTTTTTGTTTACGTTCATTTATATTTCGTTTTAATCTTGTATATTGATGTAATAATCTATGACGATCATAATATAATGGCTCAAAATGTGGTATAAAAGTATTTAATTTTAAACCTAACAAAATAAAAAATTATTCAAAAGAAAACAAAAATTTGAATACAAAACAAAACAAAACAAAAAGAAAAAATTAATAATTTTTTTGTTTCATTCAAGATTATTATTCTGGTAATCATTATACTTACCTAAAACATTGTTATTATCACCATCACCACCTGCAGTAGCAGCAGAATTTTTTATAGCTAAAACTGGATTAAATATTGGAAAATAAGGCGACGATATGATGATCATCATTTGAAAATAAAACAATATGGTCCATGTAATTAATGATGATGTCGATGATGATGATGATGATGATGTGGATGATGAAAATTTTTTCCAATGGCCATCATTATCATTGGCCATTGTTTTGGCCACTGTTTCATTATTATTGTATTTATGAATTGGTCGATTTTTTCGTCGATGATGATGATGATGATGATGAGTATATAACCATGATAATATTGATTTTATTGGCCCCAATAAAAATTTAGCAATTTTTATTATCGATAATCCATAATCGAATGTTTGTTGTTGGATGGCAGTCAAAAGAATTCGAATGATTGTGGCAAATGTGATGGTCGTTGTTGTCGATGTCGATATAGTTTCTGTTGTTGCTGTTGTTGTTGTTGTTGTTGGTCCATCCAAATCAACATTTTGATTTTGGCTTTGTTTATGTCGCATATTTAAAAAATTCATTCAATTGAATTTTTGATGAATCAAAATGATGATGATCCCCAAGATATAATAATGAAAAAATGATGAAAATTTGAATAATAAAAAAATCTCAACAACGAAAATTCACCGGGTTAATTATATAAATATCCACATTGTTATTTTGAAAAGCTGAAAAACTTGAAATTTTCATTGATTTTTTTTTCGTTTGAATGAATACGATACGGACGCTGAATTAAATTTCATTCATATAACTTGTTATGATGAATTGGCCATTCGTGCAGTGAAAGACAAGAGAAATGAAATGTTGGAAGAAAATTTTTCCATTTCTTTTTTTTTTTTTTTGGTGTACCGAAAAACGATTATTTAATTATTCACTGGAAATGGTCGATTTTATTGTCGTCGTTCTGTAATGACAAATGAATTTGGTGATTCTGGAATTCATCAGAAACAGAAACAACGGTTCAAAAACTGGAAACATTCAATTGAACAATGTATTAAGTGCAAAGTCCATGAAATCATTTAGTGCCGAATGGATTCTCTATCTGATCATTCGATTCATCAAAAGATGATGGAATTTAATTTTTTCAAGAAAAAAAATCACATTATGATGGACAGTGAAACGACAATGATCATTGGAATAACACGCACAAACAAACCACCACCACCAATCGCAACACAAATGAATTGTTTTGTTTTCGTAAATATTCTGTTGATGATTATATCATCATCATCATCATTGGTGGTGAACGATATGCGACGAAAATGAATCCGTCATTTCCGTATTCAAAAGAGAATAATTTTCACAGAACACACACACATACGGGCAATTTATAAATTTTTTTTTCAATAAAAAGTGAGAATTCTATATTTTTCATCACCAAAATCATTTCTTTTTCATAGTTTGTTGTTGTTGAAAAAAAAATTCGTTTGTCGATTCATTCAATTTCTTAAACAACAACAACAACAACAATAACAATAACAAAAAATGAAAGAAAGAATTGGCTGATTAGAATTTTGGTTGGGTTTGTTGTTTTTTTTTCTCGTTCACTTTTTCTTCGTTGAGTTGGCTCATTGCCTATGGCTGGATTGTGCTAGCTGATTGACTGGCTGGTTGGCTGGCTGTTATTGTCGTCTATTCTAATTCTTGAGAAAAGAAATAAAAAAAAAATTCGTCATTCTTGCTTGTTTCGCCCCGGATGATGTCGATGTTATTGCTGATATTGGGTGCTATTTTCGAAAGTTTTTTTTTCTCTTTTTCTTGAACATCATCATCATCATCATCATCATTGAGTTGCTGTTGCTTGATTCTTTCTATACAGAATTTAGGGTTGTTCACAAAAAAAATGAAGACGATACGACGACCAACAACATACACACACACACACACACAAACACACAGAATATAGAATCGAGGAAAACTTTCGAAAAAAAGAATTTTACTTTACAGACAAATAGGGAAAAAAACTCAATCATATCACTATATACATGGACATGTTTCCTTTTATTTATGATGATGATGATGATACTGATAAAATATATTCTTGCAGTAGTAGTAATAGTAGTAGTAGTGGTAGTGGTTGGTCCGAAATTCTGTAAGTTATTTGGGAAAAAAAATCGATATTTCGGTCATATATGAAAAAACAAACCGAATCGTTGAAGAAATGAATAAACGGGTGCGGATTTTTTTTTTCGGGTAAAGATGTTTTTCATATATATATGATGACGGAGAATACAACCAATACAAACAAACAAACAAATACTATTCTGCATGAGCATCCATTATATATAGAATGTGTGTACCCTAAATGGATGGAAAGTAAGCAAAAAGGGAAAAGTTTCGGAAAACTCTTTTTTTTTCTTCATGGCTCTTCTTACCACCAGTATTTTGTTGTTGTTGTTGTTGTTGTTGTTGTTGTTGATGATGATGTTACCGACAATTTTTTTTCTGCTATATATCATTAGTGATGATGGAAGCCAACAACGGCATTCTATATATGTAACAAATAAATGCATGAATCACATTGATATGTGGTATTATATGGTTATAAAACGGAAAGAGAAAATTTTTACTAATAAACGTAATACCAACATCATTCGGTCATCACATTTTTACGTTTAGTGGACAAAAATTTCCATTACAATGTTGTTGAAGGTTTTGAAATTGAAAACCGAGCTATTGAAAGGAAACAAAAAAAAAAAAAAAAAAATTAACATTCAGAAGTAGTAGTAGTAGCAATAGTAGTAGTAGTAGTAGTATTAGTAGTGGTAGTGGTTCGATCCAGAATCGATCCAACAAAAAAATTCTTTTTCATTCTTACACAGAATCTTTTTAGAAATTTGCAGAACAGAATTTTTTTTTCGCCTTGAACGACAAAAGGCAAAAAATAAACGGCAGACGATCAAGCAGATTCTATATGCATGGTGATGGTGATGGGGGATTTATAGGAAATTCGATTCTGGTTACACAGCAACAACATCAACAACAGAATATAGGAAAAAGAAATGATTTTCTTCTATTTTGCAATCTAACGCTATGACGCTATTTATATGATGACGATATTCACCCAGTGTTTTTGTGTGTGTGTGTGTGTGTGTGTGTTCAAATTCAGCCTTGACTAAGACAGTATAACCTTCACTATAGATAGAAAAAAAAAAAAACGTTCCCAAACCAGAACAAGAATGAATGAAAGAATTTAAAAAAAATACGAAAGAGTAGGTCTGTAGTGTGTGTGTTATTACAAATGCTGTTGTTGTTGTTTCATTTTGATCCATAAAGAATCCAAAAACACATACACACACACACACACAAACATTTTGCATTGGGAGGAAAATTTTTTTTGGCTGGCAAATTTCCGTATTTGACATGTATAAATGAAAAAAAAAATGTAGACAGATAGATTCAGGATATATAGAAAAAATTATTCTCATCATTCTCTTATGGATTCAAAATACAGAATTCAACAACAAACATACATATATATAGGAAATGAAAATGTTCCATTTCTCTCAACATACACACACACACCAATATGCATGTATAATGCGAATAAATGTCTTACATAACACAAGTACACAAACACACAGCCATACAGAATTTCTTTTCAGTAATTTTCTTTCAAGTGAAGAAAAAAAAAGTTCATCATCATCATCATCATCATGGCCAAATATATAGATTAATTAATGTCTTTCATTCTTGGATGATGATGGTGTTTTTTGTTGGTTTGTTTTTGGATGAAAGTTCAATTCAAAGAATCAAGATGATGATGAAGAATTGCTCTTTGATGCGTGTGTGCTTTCAACAAACAACAACACTTCTTTAGATCAAAAACGCTTCTTTTCACACACACACAAATAAACTTTACCATAAGACCAAGTTTATATTCATTTTCAGTTGTAGTAAATATTTTGATGATGATGATGATGATGATGATGATGACCATGGGTGTATTAGTTTTTGCGTGTGCTATAGCATAAAGTGTCAAGTTTTTTTTTATACTGTCTTCTGTCTTGAAGACAGTATACACAGATGTGACATTTTTTTTTTTGTTTGTTTTTGTTTCAAGATTTGAGATTTTTTTCTGCTTTTGCTAAAGACAACTAAAAACAACAAGAAAAAGGAAAAAATCTCAGGAATTTTTTTTGCCAAAAAATTTTTCCTAGAATATATCTCTAGATCATCATCTGGATATATATTAACATAAAATTCGAATCTTTTGTTGTTTGATGGCAACCATTTGATGATTGATTCTCGTTATTCATTCTCATTCATTCATTCATTCGTTTTGCCATTAATTGATTGAATGATTAATTGAATTTTGATTCGATCGCGATAGTGATTGATTGATTGAAAGTATATATATTGATTTTATTTTCTGATCATGTGATTGGAATTTTGATTATCATCATCATCATCATCATCATTGAATTCTGTTAGGAAAAATTATTCACAAATATTATACATACACCGGCGCACATTATTTGAATTGAAAGTTCATTTTCAGACGAGGAAATTCATTCATTCATTCATTCATTTTTTTGCCATTGTATAAACACCAGCCAAATAAATCGACAATTCTTGTATATTACCGATTTTATTATGATTTTTTTTTCGTTGTAAAAATCATCATCATCATCATCATCATCATCAGTCATCCATTCTATTGTGTGTGTGTGAGTGTATGTTCAATATGGAAAAAAAGCGAATTCTTTTCAAACATGAAAAATAATCAGAAGAAAAAAAAAGTTCAATCAATTCATTCAAAGGAAAATAACTACACACACACACACACACACACAGAGAATATTTTGAAAGTTTTTCTTTTCTCTATTACAATTTTCGTAGATTGATTGATTGAAAGTATATATATTGATTTTATTTTCTGATCATGTGATTGGAATTTTGATTATCATCATCATCATCATCATTGAATTCTGTTTGAGGAAAATTATTCACAAATATTATACATACACCGGCGCACATTATTTGAATTGAAAGTTCATTTTCAGACGAGGAAATTCATTCATTCATTCATTCATTCATTTTTGCCATTGTATAAACACCAGCCAAATAAATCGACAATTCTTGTATATTACCGATTTTATTATGATTTTTTTTTCGTTGTAAAAATCATCATCATCATCAGTCATCCATTCTATTGTGTGTGTGTTCAATATGGAAAAAAAGTGAATTCTTTTCAAACATGAAAAATAATCAGAAGAAAAAAAAAGTTCAATCAATTCATTCAAAGGAAAATAACTACACACACACACACACACACACAGAGAATATTTTGAAAGTTTTTCTTTTCTCTATTACAATTTTCGTAATCGATTTTTTCTCTGTTTCAGAAGAAAAAATTCCATGTTTCTGGTGGTAATCGTATAGTTTACCGGGTGTTTTAACCACTTTTCTATTACCATCATCATCATCATCATCATCATCATCGGGTGATTGATGAACATTTAATCATTCACACTCAACATATTGTCCAGTTGAGTTGTGAAAACATTTTACACGAAACAAACAAAATGAATCATTTTAATTTCATTTTTTTTTTTTTTTCATTTAAATTCTCTTTCCATTCTCATTGGCAAAAGAAGTAGATATGTTTATTATTATTTATTCATTCATTGAGATTCAGTTTTATAAAAAAAAAATCAACAGACTTGTATTTCCAGATTATTGGCACGTATAAAACTTCCGGTACAATGTAATATACTATGCCAGAAACTTTCAAATGTATGCAGACTGCTTACATTATGTGCACTATGTGTTGGGCTTTGTCGATTTAATTCCACTTGAAATTGTTTATCATCGATGGTTGGTTTTCCTCGTACGATTATTTCGATTCGATGAAAATCACATAAACTATATATATATTTGTTCAATTAGAGACATTTATTTAGAGAGAAAAAAAAATTATTCAAACAAAAATACCTTGTATCGGAAATTAATTTCCCAATTGTATGATCGAAACCAACACCCAATAATGCAGCTGTAGCAACCGTATTGGAATTATTTGGTGCAATATGACATAATTCACGAGCTGGACCTTCATATAAAACTATCGATCGTGGTGGTGGTGGTGAAGCATTGTTATTATCATTATTATTATTGTTCAACGAATCCTGTTTTATTAATTCATCATTCAATTCACGAAGTTTAGCATCCTGTAATCGTAATGAACGTGGATGGAATCCCATCCTTATCTCTACAGTCTATCACAGGGAATCATATAAAACAAAAAAAAACGAAAAAGAAATTAGTCAATCGACCGATAGCAATTACACAAACATACCTGAAGACGATTACGTCTGGCCATCATTTGAATGTCATTTGCACCCCATAATGCACCACGTGCTACAAACATACGATGATGACATGTGGCCAATTTATCTGTCAATTTTTGTGAAAATTCCTGATCAGCTAATGCTGATGGTGAGCCAATCTTTTGTTTTTGTATTTTTTTTTTGTTTGTTATATAAATAAAAAGAAACAATAGCAAAACAAAAAAAAAACTTACCAAAAAATCAGCTTTATCCAGAAAAAGTTCAGCATATTGTTTAACAATTTCCGGATGACATACTTCCACAATTAGATCGACCAAATCAATTTCATTAATTTGATTTACTGCTTCCAAAAATTTCACTAATGGACAACGTATCAATATTTTTGAACGTGTTTCTTCACTCAATGCCGTTCGATTCCAAATGAATGCTAAATCAAGACGATATTTTTGTCCATCATTTATTATTTGTTCAACAAGATATTGGCCAAGTTTTCCATAACCAACAATACCAATACGTATAGAATAAACAAATGAAAACGATGAACTTCGTACTGGTGTACCAACAAAATTTTGATTTAAATTTGCAAGCTCCATTGTTTTATACGATTAATTGTATGATGATGATGATCGATTTCAAGTATTTCAAGCAAGAGAGAGAGAGAGAAAAAAAACTGGAAAGAAAAAAAAATGAAGAGAAAAAAAAATTAAAAATTCAGCATAGAAACAAACAGCAGCAGCAGCAGCAGTAATGCTCATATATTTTTTCTTCATCAATATATTGGCCTAATTTTTTCAACAAAATAAAAAACAAATGATCACGGAACAGACATACATGTTGTGTTGACAAAAAAAAAAACGATATATATCGTAATGATGATCATCATTTTGGTTTTTACACTGGCTACCACCACCACCACCAACAACAACAACACACATATTAATTGCAATCAATCAGCAATCAAATAAAATCATCATTTCATCAATCAATCTGTTGATTGCATGAAAATGAAAAAAAAAATCATTTCATGTCACACAATGATAATAATGAAAATCAATTGATTGATTATCGATGATGGTAGCTTTCCATTTGATTCAAATCAATTCAAAATCAATGATAATTATAATCCAATGGTAAAGATGTGATTTTTTTTTTTTCCAGAAAACAAAACAGAAAAAAATAATTCGATTTGGTTTTTTTTTCACTATAAATTTTACACATACCTTATTTATGATTAACTTGGAAAATTAACCTGGCTGAAATAACAAATTTCATCATCATCATCATCGAGGCAAATAAAAATCTTGAATTTCAAAAACAAAAATAAAAGGATTCACGTCTGAAATGAAAATGTTGATTTGACTCTTGGGAATCAATGTTGTTTGTTATTATCATTCAAGATTCTTTCCTGGAAATGAAATTTTGTTTTGCTTGTTTTTTTTCAATTCAATTCAATGAAATGCAAAACAATCAAAAATTTCCCTCTCTTGTTTTCGTTTTTGTGTTTTGAACTATTTCTGTTTTGTTTGTTTGTTTGTTTTTTTTGTCTCTTTTCTCTCTTCACATATACAATGAAGAAAATATTTCTCCAGAAATTTTCTTCTCTAATTCGAATATTTCGATCTCTCTTCTCTTTTATGGGCATGATTTAATTTAATTTTTTTTTCATTTTGACTAAAATGAAAAGGAGAATGATTCAACCGAAAATAACAACAACAACAACAACAATATCGATTCATAACCTGTTGCTGGATTCATTGATATGCAAAGGTTTTAATGCGGCACACGTTAACGATGAAAAGGATCAATTTTTCAAAATTGTATCTCAATTGCCGAAAACCATACGTGATAATAATTCTCACCGATTACACCGATGGTATGAACTGGCCTCAATTCCTCGGTTTAGAGAATTTTTTTTTTATAATCGTACAACTTCTTGCTTTTGGGAGGAAGCTGTACCCAAGGACATTGGATTATCGATTCATCACGTTATTATTATTCATAATTTTGCACGTTCATATGAATAACACCACCAACCAATCATCAGACTATTATAGTAATCTATAGACTAAAATGAAAAAGGGATTCATAACAACAACAACAACAACAACAATATCCGGTTGCTGTTTTCCATTATCGTGATTCCCAAATGGAATATATATACATTTCGAAATATTAGATATGCAAAGGTTTTATGGGCATGATTTAATTTAATTTTTTTTTTCATTATTATTATTCATAATTTTGACGAATAACAGTATTGAATGGATATGGTATGTTTCGATGATAATCATGGAAATCATAAGGACGATATGAATGATGATGATAAATTCGTTTAACATTTGGCACAACAACAAAAACATTATGATCATCATTATCATTAGATCGTAATTGTCCATTCAAACGATTACGATGATTTTGATTTTTCCATCCATTTTGTTTTTGTTGTTTTGGTCGTCGTCGTACATTGTAGTCACGGTTATTTCCATTATCTGGTCTAGAATTACTACCGCCATTATTATCAGTATTTGGTTTAACTGTTTTCCATGGTGATAGATCCATTTGTGGAATCAATGAACAATCCAATTCCGGATTTCTAAAATGAACGAATTCAAAAACCAAGAATCATTAATGATCATCGTTTGAGGGCAAATTAAGATTTAAATCAATGATGATTCTCATTAATAATATTGTATGATTAAACCATCACAATTTGGACATCTGTGAGTGAGTAAAAAAACAAAAAAAAACAAAACTCAACTGTTTTGATATAGTGACCATCGCTAATGGTTGTACACGATTTATATGATTCGAATTATGGCAAATAATTCCGGCTAATGTTACTTTACGTAATTCAGTTAGTTGTTCTGGAATGTGTGTGTGTGTGTGTGTGTGGAAATAGAAAAAGATAAATGAATAAAAAAAACATGAGAATAATAATGGAACAAAAACTTACCATCATTAAATGAATGTTTCATTTGTCCATTCTCATACCAAAATCGATCACCGTCTTATGATTTTTGATCCAATAACCAAAAAAAAAAAAAAAAAAAAAAAAACCATTGAATTTCAGCCCAATGATATAAAAAAAGATAGAGAGAGAAAAAAAAAATATTAGAATGATGTGAACCAAACAAAAAAAAAGACAAAATATCGATAAAGAAAGATGACAAAAGAATTGTCGAAATAAAAAACGAAGAAAATTGAGCTAATGATGTAAGAAAAAGTAGTTCTCAGACACACACACACACACACACTCCAATATCATTGCTCATCATCATTCCAATCATATTTTGCTGTCGTTGTTTGACTATTACGGAGATTTATCGATTTTTTTTTCGCTTCAAGAATGTGGCCAAAAAAAACAGTTCATCAATTCATTGAAAAAACATTTGGAATAATTTTACGCATATTTGGCCATAGACAATTGTTTGCGAGTGTGTGTGTATGTGTCGATAATGATGATTGTTGTTGTTGTTGTCATTGTTTTTTGTTCATATATACCACTTACATTTAAGTCGACGAAATTGTTCACCAACAATACAGCTAAATGTTGGTCCAAGTATACCTTCTTGTAATGGTTTTTCAAGATTTCCAGCTACCCAGAAATCGATATCATCCACGTGACTAAACAAAAAAAAAAAACAATGAATCAATAACATTGACATTTTATCAAATAAAAGTTGAATAAAAACATACGAATAAACTCGAGATAAATGTTCCCAATCATCATCATCACTAAGAATAGATTTTAATTGACGAAAATTTTTTACTGGTTGCAGGCCACAAAGTCGACGTATTTGATTATAAGTAGGCATACCATGATCACGACCACGTTGAATATCTATAGAAACGAGATCCATACCAACACGTTGATTATCATCATCTCTCGTTTCTTGTTGTTGTGCAAATAATAAATTTTTAATCTAATGTATGAAAAATATCAATGTTCATTAATAATTGATAACTAATTAACATTGGACTTACATCTTCAGTAAAAGCACAATCAAAACGTTCAGTTGGACGTTTCACAATACCACGTATTGCTTGATCCGATGCATCACGTGGATAAAGAAATGTTGGATTATTAAATATTCGATTCATTTCAAAACGTCGTACAGGGTTATTCCTGCCAGTAATCATATGATAATATTTTTGTACCAATGTATGCCAACGATATGCAGCAGTACCAAATTCATTTAAAATGGATGGATTAAGATTTGGATCATATTCTAAAGAATGACCATTTGGTTGTAATGACAGCCCATAATGACGTATTACATTACGACCTAATGCATCAGGTAAAAATTCATTATACGTTATATGTTGAATTTCGGCCGAAACGATTTTTCGTGCTTCTTGATAGATGATTTCATCATCCCAATATGGATTCAATTTGGCCAATAATTTCGCTAAACGATTATGTTCTCTATATTACATCGATGAAAAAAAGATCAATTTAAAAAGCAAAAATGAAAAACAAAATTTACCTTAGAAACATCAATTGTAATAATGTGATACCAAATTGTTGATTGACACGTACATCACCAGCAAATACACAACGATTATTACCATGTCTTTTACGTACAGCACATGCTAAAGAATTGTTCATCGTATCAAATGGTAACCATTCATTACCATTGATTTGTTCGGTTTTTAAAAGACCATCACGAAATGATCGTACCAAACGTGAACGATTTAAATCATTTCCATAAACCATTGATGCATCAAGAAATGAAGTGACCACGTTTGTTTGTTCACGATATCCTATCAAAAATGATGAATAGAAAAAATCATAATTGAAATTTGTAATAAATTTTCAGCTATTTATAATTGAAACAAACCAAGATTGCAAGAATTTTTCGGACCAACAGCACTACGAACAAAATTACTACAGTGACGATCAAAACGGCTATAGAATGGATCTTCTTCTGGTAGAAATATCGGGCGACAAGCTGGATGCATCAATGGACCTTGTGCATTTGTACGATTACAGCATAGTAAACCTTGTCCATTCGAAGCTATTCAAGAGTAAAGAAAAAAAAAAATTAAATTTCCTATGATGATATAATTGAATTCGAGAAAAAGCTGGACATTTTGGTCCATCTCTCATTTCATTCTATCAAAAAAAAAAGAAAGAAATAGGACACGGTGAAAAATGCAAATAGAATCGTTTCGAATTCAATTTGTTTATACAATCATCATTACCATAGAGCGAAAAAAAAAATTCAAACTATCTATCTATCTAGTTTGGCAAAAAGAAACCATATTAAAATTATGGTTATTTTTTTGGAACTATGAAAATGGATCATTTTCATCATCATCGTCATTGTCATAAAACTTATGGAACATTGAACCTAAAAGTAAAAACGGTTTTTCATCTTCATGGCTCAATATTCGACACAATAGAATCATGTTACATTTAATATGATTTTTTTGTTGAATTCAAAAAAAAAAATTTGAATCGAAGACTCTTTCTATTGTGTTTAATGTTGCATGTTTTCTCTCTGATTTATGATGGAAAATTATTCAAATTGAATGCTTGAATACACACACACACAGAGAGAGAGACGTGTATTTTAGATAGAAAAATTTGATTGAACAAAAAAGAAAGAAAAACTTACCACGAGTTGAAGCAGCAAGTGAAATATCATGATCTACAAATTGTCCCCATTGCATAAACATTACGTTCCAACGATTCGAAAAATCAGCATCATCTTCGTCGGATTTTTCAAAAATCTTTCAATTAAAAAAAATTATGAAAAAAATTACAATTGAAATTGAAGACAACAACATACTTCGAGTGAAATAATACGTGGTGGTGGTAATGGCTGACCATTCACTGAAACTCTAAATTCACTAATACCATCACTATATTCTGGTGGTAATAGCCGATTAAATTGTGTCATTGATTGTCCCCATGATGGATTACGGAGATTATTACAACTACCATCGATAGTTCGATATGGATAATTTGGATCACATTCAGGTTTTTGCAGACAATATTGTTCATATGGTGTACCACGCATCGATATCAATGATAATCCATCACGCAATTGTTTAGGGAAAGATTTAGATTTTCACCTAATGCACGGGTAAGTTGCAATGCACGAAATCCCCATAGATTTGATAGCTGTTGATTTTGATCAGCTGGACCAAACATCATTTGTAGAAAGGATGCCGGTGTGAATGCTACCTGTACTTGACCTAATTCACCAGTGAAAACTTCTTCCAACACTAAATATCTGGCTACATCAGCATCAGCTTGTTTGATTGCCTGTAGAAATTGATCACGAGATATTCGAATCGGTTCTTCGTTCGTTTTTCTTGGCTCCTTTAATCGATACGGTATTTCTAATGGCGAATAAACATTTTTATGATTAAATTATAATTTAAATAAATAAAAATGGATTCGACATACTATCACGAGAATTTGTTGTATAATCAACATCTAATGAACAACAAACACCTCCAACATTTTTTCCATTTACAGATGTTTGACAAGATTCTTTTGATGAATAACGAACATCACCATATTGATAATGACATAATCCACGTGGCCGACAAACACTAGGAATTCCATAACGTATTCGACAATATCTGTATTCTGTTTGTGTGGAATAATCTTTTTTTCAAAATTTTTCGAACAAATAAAACTTACCTCTATTATTATTACGATTATTACGTTCATCACTATCGAAAACATTACGATCATTGTTTCTATTGTTGTTGTTTTTGTTGTTGTTGTTACCATTGCGATTGTTTTTACCACCACTGAATTTGTTACCACCACCACCACCACCACCACCATGACGATAATCATTTTCAACAAATTGATTGAAATTTGAACGAGAATTCATTCGATCATCATTAATGAAAAAATCACGTTTTTCAATCGTTTTTATTTCATCTTCTTCAATAATCAAATGATGTTCGGGTAATGATATTGAATATGGTACATTTGGATCATCAAAGCCATCATCGAAATCATGAGCATAGACATGATAATGATGAAAAATTGTCATCAAAAACAAGAATCGAATAATAATCATCATTAATAATTTGAAATTTTTTCTATTTTGTTTTAAAACCATCATCATTCTCAATGTGTATGTGTTTATCAAACAAAAACAATCGAACAAGAGACTAAAAATTCATCATGATCATTGATTTTTGTTTTGGAAATTTTTTTTTCTACTATAAATATTGTATAAGCCGATTACGAAGAAACAAAAAAAAAAAAAAAATTCAACATAATAACGACCGACAAAATAGAAAATTTTTTTTCTGCATAAGACGACAATTAGATGATTAATGTGAATTTTATGGATGAAAATCCAGACAAAAATTGCAATTGTTAATGGTAATAATCTCGAACCACATAATGATTATTGATAATTAGTTGATGATGATGAGGATGTCACTCATCATATGCACACATTATCAAGGCTAAACGCATTATTGAATTGCAGTTACCGTATGTTTGTGTGTGCGTGATATATTGGCATTTTGTTTTACAGGAAATCTATTTTGTTTTCATTTCTCATTTGATGATTGTATGTCATCCAGTTTTTTTTCCAGGATGTAACCAAATATAGCCTCATTAGTAGATAATCGGTCAAATCATTAGTTTCCGTTGTGAACTTTGATCCATTTGAAAATACAAATGACCATTTTTTTATTCATTAGTTATTGGTTTTCCAAAAAAATTTTTTTTTATTCAAATTAATTTTTTCTAAATTTCATTTTTTTTTCATCCTCCTCCTCTCCTCTTAATGGAAGAAACAAAAGAAAAACATAATCAAAACAATGAGAAGGAAAATGAAAATGATTGATTCACTTTTTCTTCTTCTTCTTCTTTTCTTACTCTTTTTTCTCTTAAACTTTAGAAAATTTTGCTACCGGTTGCTTTGTAAAAGTATTGCTGGTGGATGTTGTTGTTGCTGTCGTCGTTGGTAGCTGCTTTACTGTTGTTGATGTTTGTGGATGTGTTTGTGATTGTTGTTTGTTTTCATCCAAAAATTTCGTAAAGATTTGACTTGGTGTATAAAGTTTTTGTAAATTACCATTAGGGGCTTCTGCTGGTGGATGTTGTTGTTGTTGTGGAGCTTTTGATATTGTAACGGTAACATTTATTTTCGGATCACCAGATGTTGCTTTTGATTCACCACCTAATTTTGATGTTGGATCAACTGCTAACGAAGTTACACCGGAAAAATAGCTAGTACCATCACCAGGTTTACTAACACCGGAAGAAACAACGCTACTATTTTTTCCTTGGCCAGCAAAACTAGAATAAGCTTGACTACCACCAGCCATTGATGAATAGGCATTTGAACCACCAGCAAATGATGATCCACCAAAATCGGACATTGCCGAAAACGGTGTTGATGATGCTGATGATGCTGATGAAGCGAATGAGCTTGTTGCACTACTACCACCACCAAATGATGATTGGCCACCCAATGCAGATGATTGAAAATCACTTGGATTTAATTGACTACCCAATACTGAACTACCACCACCTTGTGAGCTTAATGCAGACATTACTGAAACATCACTTGAATTAAATTTTGAACTAAATTTTGAATCAAATTGTGATGGTTGTATTTGGCTTGCCAATACCATTGCACTACCAGGTATAAGTATCTGTTTTTGCATTGCTAAATTTGGTGGCTGTATAATTTTCGAACAATATTTTGAATCAACATTTGATATCGGTGCAATTGTTGATTGTGGAATCTGTTTTGTTATTAAAATTTGCTGTACATTATCCTTTTTTTTCGATTTTTCTGATTTTTGCTAATTGTTGATATGATGAAATAAATAGATAAATAAATAAAATTATTATTATTATATCATTATTTAATACTTGGTGAACAACAGAAAAACAACTCACTACTTTTAGTATTAGCGCAGCCCATTCGATTTATTTATTAAAAATAAAACTTTGTAGTAGGAATATAGAGAGTAGTATTTAGTGGTATACAAAGATTCCAATAGGAAGAAACAGAAAAAACACTTTGGATACAATTAATTACTTTTTTTTCGTTGAAATTATATTCATTTAAATATCAAAAATTCAAAACAAAAGAAAAAAAAATTCGAATGTAAATGAATCAAATTTTCCGTCGCTGGTCCACAGATGGCGTACGAATCGATTTCGAATTTTTTTTTTCATTATTCAATTCCTGAATCATAATTCGAAATTTTTGTTAGTCAATATAAAAATTGTGTGAAAAAAATTCTTCAAATTAAATTAAATTAATCACCATTAATGAAAATTGATTATTCCTAATTATCAAATACACATTGAATTTTAATTGACACTAAAATCGACAAGACCAAATTTACAGATTAATGTTTTGGAATAATCACCACCGGTTTCTAATGTTGGATGATAACGTACAAACAATGTATTGATGAATTGGCCATGTTTTTTCTACAACAAAAAAAAAGACAGAATATTAGACAAGTACAAACAAACAAACAAACAAACAAAAAAAAAAAAGAAAAAACTTACATCGAATCGTGTCAGACATCGATTATGAAATATTTGCAACGAATATGTTCGTCGACCATCACCACGTAATGCACATTCTTGATTTTGTTCATATGTACCAAATGTACTTTTGCCAACACTTACAACACCACGAAATGGTTCAGAAAAATTCATTGACATTAACATTGATTTTGGTCGACATTCCAAGTTCACTTTTTGGTTTTGGTTTTGTTTTTGAATTGAATGAAAAACATTTGAAAAAAAACCACTGAACAATCATCATTATCGATAAATGGAAAAAACTTACTGCTTACACGATCCGTAATGAAATCATGATTTTGTTCAATCGGTAATGGTGATAATGGAATGGCCATACCACCACCACCACCACCACCGCGACCAGCAGCGGCGGCAGCAGCAGTATTTATATCCGAAATACGTTTTCTACTTCGCAATAATGGTGAATCTCGAAATGTTGATAGATTCATTGGTGGTAATATTTCAGGATCAGCATCCAAAAATGTAATTGGCTATTAATCATAAAAAAATGAAATTCAACAAACACTTCATCACATCGGAATACTGACCATAATCATTATGACTAGAAAAATTATCGAAATGATCATGTTGTTGGTGGTGGTGGTGATGAAAGACATCGACCAATTAAATGATGAAAATTTATGAATCATGTCAAGATTTATTTATTTATTTATTTTTTGTTTCTTCAGATCAATTGATTAACACAGATTTTCAAACAGCAAAGAGATCAACAATGATGATGATGATGATGATGATCAAGATTTGATTGAAAAAATATATATATATATGAACATCAGCTACAACAATCATCAAATGAATAATGCTCAAATTGAAATTTTTGTAAATTAATAACAAACAAAAGAACAAATGTCCATTTTTGGTACATTTTATTTTCAATATTCAATGATGATCATATAATATTTCTCACACATCCTATGTTTGTGTATTTTGTGTTCGTGTGTGTGTGTGTGTGTTACTGGTTTAATGTCATGTTCTTTTGTCTGTTTGTTTTTTTTTGTGTTGCATGCAAAAAAAAAAAACACACACACACACAAACACACATTGTGTGGGTTGATCAACAACAACAACAACAACAACTATCAACAGACATGGACATGATGATGATGATTTTCTCTCATTGCCATTAACGGCATTATTTTTGTTTTTCTATATATTCAATTGAAAATGGATTATATGATTTTAATGAAGTTCATCATATTATTCAAAAGATTTGGCCATTTTCTTTTTATTTTTCTGTCCTCGAAAAAAAAAATGAATTTTATTGTTGTTGTTGTTGTTGATCTGGTCAATCCAGATTCCATTGTTGTTGTTGTTGTTGTTCTTCTAATCCACAAGGTTAATATACCCAAATGTGAATAACCGGATAATAATAAACATTATTACGGTTATCCGATTGTTTTTTTGTTCTCTCTATATTAATTTTATCATCAATAGATGGCTGTATTTTATTTGAAAGAAAAAGTTGGTGGCGGGCTAGAGGAGGAGGCAGAAACACAAACATTCGAATGGAAAAAAACTTTCCTGTTAAATTTCCCGAAAAACAAGATTTTTTTTCATCATCGTCATCATCATCACCATTTTATTCAAAAATCAAAAAAGATCATCTTACACCTGTTGCTTTTTTTTTTTCTCTCTCTCATCTTTCAAAGAGAATCTATTTGGCTGTCTCTCTCTCTCACTTTTTTCTCTACTTGGTTCAAATCTCTCTCTCTCTCTCTCCTCTGTGATTTTTGGCCCAATTTTTTTTGACTTGAAAAAAAACTTGATTCCATCAACTTGATCACCACTGCCACCACCACCACCACCACCATCATCATCATCATCATCATCATCTTGTTCTATATTTATGAAATGAGTTAAATAATTTGAGTGAATATCAACAACAACAAACCCCCAAATGAATCTTTTTTTTCTTCATCAGATTATGATGTAGAATGATTATGATCTGAAGAATATGTTAATCGTTTTCATTTAAGTGTTTAAAAATCATCATCATCATCATCATCATCAACAACATCATTAGCAAAATGATAAAATTCATTGATTTTCGAAAAATTTTTCTACTTTTGTTCATTATTCTATTTGCATTGATACATCAATCATCATCAACAAGAAAACGTTGTTTTGCATGTCGTTCACGTGGTAATCTTGGTGATTGTAAGTGTATTTGTAATTGTACATAAATCATTTGATTAAATGATTTCCATTTTTTTCCGCTACCACCAATTTAGGTAAAGATCCATTTGAATATAATGCAACAACATTTGATGGCATATATGGATCTAGTCCAGTGGAATTACAACCATGTGCATCTGGTTGGTGTGGTAAATCCATTGAAGATGAAAATGAAGGTCCACATATAATGGCCACAGAAAGAATGTGTCTATTACGTCCACCAAGTGATGGTAAAGAACGTTGTTCGAAAACATTTTTAAGCAATAGCCGTAAAACATTTTATATGTGTTTTTGTAAAGGCGATCTTTGTAATAGTGCTGGCGCTATTCTATTCATTGGTTCATTAAACATATCGACAATATTTTCAATATCTGGTTTAGTGATTTTTCTTACCATTTATATTATGTCTGAATGATTTTTTTTGTCGTTTTGTTTTTGTTTTGTTTTTTTATTTGATTTTTTTTTGTTTTTTATTATCATTGTTTCATCATTCATTTGAAAATTAAAAAAAAGAAAAAGAAGAAGAACCAAAAAGTTCATTATTTCCGCATATCGGTGCAATATTCACATTTATCAATTCCAACTGGAACAATTCCGGAACAATGGCCGCCGCATTATGGCTTGCTATATACGAACCATCATCATCATCATTAACATAGAATATAGAAGAATCAAGCCACAAGAATCTATGGTAGCATATTTCCGTATAACGGGCACAGATAATCATAAACAGACGGATTGAACCATTTCAAATATTGCACCATAGTAAAAATTCCATTACTTTAACTTTTTTTCCCCATTTCGTATTGGTTGCAACAAATCTAACAAAAAAAATGGGAAAAAATGGGAAAAAAATTCTCATCACTCCAAAAGAAAATCCCGATTTTTTTTGTGGCGCGCAAGCCAGTTTTTTTCCATTTGGCGACAACCGAAAACGACGACGATGATGATGATGATGATGATGACGGCGACTCCGAAACGATCAACTTTTGTATATAACACAGAATAATGATGATGACATTCTATGACATCATTGATATTTTGGTGTGGCTTGATAGTGTATGTACGGTGTTTTTTTTAAGGGAAAAAATAAAGATTCATCGAACCAGTTATTCATACACACACACACACACACACACAAAAAGAGTGAACAAACACAACTTCTTCCACCTTTTCTCTTGTTGTTGTTGTTGTTGTTGTTTTGTTCGTTCCATATTTTTTTTCATTGGACAAGTTGACGGCGTCGTTGGTCGGTTTTTATTTCGCTTGTTATATGTTTGTTGTTGTTGTTGTTGTTGTTGTTGTTGTATTTAAACCGGGATTCGGTTCCGATAAAAGATGTTGATGGTTTTAGATTGAATCTGAATTTCAAAATGTTCGGTTCGATATAATTTTGAAATGTTAAATTTTTTTTGTTATTCACTCTGTTTGTGTGTGTGTGTGTGTGAGTTATCAATCAATTGATTTCATCCATAATCATCATCATTGATTCGCAACAAATTAGTTAAAATTTCAGGTTTATTATCCGAAATGAATTTGCTCATTTTTTAAATACGTTTTTTTTCCTGAAAAGTTTCTACGAGAAAAAAACCCATATATTTCAGGTAAGTTTTTTTTGTATTCGAACTGCACAAATTCTGTAATTTGTAACCAAATCATCATCATCATCATCATTGTTGTTGTTGTTGTTATAAATTCACGTCATAAATTCTTTTAAATGTCAATGACATGACCAATTCATGATAAGAATTTCTTATTTTTTGGTACTTTGATTCTTTGAATCAAAAGTGATCAAAGTGAGACATGATCAATTTCCATTTTAATTCCATCGTGATGGCAATAACCTTTAAATGTATATATTTTTCATTCTCTTGTTTCTTTGGTCGCCCAAATATTTTCGGAACAATGAAAAAAAAAAACAAGAAAAAAAAATTCTAGAGCATCGCGCATCTAAAAAAAATTTTTTTCCCATTGTTTGTCTCTCATTTCTTTGGTCGCCCAATGTCCTATCATTCAATAATATCTTGGGTCGCCCAAAATGAAATGAACTCGGCTAACCTCTTCACGTGTGTGTGTGTGTGTTTGAGTTTAACGGCATTCAAAATCTATATAACATGAACCACACACACACACTTATTAATAATGGAATAGTGTTCCATTATCAAGTATCTTTCTCTATATATAAAAATCGTATGGACATCGTCGATGACAATGAATCAATGTACGAGAAATGTTTCCGGAATTTTTTTTCACCCGAAATATTTATGATATACATTTCCTATTTTGAAAAAAACAGCAACAACCTCACAAGTTTATTTTTCATCATCAATAGAAAAAGATTTTGTTATAATGTTTTGAAAATGTTCGATCACCATTCGTGAATCTATTGATCAATCATTGAAATGGAACCAAACAGGAATTTCAAAAATCAAGTTTAATTGAGAGAAAATTTGTTTTTGTCCAGTTTTTTTGTTTTCTCTGGTGAATCAAAAATAAAAAATAAAAAAAAACTGGAATTTTGAACAAAATCCGGAATTTTCTTTTGTTGTTGTTGTTGTTGTTGTTTTGAACTATTTCGACACATCGAACGAAACAAATCAACATTAAAAAAAACACAACTTGGTTGACCGGCTTAGCTACTTTGGTGTTATTGTTATTGTTGTTTTTTTTTCGATTGTTTGAATTTTTTTTTCAAATACTTGTTTCACTTGTTGTTGTTGTGGTGGTGGTGGTGGTGGTGGTGGTTTGAATTACACATTGAAGATTGTTGATTAGACAAGTCCGTTATTTTTTTTTATATAAATAAAAAAAACCGATATTCTTATCGTCGTAAATAATCTTTCTCTCGCTCTGTTTGTGTGTATTATGTCAAAATAGACTAGTTTGTTTATATCTCTTCATCATCATCATCATCATCATCATTGTTGTTGTTGTTGTTGTTATTACCTGAAATGATCAATCATTCATTCAAGCTAGTATAACTATTAGATAGTAGTCAAGAAAAAAAAGTGAGAGAGAAAAACCAGAAAAAAATCCTTTTTATTGTTGATTTTTCTAAAAATTTTTTCCCTCATTAGATGATATATTCCGATCCGAAGAACGATGTGTTTCAATTTGTGATCCATAAAATTATCATCATCATCATCATGTTATTACGTTATATATGTGAGGACAAAAAGATAGATTTTTGAGAGATTCAAAAGAAATGAGAAATAAAAAATCCTCATCATATTATTCAAAGGCGCGTCATCCCGGTTTTTTTTTCGGATTTTGACCTACAACCATCATCATATTATTCAAAGGCGCGTCATCCCGGTTTTTTTTCAAATTTTATTTTTGTGACGACAAAAAAAAAGACTACTGTATATGGTGGTGGTGGTGGTGTTTGTGGTGGTGAGCATCATCAACAATGAAATAGAAAAAATACAATTCGAATATATCTCTTTATTCACCAAGAGATATTGTCATCTTCATATAATAATAATCATTATATTTGGTATATGTTTTGTCGATAGATCTGTTTATGTGTGTGTCTTCTATGTGTATCTATTAATAATGACGACGATGATGATGATGATGGAACTGAAAAAAAAAACTGGTCAGTCTAGATTTTTCACCATTTAACCTTTGTCGAATTCGAATGTTTATTTTTTCTATGTAATTTTAATCAAAGTTTTTTCTCTATTATTGACTAGAATCCATTTGAATTTTTTTTCCACCTATTGTTGATCATAATTAATTGATAAAAAGAAAATGAAAGATCCATTACTACGTGATTGTCGATATTTAAATCCATCATCATCATCATCATCATTGATGAATTATAATAATGGTATGACTAGATCAACAATATCAACTTCAGAATCTGGACAAGAATTATGGCCAATTGGTGTTAAACTAGGTATCGTACGTTTAGGTTATTCAGCTGGCAAATTAAAATATACATTGGTCGATGAACAAGATATCGTATTGGCAAGAGAATATACATTTGAAGCACGTTTAGAAGTATTAAATCATGGCAATAGTAATAATTTCAATAATGTTTCCGGTGGTGGTGCTGTTGTATTTGCATATGCATACCAAACAAATCATCATTCTACATCGATAATCAATGATGATAATAGTCAAATGATTCTATTACAAGATTTAATATGGCGTCGTCATTATGGACCAATACCTGATAATAAACGTGTTGTACATCGTAATCATATTTCAATGGATAATCGTTTGGATAATCTTTGTTTATTAGATCTTGGTTCAAATGATGATAATGTTACTACACATGTTTGGTATACAATGGCTAATCAGGTTCATCATCATAATCATCATAATCATCATCATCATCATTCTCATTCTCATCAAAATCAACAACAAGTTGTGATTCATCATAATAGCAATAATCAAAGGTCGACTACAAGAGGTCATCATTATCATCATCATCATCATCATCATCATGATATCAATAATAATCAAGTTGATGGTCAACAACAACAACAGGTAATGCCGGTTGTGGAAAATCAACCTGCATCATCATCACAACAACAACAACAACATTTTCAACCACCTAAATCATCATCAAATGATCTTCATTTGACATTATATTGGGCAGCTATACAACAATTACCACCGGAACATTTACAACAACAACAGGTTTGTCATTGAAAAAAAAATTTTTTGAACAAACCAACCAACTAACCAGAAATTATTCTCCCACACCAGTCAACATCGAACAATAATTTTGATAGTCAAGCAGAAGTAAATAGTGCTTCAAGATGTTTTGATTTTCGTGGAAATTCCATTAATGATCAAGGTATTTTTCAAAAAAAAAAATTTCTATTTTATCGATATAAATAATTTTTCTTTTTTTTGATAAATTCATCATAGAATCATCCTCAGAATCATCAATAAGCTATTTTGAATGCCATTATGGACCATGTGTACGTATTGAACGTTGTCCAAGAGAATTTTCAATTTGTGGACGTTGTCAAGAAACAAGATATTGTGGTACAACATGTCAACAATTAGATTGGCCATATCATAAACGTTATTGTCGTTATAAAGCACGTCGTCAATTATTGGCACCATATTCATATCGATCATCATCATCATCATCATCTACATCAAACTCTTCTTCCACGATGACTACGAATACCACCATAACATCACCATTATCATCATCATATTCACCTCGTCAACGATTACTTCGATAAATGTTGATGATGATGATGATGATGACGATGAAAAAGATCTCAGATTTTCATTGTGTTTTCGAATTAGTTTACACAAAACAACAACGAGAAAGTGGAAAAATTTCCAAAAAAAAAATCAAATTTGATAATTAATGAATCTTTCAGGAAAGAAAAATTTTTTTTTCGCAAAAGCAATATTTATAGGAAATAGAAAAATGTTTCGATTTTTATTGATTTGATTAAATTAAATTTAAATAATAAAGAAATTTGATAAACATCAACATAATAATCATCATCATTATGGTATAAATGGTATAATGAAAAATTCAACAAAACAACGATGATGAGAATCTGATGTTGTACTACTTGTAGTAATTCGTCCTCTTTGTTGTTGTTGTAGTCCATCATTAGCGTCATCATAATCATGATCATCATCAGCATTAATATTATGAAGATTATTCACTGAATCTAATTGAATGAAAAATTGCATATTAAGCAATCCAGTGGAACTGAAACGGATATTAATTTTATTGGCCAACATTAATGGCCGTAATGTATATTTCAATGATTTCATTTTATAATGATTAACGGATGGCACTGTACATTCATAATGTTCAACATGAACAGATTGTGCATCAATTTGTTGCGAAAATTCGGCACGATGTGATTTTGTTCTCATTACAAACCATGGATCATTATTATTCATTTCAATAACGATAGAATTTGCTTGATAATCGACACATCTCCAAAAATCTATCAATACTGATGAATCTAATGTGATACGATTAACAAATGCCATTGTCCAAACATTCAGATTATTTGTTTGTAATGTTTGTATGGTGCTTGAAAATAATCGTTCTTTTGATATAACTTTCATTTTAAAACGTTTATCACAATAATATTTGATTACTAAAGTTGTTGCTATTGATTGTTCATTCATCAGATATTGATTCAAACGTTTTGTCAATAAAAATTCTAAAACATTCAATAAATGTTTGCTTAAAATTCTTATAGTTTGTGGTGTTTTTTCATCTTCCATATCATATTTGGTGAATAAATTACGATCAATAAAACTTGTAGCTTGTATTGATCGATCATTTTCACAGATGAATTTTATACCAAATTCAGTGATGACCATTTCGATATATTTATCAATATTAATCGATTTCAATAATGGTGATAGAAATTTGGCATTTTTTATTTCACCAGAAAATATTATCGAACGTTGTCGTTGTGATTGATCCGGATGACTTTCCTGTGTTAAAAGAAAATCAGATGATGTCGTATTTGATGACATAATCATGATGATGATATATTCGAACGAAAAAAAATGATGATGAATCAAATTAAATTTCGATTTAAAAAAAAAAAACATTCGATAAATTCGAAAATATAAACACAGCGCCAAATGAGAAAAAAAATCAAGACACACCATACCATTCATAAAGGACGTAATAAAATTTTCCGTTGGACTTTTAAAAAAAAGTATTTAAATTGTGTATGCATTCATTCGAAGTAGTAGTGGTCAGATTTATTTTGGTCTTTGTTTGTGTGTGTTGTCTTTGGAACGTTGATTGAATATATTTTTTTTTTTTTCATTTTGGTCAAAAACATTTATATTTTATAACACGACACGATAATATGATGGACATATCAATCAATGATGATGAAAATTTGAATATGAAATCAAAACATATGACAGATGTTAATGATGATGATGATGATGATGGTGAAATTGAAGATCAAATTCTTCAAATTAGTCCCGAAAGACAAGAAGCATTTATTGAATTTATTCGTTCAATACCACGTATTTGTTCACCAACAGTATTGGAAATATCATCATCGACAACACAAAAACAATCATCCAGACATGTTTCAATATTTAGTCCAAAATTTTCAATCGATAATCAATCATCCACCAATAATGATGATGATTATGATCAATTCAATTGGTCTATTGAAGAATATTCTGATTTTTATGGAAAAGATTTTTCTAATCATAATGAACAAGAAGAATTTCATTCATTACTTGATACTGTTGATTTAATATCAAAAGAATTGGATGAAGAAAATGAAAAATTTTTTTCACAAGATAAAATTCTTTCATCACCACCATCACAATCATCATCATCATCATTGATAGAAAAGAATCAAACATTTTTTTCAAACGATAGTATTTCACGTAATACTGGATCATTTATACGTTGGCTAGATTCTATACCATTTCATTCGACCACTGGTGGCGGATTTGAATCACATTATACAACGACAACAAATTCAAGTAATCAACAATTTTTTGAATCTGCAATTGTTATGAATGATATTTCAATGAAAAGTGAAACTAATGATGATGATCATCATCATCAAATTGAATGTGAAAAACATTTAAATAATGAAACGGATAGTGATTTTGATTCAATGATGAACGACGAAATGGAATGTCATACGTTAAGTTTTCATTCTGATGGAAGAAAATTATCATTTATGGAAACATCAACTATGAAATGTACTACACCGAAAATCACTGCATATCGTTATGATATTGGTCTCAACAGTGGTGGTGGTGGTGGTGTTAATTGTTCGATTCCAATGATTTTTCCAATCGATGATATTGGTATTAGTCCAATAATGGCATCAACATCAAATCATGTGGCGAAAACATTTGAAATGAATAAAGAAAATTTTACACCGATACAAACGAATATTCTGGAACAGCAGCAATCACAAAATGGTACGGTAAAAAAACGTCCATTTCTTCGTCATCAATATTCATCATTATCATCATCGGTAACAGTAAGAGCAACAAAAAAATTGAATCATTCGTCATCATCATCGATTCGTTCGGCAATATTATTGAATAATCATCAATCACGTACAGAATTACCACCATTACAATCATCATCATCGATTATTATTGATTCAAATAAAAGTATTGATGATCATTTTAAAACACCACAAACAGCAACACGTATACGACGATCAAGAATATCACGTGCTAGATTATTTTTTACAAATGAAATTAATGCACAATCAACTCCAGATAGTCGACAACCATTGATTCATGAATAATCATCATCATGATGAATTTTTTTCTTCAAATTCAACGATCAATCAATTGACATATCAATCAATCATTGAGAACTGAAAAAGAAAAAAAAACTTTTCTATTTACAATTAAACAATTTATAATTATTAATCAATTGACTTTTTCATTTCTATAGATCATCATTATTATTATCATTTTATGTTTGTATACAAAAATTTTATATTTTTTTCAATTTTCATTTTATGTTTGTATAAGAGAAGGATAGGATGATGGCTTTGTATGAACAGGAATAAGATATGAATAAATAATAAATATTTTTGCATCTTTGTAAAAAATTATTAATTTAATGTAATGTAGATTTTCTACTATCACCAATATCGCCATTCATTTTAATTGCGTTTGATGATGATGTAGCTGCTGCATTTGTTGTTGTTGTTGTTGCTGTTGATGACGATGTTGATATTGTTTGTTGATTTGTAGTTGTTTGTTGTTGTTGTTTTAATAAACACCGGTTTTCTTGCACGTTCAGCTGCTTCAAATTGTTGCCGTTGATATTCATATGCTTCATTATGAATTTTAAAACCATATAATGTTGCTGTAAATTGTTGTGATGGTGGTAATGGCCGATATTCTGGATAAACCATAAAAAACATATGTGGAAATGATGTACCGAACCATGCACCATCAGAAAGAACAGATTTTGAACTAAAATGTGGTGCATATAAATCCATACAACGTGGACAATATAAACGAACCGAATAGATATTTGGTTCATCACTAAGGCCAATTGGTAACATTGCAGCACGATCACAATAATAACGATTACAAAGACCAAAACGACGTTTTTTATATTTTTCCAACATTTTTTTCAAACCAGAATCGGTCAATATATAACGTGCATGTATTAGACCATAAAGATTTTCAGCTGAAGATAAAATTTCCTACAATAAAAGCAACAAATGATTAAACAATCATCATCATTTTTTTTTTTATTTCACTTACAATTTCACGTCCATCATCACTGGAAAAATTTTCTGCCGATGAAGTGGATGAATCAAATTGTGATCTATCGGAACAATCACCTAATATTATTGATAATGCTTGACGATAATGTGGAATTTTCTCCTCTAAACCAATTAGATTGAATGCATCCATTATGAAATCGGTATCAATTTTACATAAAAATTTATCCGTAGAACAAAATTGTTCAATCCATTTGGTTGTATTTGTATTATTTGTTGATGAATTTTTTGTACTCGAATTCGTACTACTTGTATTGGCTGCATTTGTTGTTGTTGTTGTTGTTGTTGATGTGGTTCGATTATATGACAATGAATTTGTTGTTATCGATGAACTTGTATTATGATTATTATTATTGTTATTATTAATGCTGTTGTTGCTGTTATATGTTGTAAAATTCATATGATAATCAATATATCTTGGAATCATTGTCGATGATGATTCATTAGCATTTTGTGAACTACTACGTTTAGGTGATTTTAATGATTGCATGGTTAATATATTATTATCAATTTGTTCGTTTGTGTTAAAGTGAAACATTAATAATCAAATTTGGAAGACTAGTATGTGTGTTTATGTGTATATTGTGTTCGCAAAAACAAAAGAATATTCTCTCTGAAAACGGAAAAAAACAATAATAATCAATTTAGTAGAATTATTCGTTTTTATTGTATAGAATTATAGAAAAAAAAGATCACAGATTCATAATGATAAGGCACAAATGATGAGCTTTAATACAAGAATCAAATCTTCTTGTTGTTGTTGTTTTTTGCTTGTTTGTTTGTTTGTTTGTTTGTTGCAAAAAAAAAAAAAAAAAAAAAAATGGAAAAGTAAGAAAAAAAATCTGATTGATTGGATCAATAATCAATCGTTTAGATCAATAATATTTTCATCATCATCATCATCATCAGTTTCTATATTGATTTTTATAAATGATCAAAATCAATTTAAAAAAAAACAGACACAAAACACACACAGACAAATCACACAACTTTTTTTTGTAACCGAATTTAGAGCACACGATGAATTTTTTTTTTGTTGTTGTTGCCTATTTACACTTTACATGGGTCATTGAATCATTTTTGACGATATTTTTTTTTTAATATTGCCGGCAGTGAGCAAATGTTATTCTCTTGTTTGTTTGTTTGTTTGTGTGTGTATTTTTTTTTGGCTGCTCACTGGTCAAAATATTGAAAAATCGAAATTCTTTTTTACGATATAAAAAATTTTAAAATAATCAGGTATGCATTTTTTCGGGTAAAATGATTATCCATTGATTAATGATTCAGTTTTCATTTTGATTGTTTTGTTTATAGAACGTATTTGAAAAAAAATGTCATCATCTGAAGAAGTATCGTGGATCACTTGGTTTTGTGGTCTTCGTGGTAATGATTATTTCTGTGAAGTTGATGAAGATTATATACATGATAAATTTAATTTGACCGGTTTATCTGAATCGGTACCACATTATCGTCAAGCATTGGATATGATTCTTGATCTTGAACCAGATGAAGACGAAGATAATCCTAATCAAGTATGATTTTTTTTTTTTTGGTAAAAATTGAATTTTCAATAATTTTTTAAAAATCTTTGTTTTTCTTGTTTGTATAAAAAGGCTGATCTAGTTGAACAAGCTGCCGAAATGCTATATGGATTGATTCATGCACGTTTCATTCTAACTAATCGTGGTATAGCACAAATGATTGAAAAATATCAAAATGGTGATTTTGGTTTTTGTCCACGGCAATTTTGTGAAAATCAACCAATGTTACCGATAGGTTTATCTGATATACCAGGCGAATTGATGGTGAAACTTTATTGTCCTAAATGTATGGATATTTATAATCCAAAATCATCAAGATTTCATCATACAGATGGTGCATATTTTGGTACTGGTTTTCCTCACATGTTATTCATGGTACATCCAGAATTACGGCCAAAAGCACCAACTGGACAATTTGTTCCACGTCTATATGGTTTCAAAATACATCCAATGGCCTATCAATTACAGAAAGAAGCAGCTGAACGTATATCACCAAAAACATATTATCGTAATCAAAGTGGTGGTAATATTAATTGAAAAAAAACAGTGATCCAATTATGAAATTGATGAAAAATCGATGGCCCAAAAAAAAAAATCTAATAATTAATTGTCATTTAAAATCACATAAACACACACACGTACACACATACCTTCTTTGTAGTTATTATAGCCATATATAGTGTGTTTAGTGTAGTGTTTTACATACCATCAAATTCTATCAAAAAAAAAAAAAAAAAGTATTTTCTTCTGAACAAATCAAATCAAATATTTTCAAATACCCATATACACACTTATCTCATATATATCATGATTAATTAATTTAATTAATCTTGATTCATTTCACAACAACAAAACACAAATTGACAAACAAAAAAGCAAACAAAACAAATAATACATCCACGAGTTATTTTTGCTCCCATGATCATCATCATCATCACCATCACCACCATCATCATCGTCTTCGTCATCATCATCATCATCATCATCATTAAAAACAAAAAAAAAAAAAAATTGTTAATCTATAAAATAAATGAATTAAAAAAAATTTAAAATTTTCAAATATCCGGCTATATCAACAGTAAGTGTTTATATTTTTCAGCAGATATGAAATAAAATCCGTCTTTAAAATATATATATATCGAGGTGTGTGTGTGTGTGTGAGGCGTTTGTCATAACAATTATCATCAACATCATCATTATCTTGATGATGATAATGAATTTTTTCATTTGTTTTGTGACCAAATTAAACTTGTGAATATAATATCGCATTTGGTGGTTAAATTTAAATATCCTATATATATACTCACTCATTCACATTCGCATAGGAAAGAAAGTTTTTTTTTTTTTTTTGGTTTGTTTCGGTTTGTTTATGAATAACAAAATTGTTTGTTGTTTCATTATTCATCCATTATTCATCATTCTATTGATGGAAAATGAATGTAATAATTGATGCTACCTGTGCGAAAATGAAAAAAAAATGAAATAAAACCACATCGACGATGAATGAATGAATGAATGAGGAAAGGTACAGAAAAAATTGATGGCTAGTTAAGTTAGCAAAAATTTTTGTTAGGCAAAAAAAAAAAAAACTTTTCGACACACAATAATAATTCACATCTTTGTCAAGTTGTTGTTGTTGTTGTTGTTGTTGTTGTTGTGCACACGTTAATCAGATTAATCAAGATTGTCAAAAACAAAAAAAAAGAAAAAAATGATGAGTAAAAAAACCACAAAAGACACACACAAACACAACTTGCAAAGTATAGAACAAAAAAAAAATTCAATAATAATCAGATTTTATTATTATTTGCACATTTCTCATGAAATTTTTGTTTTTTTTTCTTAATTTTCAAAAAAAAAAAAAAAAATTCATCGTGTCATATTATTAATGGATGATTGTACCATACGAATAATGTCTTGAACTTTTTTATCACGAATGTTTTCATCATCCACAACACCATCATTGTCGTTGGCATTTTGTTCAGATTCATCATCCATTGTTTCACCACTATAATCATCATTACTTGATTGATCGGATATTTGATCAAATGGTGGACGTCCATTGTGGATATCATCCAATCCTTCCGTTATTATTATATTAATCTGTTCAATATCTTCATTTGTGATTAATGTTGAAAATTCTTTATCCAATTTATCATATAGAATATCTAATGATTTAATCAATTCTTGTAAACGTGTCTTGATACTATCAACAACTTTGTGTTTAGATGAATCCATTGTTTTGTTTTTAAAATTCACACAATTCAAAAAAAAAAATATGCTTTGAAAATATTTCATTCGAAAATAAATATTTTTCATCATTCCTTTGTTCGAATTCAATAGCCATTTCTTTTTTCGAATTTGATTGAAATCGTAAATTCAATTAAAGAATGAAAAAAAAAATAAAAATAAATAATGGCCAAGTGATCATTCAACAAGTGTTGTTGTTGTTGTTGTTATTGGATCCTATAAAGGAACTGAGACACACAAGAGATGTTTCAGTTTTTTATATTTAGTCAATAAAAAGGGGTTAGAGTAATCAAAATGGAAAAAAAAATTGATAAACAAAGTGGAAAGAGAAAAGAGATGAGAAAGTAGGAGGAGCTTGATAATGGTAAACCACTCCTTGTTCACATTATAAAAAAAAAAAGGATACCTTTTTTTAAAATTAATAGCCATTGGCCAATTGGCCATAGTAAAAGGTGTGGCTTAGGTTATTTTTTTTTTCTATCATCAACAATTAACAAGAAGCTTAATGTTTAGCCAGTAAAATACAATTTCTTATCACGTAATTTTTTCGATGTTTTTTTTTAAAGACTTGGATGGAAAGAATGGCAAAAAAATGATATTCAACAGCCACGACCACCAGCAATGCCGATGCCGATGATGATGATGATGATGATGATGATAGCAACAGGTATTCAACAAAATTGAAAAAAAATCCTTCGAAATGTTCAAAAATGTTTCCATTTCAATTTGATCAATTCATGAATGTTAATATGCATCATCATCGAGTTATAAATTCTATTTTAATTTGAAATTATTGTAAAAAAAAACTTTGGAACATTATCGAATCATATTATTCACGCCCATTGAAAACTGTAAAAAAAAATTTTTCTTTATCCAATCGATTCAAATTTCATGAATGATCAGCCCCCATCCATCTTGTTTCGTTTGGTTTTGTTTGTTTGTTTTATTTGCGATAACACAGACACACTTATATATACACACACACAGCCACATTTAATGTGTCGCGTTAACGATCTTGTCGATGTGAATGTATCGATTGAGATCGATCGATGCCTGATCATCTAGCTTCATCATCATCATCATCATCAACATCAACATCATCGTGTATAATCATCACCCAATGAGAATAAAGATTTTTTTTTTAATAAAGAGACGGGGGACAACCCAAACAAACAAACAAAAATCAATCGATGAATATGTTCTGTTTTCAATCAATTGTGCTTGGATCGAATGATTTTTAAACATTTAAATATTGATAATGATCATCAAATGTTTTGTGTGTGTGTGTGTGTAATAATATATAGATAATCGATACGAATCGCGTGTTTTTTCTCTCATCGACAAAAATAACAACATTTTTTTTGCCCTTCCTCCTTACCATTAAATAATCGATGATGATCAATGTTTCCAATAATATTTTAAATGTTGATGGTGATGATCATCATCATCAACATCACCAGAACCATCATCATAATCATCAATTTGTTCATCATCATCATCAACTTTTCATTAATAATAATATTCATCAAGAACAAGCAAATACATTGCCAACAACAAACACATCATCATCGTCGATGATACAGCAGCCACCAGCAACGGAATCTTCTGCAGCAGCAATTATTTATCATCATAATCTACATAATAACAATCATTTGATTTTTTCATCTAATCCAACACAATTATCATTGTCAGAACATCAACATCATAATCATAATCATCATCAGCAATCAACAAATGAAACAACAGCAACCGAAACAGCAACAAGTGGTTTACAGTCACCATCAATTCCAGATGATGATCAATTGCAAGATCAATTACATGAAAATCGTATTTGTTACAATTGTCGTACAACTATTACACCATTGTGGCGTCGTTTTGGTCCGAATCAATTTCTTTGCAATGCATGTGGCCTATATCAAAGGGTTAATGGACAACATCGGCCATTAGTAAGAAATGTACGACGATTATCGACGACAACACGTCGTGTTGGTCTGATTTGTGCCAATTGTGGTACTAAAGCAACATCAATGTGGCGTAGAAATTCTTCCGGTGATTCTGTTTGCAATGCATGTGGATTATATTTTCGTTTGAATGGAATAAATCGACCGGCAACAATGCGCAAAGAAACCATACGTACAAGAAGACGTCGTACAATTAAACCATCGTCAATGATGATGATGAATTTTCACCATCATCATCATCATCACCAGCAACAGCAGCAGCAGCAGCAGCATCAGCATCAACAACAAATGAATGGTCAACAATTATCAATGGTAAATAATTCACCATATTCACCATATCATCATCATCATCATAATCATAATCATCAACAAAGTCGGCCATTTATCATGTCAACAACAACGGATGCAACAGCAACAACAACAACAGCAACTATTTCAACAATACCCGCTACATTAACATCAACAACAATATCGAATTCTGAATATCAACAACAACGTCTTTCAACTGATGATACATTCGCAATTTCATCATCATCAAATTTAATAAAATCTGAAAACAATGGAAATAATAATCATTTGACAATGATGATGATGCCATCAACATCATCATCATCAACATCAACATCAACATTGTTTTCAAATACCGGTCAATCATCAGCAATCAATAATAATGATGATAATGTTGATGATAGTAGTTTTTAATACAACAACAACAAAAACAACAACGATGACAGATACAACGACCACAACAACTCAGCAACAACGGCAACAATCAATGAATGATAATGGCAACGATGGTGAGAATATTGAAACCGGTACGCATACAACGTCATATCAACAGGAAAAACAAAGTTCATCATCAATTATCATTGGTAGGTATCAGTTTGTCAACGTTATTTGTTCATACAATGATGACAGTAATAATAATAATAATAATAATAATAAGGACATTGGTCCATGTTCAAGAAATGTGTGGTCAAGCCTAGGTCATAAAATTTGATGATCAATTTTCTCGTTTTTGGCCAATAAAAAAACATAAAGATTTTTTTTCTCCATTTTTAACATTCTCGATCTAGTTCCGTGTTCTAATGATTATTGTTTGTTTGTTTTTTTTTGAACCAAAAATTTTTCTTTTCTTTTTTTTCTACTCAAAAAAGGATCGTCACCAGCGATGATAACAAAATTTAACGATAATTCTTCAACAACCACAATTTTTGGTAAACAACAATCCCATGATGATCATGATAATGATACAGAAAAACCGGATGAAGAAGTAAATGAAAACAATGGAGATAATTCGACAACATTACCACCATTACCACTTACAACAACAACAGCACAAACTATAAATCCGGTTACATTTATTGGACCCGGTGCTAATGGTAGTGGTGGTGGTGGTGGTGGTGGTTTACTTACATCTTCATCCTCAACATCATCGACAAATGTCTATGATCCAGCAATGATACAATTGAACGCTAAATCAAATTATCAATTTCATTTAGCAGCAGCAGCCGCTGCCGCTGCTGCAGCAGCAACAAACGGTTATGGTAATATGTTACAATCGACAAACATTCCATTTGGAACACCAGCAGTAACAGCAACGATAACCGATGATCAAAATCGTATGATAAACGATAATGGAATAATATCGCAACATCATCATCCACATGGATTACATCATCATTCATGGTCAAATAATCATTCATATCATCATCAACATCATTCTACAACTGGACATCATCATCTATTTGGACAACAATCAAATCTATATCATCATACGGGTAATCATCAATTTTATCCAAATACCGGTGGTGCTTTCCACCATCGTCATCATCATCATCATCAAACAACTTCATCATTAACAGATACATCACCATCATTATATCCAAGAATATCACAAATGAATTTGGAAACAAATTTCGATGTAAAAAAAGAAGATGAAAATGATATACAAAATCGATTAGATACAACAACAACAACCGCAACAAGCGCAACTACCGATGATAATTATTATCCAATTACAATAATGTCACATTTTGATAAACAAATAATGATGGATAATGGTAAGGAACAGCTGCAAACACGTGCAGCAGAAAAAAATACTGATGATGATATAATCACTGATTGTGAACAGCAGCAACAACGACAACAGGAACAGGAAAAAACATCATCACCAGCATTATCATCGATAGCTGAAGAATCATCATCATCATCATTTTCAACATTGAAAAAACGAATTATAACAAATCATATTAATCAATCAATAACAAATGTTAAATCGAATAAAAATGGCAATAATAATAATAAGAAAACACGTAAAAAAGATAATCATCAATCATCATCAGAAAATTTGATTAAAATAGAAATTGATGAACCTCAACATCATCGTCATCAACATCAACATCATCATCATCATCAGCAACAACAATCGGAAATATCTATTGTTCAAGATGTTGCTGAAACAACTCAATTAGTGGATAGTGGTGATGGCCAAATGATTTCTGAATCACGAAATATCGATGATATCGTTCATCATCATCAATATGATCTTGAACAACAACAACAACAACAACCACAGCAGCAACAACAACAACAAACATCTTTGCTGGAAAATTCTATAATCTATTCTTTGAATAATAATGATCATCATCAACAACATCATCATTATGGTTTACAAACGATAAACTATAATAATTTTTCATCATTCACACAATCAATGAATTCTAATGTTGCTGCTGCTGCTGCTGCTGCTACTGTCCCATATTCCTATATATTTGATGTATCAAAATCAACAACAAATTCCGATTCAAACAACACAACAACAACATTACGACAAAATTTTGTTCCACCTACATCACATCCACACCAACCACCACAACCACCTACTTCTTATCATCATCAACTTCATCAACATTGGTAGGAAAAAAAACGATGATGGGCTCTCTGTGTATTCAGAGAAATTAAGAATAATTCATTTTTTTTACTTCTTAGAATTTTGTCATTTTTTTATGGAATAAAATCACATTCTTTTATAAGTTTTAATTACTTGTATTGCTGCCGCTTCGGCTGTTTAAACTTTCGACCGACATAGCTGTAGTGGTGGATATCTTCTTCATGGTATCCAACGATGAATCTTGCTTCATTGTTTTGATCTGTGGTAATGGTGATTTTTTCTTGTTATCAGCTGCCGTTTTTCTCTTCGATAATGATTTCGATTGTGATTTTGGACGACGATTATTTTTCATTGTAGCTGCCGTTTTAGGTTTAACTGGTTTCACTTTAATTGATGCAGATTTCTGTAATTCATTCACACTATCATTATCTAATTTTGACCATGATAATGAATTTTTTTGCCGTAATTTCGATGAAATTTTTTCACCTTTTGATTTACGTTGTGATTTTTTCGAAGATGATGGTGATGCTGATGATGATGACGATGATGATGATGATGATGGTAAAGATGACGATTCACTGGATATTTCATTATCAACAATTTTAGGAAATAATTTCGGCAATAAAGATTTTGCAATTTCATTCAATCGTTTACGATAATTTCTTCCCAATGTTGATATACGTTCTGACATTTGAATCATTGATTGTTCTTGTTGTTGTTGTTGTGGTTGTTGTTCGGGTAATTGTTGTCGAAATTTTCTTATTGGTTTCGCCACCATTTTTCGTTTCAATAAAGTTTTACTTTTTCCTATTTGTCGTCGTCTTTGTCCATCAATTGAATATTTTGATTTGAAACTATGACTTGTGTTTGATTGACTTTGAACACTTTTACTGCGTACACCAATCGAAGATTGTTGTTTTCTTTGTCGTCGTGCTCCACCTCTTCCTTTGCGTTTTATCAATCTTTTACTTTTCATCATTTTTAAACCACTTGTTTTTGGACCTTTACTCAACGTTATAGATGACAATGATGATGTTGTTGTTGTTCGTTTTTTTGTTGGACTTCTAGTTCGAATTCTAGCTGAAGATTTGATTGTTCGTCGTCTTCCACCTTTTTCTTTTCCCATTACTGATGCTGCTCTTCCTTTTTTCATCATTGTCCGTTTACGTTTCGATAATGCCCGTCTTTTTGTCGAATACAATTTCATTACACTTTGAGATGTTTTTTTTCCTTTTTTGGTCATTGATAATGACCGTGATTTAGGCGCAGATATTCTTTTGCTTTGTTGTTGTTTGACCATAGTTTTAGATTTAAAACTTGCAGATCTTCTTGTTTTTGATCGATTTTTTGATGATTTATTTCTCAATGATGACTTTGTTTTTTGTCTAGTTTTAGATAAACTCTTTGTAGGCAAATCTAGAACATAAATCTGTCGATCATTCAATGATAAAACAGAATCTTTTCCAATACTCAATGCTGATAAACTTGGTGATGAACGTTGAATAGTTCTTGTTTTGAATCTTTCCGATACAATTGGTGCCGCCGAAGATGACAACATCTTTTTGATTTTTTGATTCTTTATTGGCATATTTTGTTTTTTTTTCAATCCAATTCTATTCACTTTCAATTTAACAACAACAACAACAAAAAAAAATTGTAAATTCCATTCCAATATTTTGGTCTTATTTATTCATTCGAATGTAATTCAATTTTAATCAATTTCGTTTTAAAATTTAATAATTTTATTTTATTCTATATTACATGATTATTGTGAACAACAATGGCACAACATGTGATCGACGATGTTGGTGTTTTCTTTTCCAAGATTCTATTTATAGTATCCACCTCACATGATGTTGTTTTGAAGAATGTCGAGAATTCAAACAGATGATCAGGTTCATCTATTTTTTTCCGCTTGCGCTAATTATATATAATTTGGTCATTTTTTCTGGTTTTTTTTCAGATTTTATCCAAAAAATTGAAAAATTAAACGACCGTTCAAATAGATTGTTATGCGAATATATATAATTTCAATGTTTATCATGTGAGTCATGTTTTTTTTTTCATATGTATTTTTTTTTGTAATTTCAACTGTAAAATTTACTAAATAAAATTAAAAAAATTAAAAATTAGTGGCAAGACTAACTGAATTATTGCTGCAAAATTCTTATTAACAATTAATAATTAATTGAAAAAAGAAATCATTATCATCATTCGATCATAAATAAATCATCATTTTTCTTCCATTCGTAGAGATGTCTCTTTTTGATTGTATTTTTGGTCCTGCTCTTTATCGAATTTTTGAGAATCCGGTTCGTTTTTTTTTTATAATTTGTATTTTATGATGGAAATTATTCGAAAATGATGAAAATTTTTTTCTATTGATTTTAGCATCGTAACTATGAACCCTATAATTTGGAACGTTATACAGATCGAATAATTCGTTTTATACAATTCTGTAAGAATACATTGACATATGTTTCACCATTATTGGCCTATCAATTATATTGTCAAACACGTGATACAGAACAATCTGAATCATCATCATCATCATCATCATCATCATTGTTATCATTATTATCGAATAGTACATATGTTCGACTTTTAATGGCATTTACATCCATTTACATTTTGGCAAATTTATTACGTGGATTTTCACGTTCCATTAATCCTAATTATTGTCAATTTATTCGAACATTTAAAACTGCATCAACATCATTGTTGGCCGATCATCGTGGTGATGATGATGGTGATATCCGTAAACGAATAATCGATGCTAGAAATATAGTTCGTGAAAAATATGATTATGATTTTCAACATTGGCCCATTGATTTCAAATGGACTGAAGGTAGATATTGTTATGAACGTCCGGCAAAACTATTACCAATAAAAGAAGCTAGTAATGAAACATTGAATGAAAGTCCAGTAGTGAATATGGTTTCATATTTAATGGCCAATTCTATTGGAAGAATCTTACTTTATCCTGGATCCATTGGTTTGTTGCAAAAAGTTATCGAAAACAATCTGATTACTGGCCGCCATTTTCTTATGGAAAATTATCAAGCCAAACGTTTTAAATTGCTTGCACGAGACCAAAATCAAATTGATGTCATTTTTGTTGATAAAAGAAATCCAAATAATAATCGAACCTATCCTGGTAATACATTAGTAATCACATGTGAAGGTAATGCTGGTTTTTATGAAATTGGATCGGTCACAACACCGATCAATCTAAACTATTCGGTTATTGGATGGAATCATCCAGGATTCGGCGGTAGTACTGGAACACCTTTTCCACAGAATGATATAAATGCGATGGAAGTTGTCGTGAATTTTGCTGTAACCAAATTGAATTTCAAATTAGAAGACATTCTTATATTTGGCTGGTCAATTGGTGGTTTTCCTGCCGCATGGGCTGTATCGAATTATCCAGAACTGAAAGGTGTTATACTTGATGCAAGTTTTGATGATGTACTTCCATTGGCACGTTCACGAATGATGCCATTTTTAGCACCGATTGTTGATTCTACTATAAGAAATTATTTCAATCTAAATGTATCATCATATTTGAATCGTTATCAAGGTCCAATTCGATTTATTCGACGATTAAAAGATGAAATCATTCCAATCGATGCATCACGGCCATTATTAACAAATCGTGGTAATCATTTGTTGATTAAATTATTAAAATCACGTTTTCCACGTTTAATGTCACACGATGATATTAGTGATGAAGTAGAACAATTTCTTCATTCAGAAAATTATGGTTATTTACTTCGTAAAGTTGATGATAGTAAAGTAATGGAAGCATTATCACGTTATGCACAGAAATCGGCAATGGAAAAATATCCAATTGAAATTGATGTTGATAAAGATTTAGAGATTAGTATGTTATTGGGACAACAAATCATTTTATTCTTGGTAAGTGAACAATTGTCATTCATTACTTTTTACGATTAATCTCACTTATTAATCTCTTTTTTTTCTACCAGTGTCGTGAATTAATGACTCAATTTGATTCAACACATTGTACACCATTACCATCAAGTTTATTCAAAGAACCTGTCGATTTGTTATCATTGATTAAAAAAGCATAAAATTGTCATTACATTGTCATCGGATGATCATCATCATAATTGTTGTTTGTTGTTGTCATGTTGAATGAAAATGTTAATGATTCATGGAAAAAAATGATTTATAAGATTTTATTACCATCCTTTTTTTTATTTGAATAGTTTATTTTAAATGAAAATTCAAAAATAAAGCACTGATTATCATCAATTTATAATTCTCTCTAATTGAAAACAGTATTCAATCACAATCAATTATGATTCGAAATTATAGGTATTCGATTTTTTGCAGGTGCAGCCATCTGTTAACAGAGAAAAAACTGCTAAAAATTTTAATCAAAATGTGTATGTTTGATTTAATAAATTAGAAAACAAAAACAATCATCAATCATTTTATTATTCATTTCAACAATATTGTTTGATAATGTTTGTGATTCAGAAAAAAAAATCAATTTTTCAAGACCAAATTCTTTCATTACGCCATGGTGATAGATTCATACGGCTTATTTGATTACAGCTAATTTTGCCATTCCTTTGTGTACGATGGAAAAATAAATAAATGTGATTTGAATATTGTGATAAAAAAATGTGTTTGTGGATTAAAAAGCTTACCATGATTCTGGTCTAAGGAATGCTATTGGCTGTATTCGTCCAATCGTATCTGTATTATCACAGATTAATGAAGCCAAACTGGATTTCTTAATCTCCATTAATTGTTCTAATTGGATTTTTTTTAACGAAAAAATAAAATCATGATTCCAAAAATTCATTGATAAAAATACCTTTGCTAAATGAATGTGGTAATTTTCCATTTTCATACCAAAATCGATCACCGAATTTTGAACGACGAAATTGTTCGGCTACAATACAAGCAAATGTTGGCCCAACTAATGCATCTGGTAATGGATCTTCATGTACACCACCAATAAATAGATCAATATCCTCAACATTCTGATACATTTGTGAAAATGTTTCGGCTGCACCAGCTGTCATGAATCGATTAAGATCATTGAATGAATTGGCTGGTTGTAGACCGCACAAACGACGATATTGATTATAACCAGGTAATCCATGATCACGACCACGTTGAATATTCAAGGCAACCAAATCCATACCGAAACCTGAACCTCTTTCTTCGAATAAATGATTGGTCAACTGAACAAAAAAAAAAGAAAAGAGAAAAAATCAGTAATCGATGATCAATAAATCAATTGAAAAATATTCACCGAATCAGCAAAGAAATGATCCCATGTTTGTCCGGCATCAGTTACGAAACCATTCAAAAATTGTTCAAAAGCATTTGCATTATATAAAGTCAATGGATTATTGAATACTTCATGTAATCGAATAACTTGTGTTGGCTGTCCATTTCGATCTAAAGCACGAAAAGTTCCTTGTACTAATGAATGAAAACGATATGCAGCGGCGGCGAATTCATTCAGTACGTTAGGATTGATTTTTGGATCATAATTATAGGTAAAATCAAAAGTTTTTGGTAATAAACCAAATTGTTTCATAACTGTTGGACTAAGTACAATGGGTAAGAATTCATTATAAGTAATATGTTGAATTTCGGCTGCAACAATTCTTCTTGCTTCCTGATATAAAGTATTATCCGGCCAATTTGGATTTAACCTTGCTAGTTCACCAGCCACACGATTATGTTCCCGTACAAACAATGCATGTATCATTGTCAATCCGGTTTGTTCATTGACACGAGCATCACCACCGAGAAAACATTTAAATCTTGATTGATCACGTTCCGGTATAGCACAATCATCGGAATGATTACCACGATCGAATGGTAAAAATTCTTTATTCTGAAATGACGATGTTTTTAATCGTCCACCACGGAATGAACGCAAAATTTTTGCCCGTTCTACCGTAGGACCATAAACCATTGAACCATCAATAACATGTGTCAATGTATTCATCTGTTCACGATGTCCCAGAGAACAACCACTTCTTGGTGCTGGTGCATTACGTACAAGATTCATACATTTTTGATTAAAACGACGATAGAATGAATCTTGATCAGGAACTTCAATGGGAAAACAAGCATGATGTTCAACTTTTCTTTGACTTTCTGGATGACAACAAATCAATCCTTGGCCGGTAGCAGCACGAGTTGATGATGCTAATGTAAAATCATGATCAATAAATTGTCCCCATTGCATAAGCATTAATGTATATTTTGGATCCGGAATATTTCGGCTTGGTGCTGATGAATGTGATACTAAACGTGCTGATGGTAACAAATCACCGGTTACCGATCTAGTTCGTGGTTCATTCAATCCATCATTATATTGTGGTGGTAATAAACGTTCGAATGCGGTATTTGATTTTCCCCATAATGGTCGTTGTAAATTATTACAACTACCATCAATTGTTCGATATTTACCCTGTTGACATGATGGTTCTGGAATACAATATTGTTCTAAATCCGTATGTTCAATCGAATATCGATAAAGTCCATCACGAGCTTGTTCATTACTAAGTTTGAATTTTCTTTTGATAACCAAAGTGGTTACTAAATTGATGAAACCTCCAACCGTTAAACGAAATTGTACTGGATCAAATTCACCAAAAATGCTTGATGCAATGCTTGCATAGAACCATGGCGTTGAACCATACCATGTGAAACTAATTGTCTTTCTTGTTGAATGTAATTTTCAATGAATTTATTTGCTTCTTTTGCAGCAGTATTAATATCTTCTAAACTGATGAATCCAACACGCATTGATGGTTTCTGTTCCTGAGGCAATTGTATTGGATTATCTGTCATCATTGTGTGATTGATAATATGGAAATGATAAAAAAATCATGAGAAATTAGAATGATCACTGATAATAAAACATTAAACTTACTATAACGTCTTTGGACACGATCACCTTCGATTGGACAACAAATACCATTTGCACCGGTTCCAACATATTGACAAATATTTGATTGATAATCATCTGGATCACTGTATTGTGCATAACAATATGCTGCAGGTGCACAAAGACCATCCAGACCATTATTTGTACGGCAAGGAACCATTTCGCTTGGATCACGATTTTGTCGTTCATTTTTAGGACCAACATCATTAAAACCAGATGGTGCACGGCCACCACCACCACCACCACCTCTTCCGCCTCGAGGATAATCTTCTTCTTCATCTCTGACGATAATTTCAGGTCTAACCTGATAACCATTGTTGTTATTATTATTAACAGGACGATTATTATTTACGCCACCTCGTGATGGATTTATTCGAATAATAAGTTTTGTTTCCGAATCAGGCTGATTCCTATATTCTATTTCTGGTTCTCCATAACCTTCTCTTTCGCGATTACGTTGACGTTTTCGTTCACGCCGTTCATTTTTTCGTCGTTGTTTTTCTTGCCGTCGAATAAGTTTAGCTTCTTGACGACTTAATGGACGACCACCTTCTTCCAAGTAAGCACCGTTTGTAGCATCGCCATAATTTCCACCAACACCACCACCATCACCATAACCATTGTTTGAACCATCAGCTGGACATGGTCCACGATATACTTGACCTTGTCGTAAATATTCACAAATTTTTTGTGATCGTCTACCATGATTCTGTTGAATATCTTCAGTAATAGCTTCACTTATATCCTGTGCTAATTCATAGCCATTCGGTTGTCGTTGTCGATTCTGTATTTTCTGCTGTACATTTCTTTGTATATTACGAATACCGTTGACAGTTTCTCTCATAATCGCATGAAATGGTGAAGCTTGCGTATCGTATCCATTTGGTAACGATAAAATCGTTGTACCAATCAACAACAAAATCCAATAACAATTGTACATCTTCAAACTAGCGATGAAAACGTCGAAATTAAATATGCAAAAATTCGTTCAAAAATCGAATCAAAATGAAAACTGGTAAGGAAATTTTATACACGACACTATTAATCCAGTTAATTCGAAACAGTTATACATTAAACATTAAACATTATATAACAGATTACTATTGAAAAAAATTGTAAAACAACAAATGACAGAAGAAAAAAAAATCTGTTTCAAGGGAAACAAAAAATTCCGGATGTATCCATTGTGTTGTGTCAATATGGATTTGATTAAAAAAAAAGATCTCTTTGATCGATGTATCACTGGCGAAATCAAAAACACGAATGAATATGTGTATGAAATTGGCCGAATTTCCTTCCTTAAATCATTCGATCATCAATCGAAGGATGATGATCATTCGAATGAATGCGAATACACCACCATCAAAAAAAACAAAACGCCACAACAATATATTACATGTATATAAATGTTAATTGATTTTCAATCAAATCAATCATCATTTTCCTTTCTTTTTTTCAATTAACACGTAATATTTACATTCTTATCAATGAATCAAGAGAAATAGTTTGATATTTGTTCGAGAACTATGTGTGTATGTTCAAAAAAAAACAAGCGATGTGTATGTAAAAAAAACAAACGAAAAATTCCCAGTGTGTAATATCATCATCATTGTTATATGTTTTACATCAAGGCCAGGCTGACAGATTAAGAATTTGTGAAATTGAAAAAAAAAATTTCATTTCATTTTACGGATGTTATTACGTAAAAGAGAATGAAAAACATATACAAATTTATCGTTTGAATGAAAAAAAATTTTTTAAAAATTTAATATCCACTTATGATCATCATCAAATAATAAGTGGTTAGAATTTATTATTTAAAAATATTAAGAAAAAAAAATTCAATTATTACATCAAATCGTCAATTTGATTGATTGATGATGATGATGATGATGGTGAACATCTTAAATCTGATGATGATGATGTTTACGAATTTTTTTTTACAAATACAATCCTTCGGGCATGCCTTCTTTTTTACGATAAAGAACATTATCTTTAGATTTACGAAAATCTTCTCCTGTCACTTTCATACGCCGTTCACGTAATGCCATTAAACCGGCTTCAGTACAAATGGCCTTGATATCGGCACCACTAAGATCATCTTTAGCCATAACCAATTCTTCGAAATTTACATCTTCAGCTAATGTCATTTTAGATGTATGAATATTGAATATACGACGTTTGGTTTTTTCATCAGGTAATGGAAATTCAATTTTACGATCAATACGACCGGGACGAATTAATGCCGGATCCAATGTTTCGATACGATTAGTTGCCATTACAACTTTAACATCACCACGTGAATCAAAACCATCCAATTGATTCAACAATTCTAACATTGTACGTTGAATTTCACGTTCACCACCGGAATTAGATTCATAACTAAATAATAATAATAAAAAATCATTACATACAATAACCAATAAAAATTGGAAAAAAATAAATCTTACCGTTTAGTACCGACAGCATCGATTTCATCAATGAATACAATAGATGGTGCATGTTCTTCGGCCACACGAAATAATTCACGTACCAATTTTGGACCATCACCTAGATATTTTTGGATTAGTTCCGAACCGACAACTCGTAGAAATGTTGCCGAGGTTTGATTAGCTACAGCTTTTGCCAACAACGTTTTACCAGTTCCAGGTGGTCCATAAAGTATGACACCCTTCGGTGGTCGAATACCCATTTCTTCATAATATTCTGGATGTGTTAAAGGCAGTTCAACACTTTCCTTAATTTCCTGGATCTGTTGATCTAGACCGCCAATATCGGCATAGGTTTCTTGTGGAGCTTTTTCCAATTTCATCACATTCACCATTGGATCGACATCATCACTTAAAACACCGACAACAGCATGCACTTTATGATTTAGCAAAACGCAACAATTTGGCTCAAGTTGTTCTTTGTCTACAAATGATAATATTGAAACATAATGTTCAGAACCAACTGATGTGCTAACGATTGCATGATTATCATCGATAATTTCTTCCAAATTTCCGACAGACATAGGTGTACCACGGAGATCATCAACTTTACTACGTTCATCATCAGCACTGTCATCTTTATCTTGATTAGCTTGAATGGCAGCGTTACAATTTTTCAGGAATTCTTCTTCTAACAATAGCCAATCTTGAATACGTTCCATTTTGAGCAATTTCAAAAGACATCGAGTATGTGGTGTTACGGTGGGTAATTTCGATGCTGCATCTGGACCTTTTCCGCCTTTACGTTTACGGCCACGAATCGTAGATGGTGGCGGTGGTGGTGGACGTTCACGTTTTTGACGTTTACCATCTTTATCACCACTACCCGAACCTGAACCACCGCCAGATTGACTTTGTCCCTTTTGTCAAAAAAAAAAATCGGAAAAAAATATGAAAATTAATAAATGAAACAAGCAACAACGATAAAGAAAAACAGACAAACCATTTTAAAGAATCAGGATAAAAAAAATAATTGAGGATAAGACAGAAAAAATGTATCAAAAATTTTTTTAAATGAATCAACTTGTGACAACAAAACAAATCAAAAAGAATGATGATGATTTCGCGAAAAATTTTGCTTCGTAATAGTGAGCCGTTCATAAAGGCTATGACGATATATAATTTTAAAAAAAAATTTCGATTTTTTTCTTTCTCAATTTGAAAAGTTTATTAAACTTGGTAAGATTACAAAAATTCAATAATATTCGATTCTTTGTTTTTTTTTTCACTTGGTTAACGAAACAAAAGCTCATAATAACAAATATAAATTATTGCAATTACTAATTCGACGATGGACAGAAAATTTTTGCGAAAAAAAAATGAATTTTACATTATTGAATTCAATCGATTTTTTTGTTTCAAAGAAAAGGCCAATATAAAATCAATGAAAAAAAAAGAAAAACAAAAAAAAAGAATAGTGACCCAAGAAGAGAAGGAAAAAAAATTCACCAATGCATTAATCAATCAATCAACGACAACAACAATTTGTTTTTAAAAATAATTAAAATATAATCACAATAATTGAAAAGAAAAACATGTAAAATGACCAAAATTGTTTGTTTGTTTTTTTTTATCGCCACCAAAAATTATTATTAACAATAAAAATTGTTTTTGTTGACTATTTTGATGTTGGATTATTAAATACATTCACATATCGTTTACGACGTAAATCACTTCGAAAGGCATTTGCTGTTGATCCAGTTGATGATGTTGATGATGATGGTGGTGGTGGTGGTATTGATGCTCCAAATGGATTCGAACCAGAAATACTGCCATTCATCATCATCATCATTGGTGGAGTATCACTGCTTGTTTTATTTGTATTTAGTTGTAACGATGGTAATGTAGGAGAATGTGGAAAATTATTATTCATCGATGTTGGTGATGTTATTGTTGAATTTGGTTCACTTTGAACACTTGAACCAACACTATTAATACCCGGTATTGGTATTTTTGGAGGAGGTGGTGGTACGCCAGCACCCATACCACCTTGATCATTTGCCGATTTATCGATCCATCTTTTACTAACTGGATCATATATTATTTGTGGATCTTTATCATCCGGTAATATCATTTGATTTTTAGCTGAAGAAATAAAAAGAATTTTTTTTTAACTGTGAAATAAAATTTCGAAATTTTTTTTATTCAACTTACGTTTTAATCGACCTAGAATGGCGCCAAGCAAACCAGTATTATTATTCGATTTACTTGGTGATGTTTTTGTCGATTCTCCGCCATTATTATTATTGTTATTATTATTGGATTCCGGTCTTTTTAATGTTTCATTTACACTATTATTCACCGGCGGTATATTATTAGTATTCTGTAGGAATTCATTATTTTCATGATTAACTTGACCATTTGGTGAAGTCTGATTATCCAATGGTGCATCGTTATTTTTAAAATATGGATCATATGGTATCGATGTAACATGACCATTTGTTGAAATGAAATCAAATGGAGATGTTGAATCATTCGACGATGGTGGTGGTGGTTGGAAAAAGGCTGGATATGACGGAACAGTATTTTGGTGATTTTCAGGATTTTTTTCACTCGATTCATCAGTGTTTTGAAACGACGAAGGCAAAGCTGATTGCATAGCATTCATATTGAAATTATCATTAGGTGATGATGGCGGTGAAGCTGAATCCAATGAATCGAAACTTTTTTGATGGTGAATAGAATCGGTTTCCACATGATTTGTTTGTTGTGTCGTTGTTTCCATTATAGGATTCAATGTTCTTGGAAATGTATGATTAGCTATAGTTGGTAAACTACGTCTAGGTCCTTGTTGTACCGGTCCTTGTGAAACCAATCTATTCGATTGCAATGGTAATGAATCTAATGGAGATGGACAAAAATTTAATTCGAATTTATTTTTGATATTAATTTTCTGCATACTTGAATTATCAGCAATCATGTCATTTGGATTCAATGGTTCAATTGGGGACATTGCCGATACATTCAACGAAGAGGATTTATCGATCACTGGTGTATTAGCAGTAGTAGACGTGGCCGTCATCATCATCGTAGAATGACGTCTATGATCCACATTTTGTTGCTGAGAATGTTGTTGATGTTGTTTGAAATTTTCTTGTTGATTTGAAGATAAAGACGTCGAAACCGGTGATGATTGTTGTCGGATTTGTTGTTCCGGTTTTGATAATGATGATTCAGATGTATCCAATTCAACATCTACTTCTTCATCTTCAATATCTTCAACAACATCGGTACGATCTTCATCCTCTTCGCCAGCTACATCAACATCGGCTTCAACATTATCATCATTATTATTTTCATCATTCTTAAAATCATCTTTTTGTTTAATAGCAAATAAAGGTGAATCAAATTGTCGCATTTCTCGATTTATTCGAGTGAATATTTTGTTAAATTGATATGACCAAATCTCTTGCAATAATTTCAAATCTAATTGATCATCTTCATTATTCATAATCGAATCCGGCAGCAGCCATTTTGAATATTTAGATTTTTTATCTATCAACATTTTCCATTCAAATTCAGGATCTTTAAGTTTGTTTACAATTTTCGTCAAATAACGCGATGCATTTCGTGTGAAACCAAAATCAAATAATTCAAAGGCAAACTCCAATTTTCTTAGGATCAAGCGTGGATTCAATCGTTCACCACGGAAACGAGCAAATTCAAGACATTCATTGACAAGTAAACAATCGAATCGATCATGATTGAATAATTCGTCGGGTAGAATATAATTAAAATCATCTTTCAACAATGCAATCATTAGATCAATAAGATTACGATAAGATTTATCGGCAATTTCCACTTTATCGAATTTAATATCATTAGCTAACAATATTATGAATGATTCTAATCGATCAATCTTGGCACTTGCAGTAGTTCCTGTAGCTGGTGATGGAATCATACAACCATTCTCTAATGTAGCAGAATTTAGAATATTTGTCGCAATTTGTAAAAGATGAGTATAAAATACATAGACTGAAACAATAAAAAAAAATGTTATATGAAATTCAAATGTAAGAAAAAAAAACTTACGAGGATCTTCCGTAGACAAAGTAGTGGTGATAAATTTCTTGATTGTTGAAATCATCAAATTATTATCCACAACTTGGCCAAGATTTGTATTTGACGATGAAGATAGAAACGATAGTAGATATGATAGAGCCAATGCATGATCAAAAAGACCATTATTTTGAGCAAATGTAATCGCTACACGACGTTGACCACGCATCAATAATTGTCGAAGATGTGAAAGTAAATCACGATAATAATCTTTGGTCACCGCTTCACTACCACCTGATTGTGATAATTTTTCCGAATCATCACCATTTGGTTGTACAAGTTCATATAATAATTCTAAAATAAAAACGCTAATTTAGTATTTTACATTCAATTTGAAAAAAATTCTTACCCGAAAGATCTAATCCAGATAATGTACCATTTTGTCTAAACAACATTGTTATTACTTTCAATATTAATTTCAATTCATAATTCATTGTTGAATCATTTAATTGTTTTACACGAATCCAATCCAATGATAATTGTGAATCTTCGAATGGTAATAATGTAGCATTTGGATCATCATTACTTGAATATAATAGCAATGATTGTAAATGTAGATTAGGATAACATTGTTCAATAAAAACTTCTTGCAGGCCATAAAGACCGACATTTGAATTTGGTTCAACCACAATTAATTGATTATCATGCTGTGAAAATACACAAGGTGTATGGAATTGATTATATTTAAATGGGGCAATCTTTTTCTGATTCTGTATCTGTTGTTGATGTTTATGAAATGCAACCAGCCTTTGATAATATTCCCGATAATATTGTGAATAATATTGGCTAACATATTCATTTGGATTTGTTATTCCAGCCACAGCCATCGATGTCAATTGCTGTTGTTGTTGATGATGATGATTTGGCTGTGAATGCGATGGTGATAAAATCTGATTTGTCATTGCTGGTGCAAATGATTGCGGTTGTCCTGCATTGCCTGGCCATTGAACTGATGTTGGTGCTAACGAACCAATATTCGGATGATTAGAAGTGGGTGAAACTATTAATCCAGCATTTTGATTTATTTGTGGTTGTTGTTGTTGTTGCTGCTGCTGCTGTTGTTGTTGTTGGAAATTAAAACCAAATGCAGCAGCCGCAGCAGCAGATGCTGATATTTGATAATGATAACTAAGATTTGGTGGTAAACTTGTCGGTTGCTGCTGTGAAGTTGGCTGATGATAATTGGCTTGCTGTTGTAATGACCATGATACTGGTCCATTACCGGTAGTATTTGGATAGTTATGATATCCTTGCTGTTGTTGCTGTTGATGATGTGATAATTGTGGATATTGTCCAGGTATCTGATATGAATTTTGTATTGTTGATGGAATGTTTGACGTTAATGAACTAGGACCAGCACTTGATACTTGTGGATAGAAACCACTATAAATACTACCAAGGTTTACTGAATCAACACTTGGTGGCCGTGATGGTTGTTGAGACATATGATGATTAGTTTGATACGATTGATAGTTATGATGATGATGAGAATTTGAATCCATCAATGAGTCTATATAACCGAATGATTTCAATTACCGTTTGAGTTGTAAACCAGAGAAAACAAAAATTGAACTAAATCCTAAATCTTTACCAGCAAAAAAAAAGACTATTAATTTGAGAAAAAAAAACAAAACACAAAAAAACTTACATGAAAGACAAGATTTTGTTTTGTTTTGCTATAAACTTTTTTTTCGAATAATAAAAAACTTTGTTTCCAGAAGAATTTTTAGACCAAATCGATGTGTTTTTCAGTTTTCAAAGATGATGATGATGATGATTATTGTTACGACACAATAAATAAAATAAAGAGATAAATTATCATTATCATTTCATATTATAATCGAATCGAATAAAATTATCATTTGCAAATGGATTTAGAACGAAAAAAGAGTGAGGACTTTGCAAAACAAATCATCAGGTTAGCTGACGTGTTGGCCAACAAACATACACACACACAGCTCAATTAATGATGATGATGACGACGACGACGACGACGACTACGAATAAGAAGGTTTTTGAATACGATGAAAAAAAACTTTTCGGTAGAAGCACAGGATAATGGTAGTGAAATGGAAAAAACAAAAAAAAACAACATATCGATTGTATCGATATTTAAAATTACGAGAATCTTATTTTTTTTTTTTTAAATGATGCGCGCGCTTTATGTTTTCATTTCCTTCGTGTTTTTTCCTCTCTCTCTCTCTCTCTCTCTATCATTCGGGTAATATTGTTCCAGAATAAAAAAATAAAAATAAAAATTCCGATCATCGGTCTGATCATCAGCTGTGCATACCAGCTGCTTATATAGAAATGGCAACGCTGTATAGGAATTGGTGGTATATATTGTCTATATATGGTTTTACCATAAATTGATCATTTCTTCCTACTGTGCAAAAATGTGTATGCTTCCCGGTTCACCAAAAAATAATATAATTTGGAACAATTCTTTCTTTCCTTCATTTTTTTTCACTTGGTGCGTAGTTATTTTGCACGCATTGAATGCAATGATCCAAAAATCATGGATCGCCTTCTATTTCAATGTTTTCACATCATCATCATATGAATTCACTGAAAGAAAATTTGATTCGACTCGAAACATCTTTTTTTACTGAGTCAATGCAAATCTTGATTTTTTTCGTTTTTTTTTTTTTGTTTCGCATCTTGTTCACTGGGCTAGTCGTTTCATTTGATTAGCTGTGTGTTACATTTTTTTTTTTTTTTGCAAGTCAAGTTCAATTGGAGGTTTAATATAAACACCATCATCATCATCATCATCACCATCATCGTCAATAAATTGGTCTGATGATATTAAAAATCATTTTCATTCCACAGTGTTTCAGTCATTTGAATCAATTCATCAAATATTGTTCTGGTTGTAAATTGTAAGTTTTTCTTTTTACACTATTGGTCGTTAATGGCTGCTGTATATGCGGGATATGACTTCCGATAAAGGTGATTTGTTTTCATCTTCTTCTTCAACGAAAAAAAAAAAATTGAATTCAATTTCTATCTTCTGATTATCATTATTAGTGAATTCAATTAAAAATCAATTGTATACTACAACATCATTAACAATGTCTGCCGATGTTCCATCACAACAACAACAACAGCAACCACCACCACCACCGTATTCATCATTATATCCACCAACAATAACAACAACATCACCTTATGGACCAATACCAATGACATCTGCTGCTGCAACATTTGCACCATTCTATCATCAGAATGGTAGTATTACAACATCGGGACCACCACCGCCACCACCACAATTACCCCCACATATGATTGGAACACAATTAATGGCAACACATCCATCAACAATTGGACCTCATCATCATCAAATGTATGGAACGATTGGTCCAAATAATTATATACCAGCTACAGCTCAACCATACGGTCTGTATCAAACGGCAGTGATACCAACAGCATATGGACCAATGATTGCTCCAATTCAATTTCCACCAATGACAAATGCTGCTGCTGCTGCTGCAGCGGCAGCCTCAATGATGATACCAACTACGAATACAACAGCAGCAGCCGCAACAACCGATCCATATTTTGATCCACGAAATCAACATCATCATTCTCGTGCATTCGAAATCGAGATGGCCAGACAAACTATTCCGGTAATTATATAATGAAATTTTTAGTTTTTTTATTATTATTATTTATTTTCATCACCAGATTCCACCATTTGGACATATTCCACCAGTAGTACCATCGGGAAATATGGCATTAATGTATGGTGCAATGGGAAATGGAAATGGTACAATGTTGGTATCGAAACCATTGAAAAAACCATTCTATTAAAAAAAATTATCAGAAAAATTAATCAATCGTGGCTATAAAAATGTGCAATAGCAAATTTATTCTTATCTTTCAACATACACACTAACATTAAGCAATTATCCATCATTGATTCTGAATCCTTGATCACAGAACAGAAGAAGAAAACGTTGGAAAAAAAAGACATAAACATCGAAAATTATTATTTTCTTGTTAGATCCAAATGATATTCAGTATTTTTTTTTTCGCACACACACATTTTGATTTTATTATTATTAAGTTTTTATTTTCATCGTTTTTTTTGTTGTTGAGCAATTTCATCATTTTTTTTCTCTCTCTCTCGTCATTCGATTTGATAAAGTTTTTGTTGTTGTTGTGATTAATTTTTTTTTCTCGACAATTTGATCGATTATCAAGATTTACGACGACAACAACAACAACAACAATCGATCAGATAAACAGATTCAGATCAAGTAAACAAGACAAAAAAAATTACTCAAAATTGGACCATACATCCAACAAACATCAAAGTGTTACACATAAAAAAAAAGAATTTCCATTATATTTACAAGCAATTATTTTGAATTCTTTTTCACTTTCTAGATGATGATGATTTTTTTTGCGTACAAGAAGAAGTCATCATCGCTATTTATTTCGAAAAAAAAGAGAGAAACCTATATTATATTATCTATTTATTAATAATGATGATGATTATACCGATAAAATAAAAATTTTCAAAAAAAAAAAAATTTTTTGTCACGTTATATATGAATATATTCAATGTTAAGATTTTTGTTTGTTTTTTTTCTTCTTTGATTCGAAAAAAAAAAATTGTTCCATCAATATTGACAAAAACAACAACGACAACAACAACAACAACAACAATGGGTAAACATAAAAAACAAAAACAAATTGAAGATGATCATGTTGAAATTGTGATGATAAAACAAGAACCAGATTCAGACGAACAATGTGATGAAACTTTAAATGAAAAGAAGAATAAGAAAATGAATAAACATTGTGATAATGAAAATGATGAATCCAATCATCGATTACAAAACGATGATGATGACGATGATGATCGATTGTCGGATGATTTACCATCACTTAAAGATGGTGTACAAATGGATTCAACATTAATTTCTGATGAACAATTACATCGTTTGATACCAAAATTACGAAAACCTAATGATAATGATAAAGAATTATTACAACAATATAATTTATCTATTCAAAATGGACGATTTACTCGACAAGAAAATACCATTCTTCGTCGTAATTGGCAACGTTATCTAAATGATTATAATGTACCTAATAAATCTCTATTACTTGGACATTTTCAATATGAACGTTCAAAAGATGGTGAACAAAAAATTAAAAAAACATATCGAAAATTCGCTAATGAAACACAATTATGGCTACGGTTGGCTAAAGATCTTCCTAATCGTACGATATTTCAGATATATTGTCGTGCTCGGTTCCTATTGTCGGATTTGAAAATAGCAAAAGATTTATCTGAAAACGATCGTCAAATCATATTGGATCTATATCGTACACATGGTGATCATTATACAAGTTTCTGTGAAGAATATGGCTACAATCCAAAATGTGCAAGAGAAATTATTCGTCATGCAATCAACTCCAATGGTGTTGAATTGAATCATGGTGAATGGAGTTTGGAAGAGGTGAAAAAGTTAAAAAAAGTTGTTCTTAAATTAATGAAAAGACTAAATCTTCAAACATATGATGGTATTCCATGGAGTCTTGTGGCTAGAAAACTTCATCGTTCCGATATTCAATGTCGACAGAAATTTTTCAGCAAATCAACATTATTCACAATGATTTCACAACCACAAATCGATGATTGGAATGAAAAATTGGATATAGCTAAATTTATTGCTTTATTGAAACATTTAAATTTTTCTGATCATAATATGATCGATTGGGATTATATAAAGGAAAAATTTTCCAGTGATTATTTCAATATTCTATTACGTAAATGGCGTGAAATGCGTGTACGTATACCTGATCATCAACAATTGTCGTTACATCAGATCCTTGAACATTTATATAAAACACGTGTATTGAAACATTTTGGTCATGATCCAAAGAAAATGAAAGAAATCGACAATTTCATCAATTCATCATAAATTAAAATAATTCATTTTTTCTATTTATACAAAAATCCACTATTTTCACTCAAATTGTGTTTACTATGTTTTTTGCGATGCGCCATGCATTTTCATGTGTTGAATTGAATTTTTAAAAAATCATATTTTTTTTTCTCATCTGATTAAAAAATCAACCTGATTCATTTTATCAATGTTGTTGAATATAAGTAATTCAATTCGTTTTCATGAATTAATATGTTGTAGACAGATTCTGTATCAACCGAAACAATTACTTCGATCTGTTCGATCGACATTGATTCGTTCTAGCGTCAATCCAACAATTGAACATGATGAAAATGAAAATTCGCAAATTCTTGATGAAGAATCTGATTACAATTATCTTGGAATAAATCCAAAAGAAGATTCATTCACAATTCATGGTGATTATGTTCGTAATGATCACATGAAATATCGTGAACAAATTGCCCAGAAATATAAACCATTATTTCGGCCTAAACAAAAATATGTGGATGATATTCGAAAAAAATTGGGTGTTTTAAATGTTCGTTTTGATTCAGAAAATCAAGCACAATTTCATGGTGAATTTGAAAAACGTGATGAATTAGTTTTCAAAACTATGGATGATGTTGTCAATCATATTGGCAGAAATCATGTTGAATTTAATGAACCAGTACAGAAGAAATTGGTTAAAAAAATGGAAATAGATTTTGTTCCATTTGACACCGAAAATGGTTGCAAAACAACCGAACGAAAACGATCAACGAGAAATAATGATTCGATTCAATTTCGTTATGCAAAAGAATTATCATCAGAATTTAATGGGAAAATTTCCACTGCAAACAATCAAAACAATGACCATGTTGATGATGATTGGATTACATATGAACAAACGAAACGTGAATCACCGAAAAAAGAAAAACCAGAACCATCAAAATCGGAAAAAATTATGGCTGTAAAATTTGAACCATTCAACAAAGAGGAAGGTGTCATCATTAAACCAAAAAGTATTTCCGGATATGAATATCTAAAACAAATTCGTCATGGAAAACGTGAACCAAAATTAGTGAAAGAATTTGATGAAATGAAAAATATGATTCCAAAAGAGAAACTTGATACAAAAGGTTATCGAGTATTGACGAATCAGGTACCAGATTTTTCTCATTTAACCAACGATGAAGTATTGAAAATGCTTGAAGCACAAATTTTATTCAACGATGAAGATATTGTTGCATTGAATAAACCATATGGTATCGCTATTCATGGTGCATTTGGTTCCACAATAAAAAATTCAAAAATTTCTAGTCATCGAATTAATTCAAAATTTCATCATGTAATACATCTTGGTTATTTTCTACCAAAATTAGCTGAACATCTTAATTGTACGGAATTATACACTGTTCATCGTTTAGATCGTGATACAACCGGTGTATTATTATTGACGAAAACTCAAGAAAAAGCTAAACAATTGAATCAATTATTTAAGAAACAAAAAATAATGAAAAAATATTATTGTATAACGAAAAATAAACCCGATAAACCAGAAGGAATTATTGATATTCCAATCGAATTAGGTTATATTAAATCATCATCAGATGGTGTTGGCAGAAAACGTGAACGAATGGTATTATGTCCAGAACCAGTACAAGGAATTCGTTTACAACGAAATTGGCGTACAGCACGTAAAGCCATTACACATTATAAAATTCGATCCGATCATGGAAATGCAGCCTTAATTGAAGTAAGTGATTTGTGATTTTCAAATCCCAAAATCTGTGCTAATCATTTTTTTTTTTTTTTTGGTTTATAAATTCATCATTAGGTTACACCCGAAACCGGTATACGACATCAGATTCGTGTTCATCTTGGTTTCGGTCTACGTTGTCCAATACTTGGTGATCATAAATATTCCAATCTGGATAGTCTATCACCACAACGATTACCATCGGACATATTGATGGCATTGAAAATACGTCAATCAAAATCACGTACAATTCCAATGCATTTACATGCATCATTAATAATGATACCAGAATTGGGTAAAAATGGCCAAAACATATTCATACGTGCACCATTACCGTATCATTTTCAACAGAATATGCGTTCATTAAAATTACGATTAAATTAGCGATAGAATATATTCTATTTTAATGTTTTTTATTTAAAACAAAAATGTGTAATTAAATAAATAAGAAACTTTAACTCTTTGAATTTCAACAATTGAATTAACCTTGTGTGGAGGCCCATTGATGGTGATTACCCAATTAAGCTAAAAATTCAAATAATCTTTTGTCATTTTCTTCATTGAATTATTATTCACTGTCTAAATAAAGAATTTTTTTTCCCATTGGGCGTTGATGATTATGATGCCAGATCATCGTCATCATCATCATCATCATCATCATCATCGTGTAGGAGGATTTCATTGTGTGTGTGTGTGTATAAATGCATCAACACACGCACACACACACACACCGTTTTTTACAATTTAGAATCTGGGCTAGGTGAATATCAAGTGCAACTTATACACAAGCAAAAAATGAAAACCTTGTGAGATTCTTCATTGCAAGACATGTGTGCGTGTGTTTATATTAAACATCCGACACATCAAATGATTTTGATGATGATGAAAAATTTTTGAATAAAAGCCAATCTATAGTATTCTTGTGTTTTTATCTCTAGAAAGATATATCTTTTGTGTGTGTGTGTGTGTGTGTGTTTATTGTTCAAGTTTTTTTTTCTCGTAAACTTTTCGGAACAGCAAAAAGAAAAAAAAACAGATTCTTTTTTATTCTGCTGAAGGGCAAAAGTAAAAAAAAAAGAATTTGTCTCTCTCTCTCTCATTGTTCAGTCGATTTAATTATTGTTAATTTAGCCGATTGTGAATAAGAAAACGAGTAAAAAAAACTGAATAATTATTCTGAGGCTAAATAATATTTTGAAATTCGATGAGTGGTTGTTGTTACTGCCACCATCGAATAGAATCATCATCAATGGAGCGAATAGGTTCAAAACAACGGAATAGAAAAAGTTGATGAAAAAAATAAAGCAAATGTGTTGTTTTTACCATCTATTAAAATTACCAGTCGGTATTTCATTAAGAGAAAAAAAATTCTTTGAAAAGAACAAAAATTTCATTCCTCTAGAATCTAGATTCAATTCATTCTTGAAAGAAGCTAGTGACTATTTTAGGTCAATTAGATATTCTGATGGCAGCAGCAAATCGGATAGCTAATATTGTTGTTGTTGTTGTTGTATGAAACGGAATTTTCTATTATTAGAATCATATCATCATCAGCATCATTTCGACAACAGAAAACAACATGATGATGTTGATTTTGAATATGGCAATGAATAACGCCTACTTTGTTTTTTTTCTTCAAACATTACGCCAAACTATGCCACACCAAATGATTATGGAAATAATTTTCTTTCTTTCTTTTTTTTTTTTTTTTTTGATGAATCTTTTGAATTTTCTGTGATCGGAATTTTCTTCTCACTTTTTTCATTCAAGAATTTTTCATCAAGAATCCACTGCCAGTGTCTGTTTGCCTGTCTATCGTATCATCACTGTTTGGAGATTGGTGTGTTTGGTGAAATTTTTTTATATTTCTGGTTTTTGATTGAAGAAATTTTTTTCTTGTTTCGTCCATTGATCAACTCATTCATTTGAGGTAGAGCAATTTTTTTAATTGATTTATCATTTATTGATTCATTGATGAAAATTTGTGAACTTTGAATTTTTTTTCATTGCTTCGATATTTTTTTTTCTTCACACAGTATTTTCTTGTTGTTTAATTCATTCGAATTTTTATTCATCTGAACAAAAAAAAAATAAAATAAATAATGGTAAGCATTTTTTTTTTTGAAATTATTTAATTCAAAATTCTCACTCAATGTTATTGGGGGCTGATGTCCAACAATTTTAGGCTGATTTAAGACCACCAGAAGTTGAAAGTAAGTTTTAAATTGATTTTTTTTTGTCATTCGAATTTGCTTTTGCCTTTTTCAATTACCATTACCATTAAAGGTGATTGTTGTTGTTGTTGTTAAAATAGTTGTTGATGAAAATGATTCGAATCGAATGCCAAGAATAATTAAGCGTAGGCGAGCTTATGACCTATTTTTAACTGATATTTGAATTTTGTTTCAAACAAAAAAAAATTTTGTTTTCTTTTTTCATCAACAGAGGCTCGTCTTCATTTTGATATCTATGATTTCGATGGCCAAAGCAAAGTTGATTATCATTATTTGGGCGATCTGTTGAGATCATTAGATCTTCGACCTACCCAAGATTCAGTGGCGAAAAATGGCTGGGAAAAGAAAAAAGGTATGTTAATAATTGTTTACAATTCGAAATAATGATAAAATGATGGCTTTTTATTTTTAGGTCAGAAATTCATGACATTCGAAGAATTTCTTCCAATTTATAGCCAAGTAAAGAAAGATAAAGATTGTGGTGCATTCGAAGATTTGGTTGAAGGTTTAAAAGTTTATGATAAAGCTGAAAATGGTACCATGATGGAAGCAGAATTGGCCCATGTTTTATTGTCATTGGGTGAAAAATTGACCGATGCTGAAGTGGAAGAAATTATTAAAACATGTGGTGGTGGCTGTGATGATGAAGGATTCATGAAATATGAAAGTATGTTTTTTTCAGAATTCTGATTTCAATGAGATTAATTTATTGTTTTTTAAAATTTATTTAGCGTTCATCAAAAATGTCATGGCAGGTCCGTTCCCAGAAGAGGCAGGAAAATCATAATCAAACTAAAAAAAAAAAACAATAACAATATCAAACAGACAGACACCCAAACAAACACAAATATCAACGAAAACAAAAAGCACAAATTCTAGAACAACAATCAAATTGATAACCACAATCAAATTAATTAATGGCAAAAAAAATCATTTGTAAACACCAATTTGTGCCTTTCACAATAAAATTCTAATTTATTTATTGGAAAAAAAATTTTAAAATTTTTTTGAATTGATTGAATCATCCTTTTTGGAAAAAATTCAAAAGACTAATTTAATAGTTGGATCGAAATAGTTTTGGATCGAATCTATTGATTAAAAATATACGCGTTGTTTTTTTATCATTCTTTTTTCCGGTTTTTTTCCCTGTCAAACACATGGCTAACTATTATTTCGAAACAGATCAAATGAAATAAAAAATGGCAAATTCCAAACAAATTCGTCGTGATCATTTTAATCAAGAATTACAAAATTTATTGGAACAAAAAACTAAAAGTAATTTATTCACTAAAGAACATCATGATGAATTGATTCGTGAATACATCGATGCGAATAGAAAACTGGCTACAACACGAAGTCCACAGGAAATTCGTTTGTTGAATAAATTTGATCTACTACGTTTGGAAGGTACCAAACGTTTGGTTAAACGTGGTAGCAAATTTTTTGGTACCAGATTTTTTGTTCATTCAGGTGAATTATTTCGAATATTCGAAAAAGCTCATCATGAATTGAATCATGCTAGCGCCAAGAAAATGTTTGATTATCTTCGATCTACATACATGAACATTACGATGGAATCTATTACACTCTATATTCAAACTTGTGAATTTTGTCAAACGAAAAAGAGTCTAAAGGTAATGAATTGCAAATTGATTAACTTTTTCTAATATATTCATTTTCAACATTCAAAAGGGATTTGATTCACGACAATTCTCTAAATGGTTGATTGGTTTTGTCGACATGTCCAATTCTAGTGATGGTGATTATCGATACATTTTAAAATATCAAGATGTTTGTACGAAATTTTGTATTTTTAAACCACTGAAAGGAAACGATGTCGAACAAGTTGCGGAAAATCTTCGAGAAATATTCGGATGGTTAGGTGCTCCTCAAATTCTTGGCTATGAAGGTGATCGTGAATTCGTTGAAAACGTAAAAGAAAAATTGAAAGAATTTTATAATGATCTCAAAATAATCACTGGTAAAGAAGAAGAATCTTGCCAAAATTCTGAATGGAAAAATGAACTCAAAAAATTGCTGACCACATTGTGTAAGAATCGAAAAACCGATTCCTGGGCCAAAGTAATACCGGAATTACAATTCATGTTGAACACTATTGAAGATCATGATCAATGTACACCATACGAACGTTTCTTTGGACGTAAACCGAATTTCGGTTTGAATATTGCTTTACCGAAAAATTTCAAAACAGAAGATTTAATTGAAGAAAAATTGGAACAATTTTGTCGTCAATATTTGAATACAAATTCAAATTCTAGTAAAAAACCATCAACATCATTCAATGATTCTGCCATATTATCCGATGATTCGGATGCTCATGTTGGCAATAGTGATTCAGACACTGATGAAAGTGAAGAAACATTTCCAAATCTACATCGTTCAATGTCTGTGGTGGTTTGTCATTGTAAAACTGGTTGTACAACCAAAAGATGTTCATGTTTGGCTGCCAATTCAAAATGTAGTAGTTTTTGTCATAGACAAGAAAAATATTGTGAAAATAGAACAATAATAGATGATGATGAATAGATGGAATTATGAATTTTGCAATCATTAAATTGATATCGATATGAAATTTTATTGATTAAAATTATGTTTGATTATTAAATGTGAATATATATGTGTGTTTGAAAACTTTGAAAGTTTTTTTTCTTGTTTTGTTTATTTTTAAAAGAGCATTTTTTTGTTTCATTTATTAACTCTTTTTTTTGGATTAAACAAATTCTTACCAAAATGGTTGAATCAATAGAAATCACCTGAATCTTCAAAGAATTGATCAATAAGTTGTCGAAATTCCATTGTATGTGTTTGATGAAGATTATGTTTTGCATCAGGAAAACGTCTCAATGTACAATTGGCAATACGTTCCTGACAATATAATGGTTGTTCCAATGGAATCAATGCATCTTTGTCACCATGTATAATCAATACTGGACAACGAATACGTCCCAAACCATTCATTAGATCATTGTGTATAGCAAAACGAAGATCTTTCAATTCAGGTTTTGCTGCATTTACGGCCATAATTGTGGCCTGTAAATCACGACACCAATTACAATGATTATCCCAAAGTTGTTGTAACAATTCTGGTCCATAAATTTCTTCATAATTACCGCGCATTTTTTTGTCCCAGGTTTCAATTTTTTGTGTTTTCAAAAATGGTAAAATATTCGTCTTATTAGCGAACACATAGATACCGCTTGCAGCAACAGCTTGAACTTTTGATGGTTGTAAAATTGCCAATAGTATTGCAACTTTTGCACCATCTGACCAACCAAGTACTGAATAGCTATGATAATTCAAATGATCCATCAATTGCATACAACATTTGACATCATTATCATAAACATCCAAGCCATATGGTCGTTTTGGTGGACGTGATTTACCCCAACCAGGTAATTCAACAGCAATGAATGTATAGCGATTAAAATCGAATGCCAATGGTCCAGTTAATTGTACGTAGAAATCTGATTTAGCCGTTCCTGTGTGTGTGTGTGTGAATGTGAGAGGAGAAAAAATTTTTTGATAAAATGTCAATGAAATTGACCAAATAAAAACAAACAAACAAACAAACCTAATGCTCCTGGAATAAGCAATACAATTGTTGGACCATGGCCAAATTTTTGCCAATGTATTGGAAATCCATTTATGTCTACAGATCCTTCATCATCAGGCACAAGATCGGGTTTTTTTCCTGTTGCTTCATTCATTACGTCAAGATGAAATGATTGAAAATAAATGATATATACAGTCACCAGAAAAAAAGGATATTAATTTCGAAACTAAAATTGGAAAAAAAATCCAGATCCAGAACGAAATATTATGAATGATGGACGAAAAATGAGACCGTAGAAAAAAAAAGAAAAGATAAAAAGACAAAAAGAGAAAAAGAAAATGAAGAAAAAAAAATGTAGAGAAAACAAAAATTTATTTACCAGCACACAACTCGTAAATCGGCAATGACAAGATGCGGATAATAACGGGATGACGATGTTTATTTTTTTTATCTTTTTTGGTGAGAAAGATAAGAAAGAGAAATAACCAGTTCAAAGTGAGAGTTTGTTGAAAGAAAAAAAAAAGATTGAAGAATTTATCTTTCGTTTGTACATTTCGTTATTTTTGTGCTGGTCAATCAGGCTTTTTTTGTTCGTGTAATCATGATAAACAGGATTTTTTTTCCTACTGATTATATAAATGATTATCATCATTATTCATTACACAGAAAGAAAGAAAGAAAGAGAAATTGCAACAAAAAAAAAAAACATTCTTAATACAGGAATTCCAAGTCCTTAAGTATTACATTTATCTTTGGCATGAGAATCATGACGAATGATGAGATAATAATAAAAAATTTATATAAACAAAAATAATAACGACCAGTTAAACTTGTTTTTTTTATATTTTTATTTTTATTTTTTACTTGTATCATACCCGATAATTATTTTGTTGTTGTTGTTGATATGTGTGTGTTTTTTTTTCTTCTTGGTGGTGGTGGTGGTGGCGGTGTTGGTGATGATGGAAACTTTTAAAGAAAAATAAAATTATTTTGAAATCTTTTCACACAAGGTAACCAAATGGCACACGCACACACACACACACATATGTTGTGTCCAAAAACCAAAAATTCGAACGAGATTGATTTTCGTTTATCCACAAATAATGTATATAATAATTCACCGGTTCATTGGAGCGTTTCATTCATTTCAATTAATTAATTGATTTGGGACATATAATTATAGTTTCCAAGGGCCAGAAAATTTTTTTTTCTTTTTTTTCAATAAATAAAATAATTATTATTATTGTGAAGAAAAAAAAATCAATGACTTTTTAATCAATAACATATACCAAAAAAACAAAAACAAAAATCATTTTCATCAACTCTTGAAGGTTTTCCAATGTTCTTGTTGTTGTTGTTGCTTAACCACTTTATTGATGATTTTCTCGTTAACAAAAAAAAAACTACATATTATCCACTTTGTTTCCGTTTTTTTTATTTATTTATTTTATTTATGACGTTGACACACAAAAAGTGCAAGTACAACATATATAAATCAAATTGATTGATTGATTATAATCAGGATTATGTCACATATTGAATTGAATTGAATTTTTTTTTTTTTGCCATTTCATACACACATGGTGTTTCCATTAAGTTTCAAAAAAAAAATGAAACAAAATAAAAAAAAATTTTATTTGAAAAAAACAAAAAATTTTTGTTAACAGTAGCTGTAGTTAGTGTATGTATTATGATCATCATTTTTCGAAATATTAAATTGGTTATTTTTGCACTTGTCCACCACCACCACCACCCAATGAATGACCACAAGCAGCGTATTTATATGAAAAACAATTAAGGCCAAGTGATGATGATGATGATGAAAATTGATTGTTTTTTTTTTTTGATGGGAAACGGAAATCATCATTTGATGAAGGAAAAAGGCATCAATTTTGAAATTCTAAATTAGATTTTTCATCATCATCATCATCATCATGTTTTTCTCTGTTGTTCATTTGTAAGACAGGTAATTATTTGAGATTTGGGTTGCTTAAGTGATGATGTTGATGACCTATTTCCAAATTTAGAAAAAAAAAGAGATAAAAAAATAGAAAATTAATGAATCACAAAAATAACATGTTCAAGTATTTTGAATGAATTTACCAGAATTATTCGAATATATTCTCGCTCTTTGTACTATTGGAAATGGATTTTTTTTTTTTTTTTTTTTTTTATTTATAAGTTGTTGATGGTCATTTCATTTTCTTGCACGTTTATAAAGCAATTCTAATGTTTGTTTCAATGTTTCCACTGCTGTCAATAGATCATTGGCACGTATTGCATACAATGCACTTTCACATAATAATTCAGCACGTTTTGAATCTGATTCAGAAAGCTGTAATGAAGCCAATTCTTGTGCCAATTGTTTTTGACGATCATCTTGAGGTTTTGATCCGGCGTTTGTTGGTGTTGCACGTGGTGCTGGTGTAGGATACTGGATTGATGATGATGATGATGATGGTGATGGTTCAATAGGATTAATCGGTTCATTAAAATGAACATTATTATAATCATTAGAACCAGGAGAAAATCCAATGTTTGATGGATAAGGCAATGTATTGCTCGTTGATGATGTTGATGTACCACCAGATGGATATGGACATGATGATTCATGATGTTGTTCATTATTATCACCAAGCGATCCATCACTACCACCACCACCACCACCACCACCAATATCATTATCTTCAGGTTTGGGTGTTGGATTTTCATCTTGTTCTTTTTTCTTTTTAAAACATTCAACAGCACGCCATTTACAGAATTTAATTCGTTTCAAATTCTCTTCATCATCACGAACAAATACGGTGTACATTTGAAATATGTTTGATGCCGATAAATAAAGTTTATATGCAAGATCATATTTTTCCATTAATTCTTCATTTTCTTCAGCTTTTTCCACCAATTTATTACCATATTCTTCTATAAATTTTTGTGCTTCTTTTTCATCCAAGAATAATCTATCACCAGTACTAGAACGTGATTTTTTCTCCATTTCTAAACATGACATTATTTCCAATAAAAATTTACGAAAATCATCACTTGGTTTTGTTTGATTTTTTAATGCAGCTTCAACCACATAACATAATGTCCAATATGTTATGATTGGATTCTGTACAAAACAATCACGTGCCAATTTCATGAATGGTAAATATTGTTTATAAATTGGTTTGGTTGTCGATTGTTTCAAAAATGCGTCCAATGTTTGTTGATCCATTTTGGATTTCTGTAACAACAACAACAAAAAAAACAATGATTAAAAAATGATGAAAAATTGCAAATGCACGAAATCTACGAATACGAGTGTGTGTGTGTATGTTAATGACAAATTATTTCAATGACAATCAAAATAAAATGATTGCCAACGCCTTAAATTTTTTTTTTTATTTCAACATTTGATGCAATGATCGATTACGTGTTGATTCGAAAAATAATCATCTTACTTTTTTTTATCTACAATAAACTTTGAATAGATAGAGATTTTTGTTCCAAAATTTTACTGTTCAAAAATTAAAACATCTGATGATGATGATGATGAATCAAATCTGGAAAATCACCGATGAAACAAAAACAAAAAACGAAAAAAAAATTTTTTTGCTTAAGAATAAACAGTTATAGTCGTCTATTTTCACCTGAATAGTTCGATGGATGTTTTTTTAATCACATTCACATGTTGTTGAAAAAATGATATATATACGCGTATATGCACAATGTTGGTCTGAATAAAAATTGAAAAAAAATTTTCTAAAATAAACCGAAAAACAAATTGATAAAGATAGAAGAAAATTCATTCCTGAATAGTTTTTCAATGATGAAATAGTTTATGTTTCCGGCAACAATACCATGGTGATTTTTTCGAATAAAATAAAAAAAACAATTATTTCATCTATTTTTAGTTGAAAATGAATTCATATATACGCGTATATGCACAATGTTGGTCTGAATAAAAATTGAAAAAAAATTTTCTAAAATAAACCGAAAAACAAATTGATAAAGATAGAAGAAAATTCATTCTAATCACCAATTTTTTTTCTTTCTTTCGTTGTTATGATTTATGTCTCTAGTTCATTGATTTATGAGAATGAATAATTTTTCAATGATGAAATAGTTTATTCAAGTTTCCGGCAACAATACCATGGTGATAATAAAACAAAACGACAACGACAACGACAACAACACCCGGTAAGTTCGAATAAAATAAAAAAAAACCGTGATCAGTAATTTAATTATGAAATTCATCTATTTTTAGTGTACACTTTTTGTTTTCATATGTGAAATAGAAAAATATAATTGATTGATGAATTCATCAAGATCAGAAAACAAAACAAAACAAAAAAAACGATTAACGTGTATGTATGCATACTAACAAAACACACCCATAAAGAAAACAAAACATTCACATCATCATCATTTTTGTGGTTGTATTTATTTGCGTTCATTCGAACCAAAACAACACCGTAAACAGTGAGAAAAGTGATGATGATTTTCAAAAGAAAATTCTGGTGAATTTTTTTATTTTTTTTGTTTTGTTTTCGGTAAAAGAAAAATTCTAAAATCCGTATTCTTTTTTTCTTTTACAGAATGTTGAACCCTGACCTTGTCTTATTATATTAGAAGACAACAACAGCAAACAACAACAACAACAACAACAACGAAATAGAATAATCGAAATCAATATATGTGTGCAATATGATCTTTATGCAAAATTATGATTGATACAAAAATTGTCGATAAAATACAATCATTCATCATCAATCGATGGAATTGTAACAAACATAAGATCCTGATGAATTGTGTCGTTGTTGTTGCTGCTGTTGGTTAGTTGGTAGTTATCTAACCATCATAAAATCATCATTTTAACCAAAAAAATTTTTTTTTTTGTATCCATTTACATAAAGGTACATTTTTTTCATCTGTATGTGTAATTTATCATACCAAATCATCAACAAATAGCACGTCATACGAATTAATTACATCTATATATTTGTGTGTGTGTGTGTGTGAAGAATGATAAAAAATTAGAAAAAAAATCATCATAGCATCCATCAATCTATCCATAAACTTTTAATGATAACAACAACAACAACAACAAAAACAAAACATACTCATCATCACATTTGCCATTGAAAGTTTTAACTTGATTTGAAACTCGTTCAACATTACCATCGTTCCTTATAATCAGCAGTTGATTTGAATTTAAATGTGATGTGTGTGATCAGTGTGATCAGTGTGATGATTACGAAATTGAATTAAAGAATTGATAACAATAATTGATTGATTGATAATGTGATTGATGATTTAAACGAAAAATCATTGTCCCTTTTTTTGTGTGTGTATGTGTAATACTTGAAAATTATCATCATCAATAGTAATTTGTCCTTTTTGGTCTCTTTTGATCGATTCACGTGTGTGTGTCCGTTTGTGTTTGTGTAAAATCCAAAAACTTTGGAATTTTGAAATTTGGAACATTTGATTATGAATCATGTGTTTTTTATTGTTGATATCGATATTTTCATTTTGAATTCAGTTTTTGTTTTTTTTTTGTTTTGTTTTGTTCTGTGATGATGATTATACCATATCACAATCACAACCACCACCACCACCACTCTGCCACACAACCACAATCAACAACAACAACAACAACAACAACAGATTGTTTTGACCTTTATATTACCTCTCTTCTCTCTTTTTTTTCTATGTTTATGTTCAATCAACCACCACCGTTCCACCGTATTCATTCATCATTTTGTCGAGTGTAGTACTCAATAATTTATGTTTTTTTTTCTCTTACAACAAGTTGTTTATTCTTGTACACACGAACACACACACACACAGACACAAACACTAACATTCTGAATTCTTTGTACATTCAAACATCATCTACACACAAACAAGATTCCGGTAAAAATTCTTCCACATAAAAACATTTTGATAACTTTATTTTGTTGTTTTTTTTTGGCAAGCATTCCATTTTTTTTTAATTTAATTCGAAATTTTGGAATCAAGAAACAAAACAAAACAAAAAAAATGACGATGTTTCATTGTCAGTGTTGTTGTGTTGAAGAATCATGAATTCAATATCAGATGAAAATTTTCATGATAAAATTCTTTTCTTTTTTTTGGGGGCGAAAACATGATAATAATTCTGGTCGATAATAATTTAGGATTTTCAAATTTTTCCATCATTCATTCAGCCACTTAAAAAAAGGGTTCGAATTTTACTCATTATCTCATTTGTTGTTATTTGTTTGTTTTTCGTTCGTTTCGTCAACGTTTGAATCTCAAATCACACGCACACGATTTTTTAAAATTTTGATTCAATGTGAACTGAATAAATCAAGAAAAAAAAAAAACAAAAGTGACTAATTGCTCAGCAAGTAAGTTAATGTGATTATAAATTTTTTCTTTCATTAATTTCTTCTTTTTTTTTTTTGTATAAAATAAAGGTCTTTCATATATACAAAAATTAATTTAAAAAATGGATAAAACAACAATCTGTTTAGTGGTTGAAACAAATGATTATGGTCATCATCATTATCGTCATGATGATGATGATAATGGTAATGAACATAGACGGCAACAACAAAGAAAATTATTATTACAATCGTCCGGTGAAATCAACAACAACAACAACAACAACAAGAAAAAAATTGTTAAACATAATCAATTGGCATCAACGTTACCATGTGATAATTATTTAAATTTAAATAATAATAATAATAATCAGAAACAACAAATGAAACAAATTCATTCAAATTCTAATGGAATTTCATCAATGAAAGCATTAAATTTACGTTTAATGATACCAATCATGCGTGCATCTTGTTCATCATCATCATCATCATCATCATCATCGAATTCTGTAAATGAACAGAATTTAAATTCAAATTCTAGTTATAGTAGTAATAATAATTCAATGATGATGATGATGAATTTAAAACAACAACAAACATCATTAACTAATAATAATACCACTACTACTACTACTACTACCAATACAAAATCATCATCATCACCAATAATATTCCGTTCGCCTTTTTCATCATCATCATCATCATTATTAACAATGGATATTTTTCGTTCATTAAATTATTCTTTTAATACCACTACAACGTCATCATCATCATCGAGTACATCTATGACAGCTTTTTCTTCCACTATAAACAACGGTAGTAAATCAACATCACCAACAACGGGAACATTTTCGACAGAATTATCAAACGATAATCAAAGACAACAACAACAGCAGCAACAGCAGCAGCAGCAAGAATTATTAACATCAACATTTTGTCCATTTCATTCATATTATTATCAGCAGATTAATTCATTAAATATATTGAATGTATGGAAATCAAGATTGAATCAATTATTTTTACCATCATTATCAATACCATCAATATCAATATTTACAATTAAATCGACAATATCACCTAGTCATAATAATCAAGTGCAACAACGAAAATTATCATCTTCTAATCTGAATAATAATAATAATAATAATAGTTTATTATTAGTGAGAGGAAATAATCAGAATTCTAAATTGAATTCTGAACATTTTCATAATAATAAACAATGTTTTTTACAAGCAACAGCTACAACTGCAACAACAACAACAACGACAACGAGAACGACAACAAACACGAAGGCCAGTGATAATTTAGCATTATCATCTACAACATCAAAAACGCTACTTTTGCATCCGAGCAGCGGCAATAATCAACATTATCAACATCAACAACACAAAAATCAAAACATTATTAGCTACAATAATAGTGATAATAATATTGTTGATAATAACAAAAACGACATTCGTGAAAAATATTCAAACAAAATTGATGAACATCAATCATCAACATCATTGGTGGTCAATGCTGAAGAATATGACATTGATCCATTGCAACAACAGCAACAACATCGATTCTATTTTGATGAAGTGATTAATGACGAACAACAAGAAGAAGAAGAATACAATAATCGTTTTTACGACGACGAAACATTTACTGTGGAAAATTATAAAGCTATTTTTACAAGTCCACAATATAAACAATTAACACTGGCGGATAAACAGCGTTTAGAACGATTATTTAAGGAGATCGATGTCGATGGTAATGGTGTCATCGATTTTAATGATCTTCTACAAGCTTTGGAACAGAAAGGTATCAAAGCAACACATGAAAATGTTAAGGTAATAATATCATGTGAATTCTGGTGTTTTGTTCGTTTTTTTATTTTCATTATTATTGCCAAATTGAAATTCTTTTTGTGTTAGGAAAAAAAAGTCTCGTGAATAACGATGATTTTTGTTGTTGTTGTTGTTGTTATTTTTAGCTTCATACACACAAATACTGTGTTTTGTTGTGCATTTTTTAATTGTCTTTTTAATTCGTTTTTTATGTGTTTTTTTTTGCTCGTAGCATCTCATATTACGATCGGATATAAATCTTGATGGTGATATTGATTTCGCTGAATTCGTATCATATTGCCTGGAGAATGAAAAACAATTACATGTTATATTTAAAGATATTGATATTAATAGTGATGGAAAAATTGATTCACATGAATTGGTGGTGGCATTCAAACGTGCTGGCATTAAAGTGGATGAACAGGAAGCCATCCGTCTTGTTCGACGTATTAAAGCCGATTCAAATAATCCGAATAAATTTGAATTGAATTTTTCAGAATTTCGTGATTATCTTCTATTACATCCAACCGATTCATTAAATGATTTAATGCGATCATGGAGATTTGGAACAGTTAGTTTTTTTTCATTGATTTAAATTCAATTCATCATCATCATCATCATTTTTTGTTGTCTATCACAGTTTGTCGATTTTGGCGAAGATGGTATTATGCCAGTGGATTTCAGCGAAACCGAAATGAAAACTGGTATGTGGTGGAGACACATGTTGGCCGGTGGTGTTGCCGGTGCCGTTTCGAGAACATCAACAGCACCACTTGATCGTCTTAAAGTATTTCTTCAGGTATGTTTATTTTGTGTTCTTTTTGAATTCTATGAATATTCTATCAATTGGGCCCACCAGGTTCGTGGTGCAGAATTCAATGGCCTGGGCGTATGTCTTAAACATATGATACAGGAAGGTGGTGTTTTATCATTATGGCGTGGTAATGGAATCAATGTACTAAAGATTGCTCCTGAAACTGCTATGAAATTTATGACTTTTGATCAGGTATGTTGATTGTTATTCGTTGTTTTTTTGAAAAAATTAAAATATGGCTGTTTCACATTATTGCAGTTAAAACGTTGGATACATTCAGGTGATCCTAGTACTGAAATAACAATAATGGAAAGATTTCTAGCAGGATCGATTGCTGGAGCTGTTTCTCAAACTGTGATATATCCAATGGAAGTGTTGAAGACACGTTTTTGTCTACGTGAAACTGGACAATATCGTGGATTGTTTGATGCAGCACAAAAAATTTATTCAAATGGTGGAATTAAAAATTTCTATCGTGGATATATTCCAAATCTAATTGGTATAATACCATATGCTGGTATTGATCTGACAATCTATGAGGTAATTAATAATGAATATAATTGTGTATGGAATTTCTATAACGATAACTAACAAATATTTCCAACACCGTTCTATAGACATTGAAAAAAATGTATATGAAAAGTCATTCATTAGAGGAAGCACCTGTTTATGTTTGTCTTACCTGTGGTACCGTATCATCAACATTTGGTCAAATTGCTAGCTATCCATTAGCATTGATTCGTACACGAATGCAATCAGAAACTGGACATCATCGTAGCTCAATGATTGATATGTTTCGTACAATAATGCGTAATGAAGGACCTCGTGGCCTATATCGAGGTATCACTGCCAATATAATGAAAGTTGCACCGGCCGTATCAATCAGTTATGTTGTTTATGAATATACAAGAAGGCCATTAGGAGCTGTTATGACTTGAAAATTTTTTTTTTCATTCGAATTTCCGAAGAAAAAGAAATTTTTGTTATCATCATCATCATCATCATCATCATCATCATTTGAAATTTGGACCTTCGATTCTTTATTTTTCTATATTTATACACATACACAGACACACCACACACGCTTGCTTATTAATCAATTAAATAATAATAAATTCGATTCGTTAAACACACACACACACACACAAAAAAAAAAAGTTCAAAAAAAACACCACAAATCAACAAGAATTTCACAATTCTTTTTTTATAAATAAATTTGTTATCATTTCTTGTTGTTTTTGGGATTCTCACCATCACCATCATCATCATCATCAGCTGAATGCATTTTAGAATAACAATTCTCTTTAGGTAAAAAAATTAAATTAGTTAGTGAAAAGAAAACAAACAAAAACACACACACACACACACACCGACAATAGTCAACAACAACAAAAAAATATGATAGCTTTATATTGAAAAAAATAGGAATTTAAAATTAGGTATAAAAATATAAATGAATCAATGAATTGTGAACCAAGATTGTGATTGTGATTTTTTTTCTTCTTCAAAAATTTTTAATTGATAATTTATTCATTTTTTTTATTGATTATTATTATTATTATTATGATGATGATGATGATTGATTGATTGATTGATTGATTGATTAATTTTCAAAAAAAAAATAATGCGAAAAAAACATGACATGTGTGTGTGTGTGTGTTCTTATTTTGCTTTTCTTGTTCTTCTTTTTGATAACTTATTGTGTAATTTGTAAAAAAATTATTGATATTATTTTATCACACACAAAATGAAAAACCAATCATTGTGAATCACAATATATATATAGAATATTTTGCAAAATGTCAAAATTTTATCTTGATTGTATAAATAAGCTTTCTAGATGTTTTTTGAAATCCGACATTGATGAAAATGATGTTGATTCATCTTGTTGTTGTTCTTCATCGTCTGGTTGTCGTCGTTGTTGTTGTGGTTGTGGTTGTGGTTGTTCATTTTCTTTGTTGTCTGATTTTTCAGGTTTTTTCCAAACACCTGGCTTGCTATATGTAAATTTTGGTTCTGGTGGTGGTGGTGGTGGGATTGATTTTGATAATTTATTATGAACAATTGATTCATTTGCTAGTGGTGGTGGTGGTTGTTGTTCATAATTTCTATTTAAAGATTGTTGATTAATTATTTGAAATCTTGAAGGATTCGATGATGATTGTTGTTGTTGTTGTTGTTGTTGTTCAGAATGATCAATAGAATTTTGTCGCTTAAATGATATAGGAAGTACGGTTGATTTGTCATTGATTGAATGGCCATCGGTTTCACGTTTTTCACCACCACCATTATCATCATTATTCGAATTATTGGATTCCATCTCCAATTCAATGACACGTTTATTGAAAAAATTTTTCAATTTTTTCTCTTTAATTTTACCGGATTTTTTATCTTTATTATTGTTACCGGTGGTGGTTGATGATTGAATATCAGTGACTGTTGTGGTAGTCATCGTTGTCGGAATTTTTTCTTCATCACTTAATGAATTTAAACGTAATTGTTTATGTAATGTTTCCAATGTATCATATCGATTTGAATTTGTCATTGGAATCGTAATGGCCATATTAATAGCTGCTTTCAATCCAATATGCAATGATTGATGTAATGAATGATAAAAATGTATACTAAATTCACCAGCATTATGAATAATTTGTACTAATCGTGTGTGAAATATAAACATAACAACCAATGAATGTTGTTGTTGTTGTTGTTTTGATGATGATTGTTTCATACGATGATCGTGATCATGGTCATGATCATTATTATTCGATAAATCAGTAGTCACAGTGAGTGCTGACGATGAAGATGATGATTTGTTGATCAAATTTGATTGTTGCCATGATTCACATATCTGTATTGTTCTCATTATTGTTCCTTTTATAGCACGTATACTTGGCCAATCAAGATATGATATTGATCTGCAATCAAAAATTAATTTTCTATTCATAATCATTGAATTTGAATCATCATTTGATTTTGTTGTCAACATGCATGAATCGGAAACTTTTCGACAAACATCGCGTACGAAACTATCGATATTTGCTATTGTCAATATTCGTTTATCTATATGGAATATATTTATCGTTTTCAATGTTGATGATGGCAATGTTTTTAATATATTACATTCATTATCATCATCATCATCATCATCATCATCATCTTGACCATTATGATGATGATGATCAAATTTTGAATGTAAAATATTTCTGGATACAAGTAAAACTAAATTTGTTTTAGTTATCAATGCTTTTTGTATGGAAAATGTAAACGACTCAAATGGTCTATATCGTAAACAATAAATAATCAATGAAAGTCCCAAAGAACAATATAACGATATTTCAATATTCAGCAAAATAAATGATACAAAAGTAAGTGTCCAAATTACGATGTCTAAGATGGATGTTTTCCAAAAATTTTTAACATTACCAATTTCTTCAATCAAAGCAACAACGGTATCGAATGCAACAATACTGGCAATAATACATTTTGGTATTTTGGCAATAAATGTTTGTAATGTTAACCAAATGGCCAATGTTACCGTGCTAGCAATCAAACTGGAAATCTAATTTTTTTTTTTTTTTTTTTTTTTGAAACAACAACAAAAGAAAAAAAAATTATGATGAGTGGCAATGAATGGCTAGAATTATAAATCAATCACAATCAAGAATTACCTGTGTACAGGCACCAACATTACGCATACGATCACTACGTATTTTTGATGGACCACTTGGTAAACATTTCATGAATGATCCAAACAAATCAATAATACCTTTATATAATAATTCATTATTAATATTATAGGTTTTCCATCCTAAACGATAAAATTTCATTTGTTTTGGCCATAATTGATGTTTACGTTTAGCAAATTTTGGTTGATGAATTTCTTCAGTATCTTTGATAACCAAATCTATGGCTAATGAATGCATATAGATCAAGAATAACAACGTAGCCGTAATACATTCAAACCATATACGGTTTATATATTGACTAATTGGTGGCCATTCCAGATGAAAATTGCTCGACATATCGATTAGAGTTTCATTGCCAAAATTAATTCCATCGATTGTATAAATTTTATATTTCTTCACATCGACAAAACAAACGACAATAATGCTGATTGAAATCAATATAAATTCAATCGGTATCCGGCAAACAATTTGCCGTAGCCAATTCAAACGATAATTGAATATATTTTGCCAATAATAATGGAATAATCGAAACAATGTTAATAATGCTAAACAACCAATCGATACTATCCAACTATTCCAGTTAATATGTTTCATCGTAACGAGATTTTTATAGAAATCATTTCGATATAAATTCGGTATAATCATTATCGATTTTCCATCACCCAATGTCCATTGTTGATGAAAACCAGCCATTGAACAGATTTGTAATGTAATTACCAATAGATAGAGGCCAGCACGAAAACCACTTAGTATTTCATATGGAATAAAACGTACCATTGAACCAATTCTCAATAGACCAGCCATCATACAACAAATACCAATAGTGAATGTAACAACAATGACAACATTTTCGGCCATATCAAAATCATTATTGATTCGTCGTAAAATAATACCCATATATGTGGCTGATACTAATGAAAAAGTGCCATAAGAAAAACGACGATTAGCACCAATTAATGCATACAAGATTGATGAAATAACATTTGTATGTATTGTATGTGCCAATGGATATTCAGCTATAATTGAATATGCAATACCTAATTGGTAATTTTTATACGAGAAAAAAAAACGAAAACAAAAACAAAAACAAAATTATTCACGTGATAAATGAATTTAATTATTATTCAAAAAAGCAAAGAAGAAGAATTTACATTGTGGAATCTGATAAAGACCAATATAGATTCCGGCTATAATATCATTGAAAATGGTTGTAAAACAATATGGTAACCAACCAAAAATTGGAAATACTGTAACCAAAAATGATCGAATTGATCGAATGAAAGAATTTGATGAACGAACATTGAGATTATCATCATCTTCATGATGATGAAAATCAATTGTTGAATTATCATTCATTGGATTATCTTCTTTTTCACGATTATCAGTCATTTTTTTCTGTGTTTCAATTTTTTTTTTCAAAACACAAACTTTTACAAACAAATGATGGAATATTGACGATGGAATAAAATGAAATGAATTGGATTTCTTTTCCATTGGTTTCTTGATCATTAACATCTTTCAAAAAAAAAAAATGGAAATAAATCTGTCAAAAGGTTATTTTTTTTTTGTTTTGTTTTTTTTTTTATAATCTGATTTTTTTTCAGCCAAATGTTATCAGTGAATGACAGTCCATGATGTGTGTGTGTGATTAATTTATTGATGATTGAATGATTTATGTTATGTTTTAATTTTTTGTTTTGATTCCGAATAAAAGCCGCCGGTTATTGACAATTTTCGAATATAAAAAAAAATTTTTTCATTTTCGATCAAATTCTTATCCACCAGATGGCAATGAAAATGAATATTTGATTTTTTTTGCTTGTGTTGATATTTCGAACCCAAAGAGAGAGAGAGAGAGAGAGAGAAAACAAATATTTATAATGGGATTTTTTCATCTGTTTTTTTTTTTGTTTTTACGATCCATCATGAATTGACCAACGTTTTATACATTACAAATGGATTTACGATAGATAGAAAAAACGAAAGAATGAAAGAATGAAAGTGAAAGTGAAAAAAACAACATTACAACATATATGACATGCAAACTCGTGGACAAAGAGGATTTATATATATATTTTTATTCTTTGTCCACATTATCTTCTTCATCCGTAAATGATTAGATTTGAAATGAAGAAAAAAAACAACACAAGTTATATAACCCAAAGAATGCGGCTGGGGCAAGATGAAGCTTTTTTGGAACCAAAAAAAAACAACAACAAAACAACAAACCGTAAGTAATTTCACATTTGCAGAACATTCTCGAGGATTTATTCTTTATAATTGTGAAAGAATCAAAAACGAGATTTTTTTTTCTTACTTACTTAATTTACTTTATGCACATAAAGTGATCATTATCATTACCATTATCTTTCTATTGTTATCATCATCATCATTATCATTATGAATAAATTAAGAATACGGTGATGATGATGATGATGATCAATTGTGGTAGATTAATATACACGCATACACAAGAGAATTTCTTTTTTTTTTTTTTGAAAATCTTGATTATTTCATTCTTTGTTGTCAATCATTGTTGTTGTTGTTGTTGTTTTACGCTCATTATGGATAACAACAACAACAACATTTTTTGTTTTGAAGCTAATTAATACTGACAAATACATGCTCAACATGCATACACATTCCACCCACTCACCACACACACTCAATCCAAACGATGACGATGAAGATGATGAAAAAAAAACCCGAAAAGAGGAAAAAAACATTTCGAAACATTCGCAGTAGCTCCATCTTTCTCTCGATTAAAATCCGATGAGATTAATAAATGATGGCAAATGTAAAGAAAAAAATTTGCCCACCAAATATTTAAGGAGAAAACGAGAAAACATTGATTCATTTTTGATTGACAAAATGATCCTCGACTAATAATAATAATTTTGCTTTTTTGGCATTTTTTTTTTTCTATTCATTTGTCTAATCAAATCAATTTCTTAGCCTTGATTTTCAAAGATTTTTGACATACACACACACACACCACACCGAACCGAACCGAACCGAGCCAAACCCAGACCAAAGAAAAAAAACAGAAAAAAATTGATAGTTTGATGATCTGATTTGTGTGAATTTCAAAAAAAAAAATGACAAGAGAATTACATGTTTTTATTATTTATATCACACGTTCGTTTACACATACAGAGAGAGAGAGAGACTGTATTTATTATTTGAATGTTTGACAATGAATAAATATAAATTGATCGATCAATTCCGATTGCAATGATCAATCGATTGTAATTCAAAATATATTCATTGATAATGATGATGGTGATGATGGTTGATTGATGATCGATAAATGTGTGTGTGTGTGTGTGTGTGTGTGTGTGTTGTGTGTGTATGAAAATCATCATTTTTCATTCTTTTTTTTGTGTGTGTGTGTGTGTGTGTAAGTGGTAAAGAAAAAAATTTCATTGAAAAAACACTTATTTTTTTCATTGTTGAAATTATTTTCATTTTACCAGCTGAAACTACTACCACTACTACTACTACTGGTTATTGATGATTAATGAAACTGGTGAAAGTTAACCTGAACAAGTAGAAAAATTCATTCATTCATTCATTCATCATTCATATTTATATTTGAATAACAATGTTTCTGTGTGGCCAATGAAATCGATTGAATTTGATGAATTTTTTTTTGTTTGTCTTCTGTTTAGTTTCACTTGTATTACATGATCTAGGTTTTTCTGTTTCTGTAGACATATTTACTCTCTCATTTTTGCCATTAATTAATTCATTCATTCGTGAGAATTTTTTTTTTGCCATAATGAAATTAGCACTGTAAATCTTCATCATCATCATCATCATCATTATCGAATTATTATTCGGTTGATTAGATTTTGGCAAACAACAAAATGTGTGTGTGTGTGTGTGACAAACAACAAAATCTGATTAAAAGAGGAAAAAAATTATCATTAAATTTCACGATGATGGTGATGGATATAGATGAATCATGATTTATTTTTTTTCAAGTTGAAATACCACCAAATATTTGGTCATTATCACCATCGTCGAATGGTGTCGCCATTTGATGTGGTGGTTATGAATTGATTTGAAAAGAATAAAGTGTGTGTGTGTGATATCGATTTTCGTCATCATTAGTTTCGTTTCGTTTCGTTTAGTTTTTTTTTTTGGCTGGAAATTCCAATTTTTTTTTTTTTGCTGAAATTGTTATCACCAACTTTGAATCCATAATATAATGTAGATTGACAAAAGTGAATGAATGAATGAATGAAATATTGACAATCATACTTGTGATGAAGTGAATGTGAATGAAAGTTTTCATCATCAAGATATTCAACTTTGAAACAAGTTAGTGAGACTGGCAAAAAAAAATGAAAGTAGAATAAATCGATCAAGTTTTTTTTTCTTTCAGAATTATAGAATTCTTATTCACTCATTCTGTGTGTGTGTGTGTGTGTACTAATTAAGTGTTGGACCAATTTTTTTTTCATCACGATAATGATGACGATGATGATAAAAAAATCAATTTTCATCATACACACACACACACACCAGGTAGATAGATAGATAAATGGGCAGTAGTAGGTAATCAAGCCAAAAATTATCATTATCATTACCATTTTTATGGAATTGTTTAAATTGTCAAATTATTTTTATGTGTGTAAATTAACAATAATCAATTATCGTTTTTTGGTTTTTCTTCCACTTCTTCTTCATCTTCTTCTTCTTGTTCCACCAGAAAACAGAATGATGAACGTTTGAAATTTGATATCACAAGCTGATATTTGATAATATTTTCAATGATGATGATGATCATCATCATCATCACATCTTCAATATCGTTGATGTTTACTTTTAGTTTTTTTTTATATATACCTTTATTATGAATCAAATATTGAGAATGATTTAGTATCAATGAAAAAAAAAAATAAAGTGAAAAGCATAATAATGATGTTTTGATACACACACACAGGATAAATGAAGAGAAAAAAATACATGCCTGAATGATTTGTTTTTTTTTTTTTTTTTGGTATGGTATCGTTCACACACAAACACACACACACACAGGACCTAGTGGTAGTGCTTTTTTGGAACCTTTTTTGTGTGTGTGTGTATAGTGATCATAGCACCGGCGCCATAATTCTATTCATAAGTGTATGTGTGTGTGTGTGTGTGTGTATGGGTACGGTAAACCAATAATTCCATTCATAGACTTTATATAATAGAAAGACAAAGATACTTGCACAGTCAACTTACACAAACACACACACACACAAAAAGTATATCACATCATAAAAATCAAAAAAAAAAAAAAAAAAAATTTCATTCATTGTGAATAGTTTCAACGGTTCTTTCTTTAGTTTGATTTGATTTAAGTCGTTCATTCGTTCATTTTCATTCAATGTTCTTGACATCGAGATAACAACAAAAGCAACGAGAGAAAAAAATTCCATAAATTTTCATCTAATTGGAATATATTTTGAATCATATGACAACTTATTGATTATCAATTATCATTTCGTAGCTGCTGTATTCATCGTTCATTCATCCATATGTGAATAATCATCATCATCAATGAATTTGAAACTTTAATCGTGTCCACATGAAAAGTTCATCATATGTGCCATGTGCATCTCATCTCTTCAAATTTCTATTTCTAAAACAAACAAACAAACGAAAAAAAATTCATGTTCAATTGTCGTCACAAGTTGTGACAAACAATTAATGGATGGTGAAAAAAAAAGTTTTTCCAATTTTCTCGCTAATTGTCATCATCATCATCATCATTGATTGTGATGTTTTTTTGTGTTTTTTTTTACTGAACACAAAAATCAATTGAGCAAGTAAGTGAATAAACAGAAAAAAACTCTGTTTGTTTTTTTTTTTTTTTGAAATCCAATGAATATTACCATTTACATTGATGATGGTGATGATGATTTGTTAATTAACAAAGTTTAAGTGGTTTTTTTTCTTCTCCCTTTCACGTATTCTTCAGGATTCTTTATTTTTTTTTTTTTTTTTGCAACAACCTCATGAATCATGAATAACGCACGCATACACATGAACAAAGAAAAAAAAACAATTACACAAATGATGATTTGTTCATGTGAATGAACAAGAATAAGTAATTTGCTAAAACAAATGCTGAAAAAAATGTGATTCAAAGTCTGATTTGCGGATTGTTTTTTTGGCAGAAAATTTCATTAAAATAATGATGAGAATTTTCTGTTTTTTAACCATTGAAAACCACAAAAACATTAAATTCTTGTAGTCTTGATCTAATGGCAATATGATGAAAAAAAACAACAACAAATGGACAGCAACAATCTGTTTTATCCATAAAATGATGATCATGAAAAACTGATAATCGAATCATGAATCAATAAGCAGAGATTCATAAAGAGAGAGAGAAAGATAGAGAAAACATTTTTCATTCACTAGATTCACACGAAATGCATTTGATTTGTGCGTTTGTTTTCATTTTATTTTTCCACCATCATAATAATAATGATGATCGTCGTCGTCGTCGTCGTTTTTCCTTATCAATAAATATTCAAATTTTTTTTTTGTTTTCTGTTCACTTTACTTTAGCATCCATAGTTGAATGTTGTGAAAATGGATAAGAAAACATTTGCCCGCTGTGTGTGTGTGTGTGTTTTTTTCCTCTCCAAAAAAACATCAGCCATCAGAATAAGTCAAATTCTGGTGGAAACAAAAAACTTGATGGACTTTTTTTTTCTTTTTTGCTTCTCATCATTTAACGTCCCAAGAGTGTTTGTGTGTGTGTGTGTGTGTGCGTGATTCATTTGCAAGCAGCAAGTCATGTTGTGTGTGTGTGTGTGTGTTTTTCAAATTCAATTTATTATTATTATTAGATATTAGTCTGACAAAGTGTAGATTCTGATCAAAAATGATGTTCTTAATGATCATGATGATGATAAGTTCGTTAACATTTTCTAAAAAAAATCATCATTGATAATTTATCAATCAAGAAACATTATTCTCAAAGAATTGTCAAAAGATTGTCTCGTGTGTGAATGATTCAATGTCATCATTAGTTTTTTTTTTGAGGAATTTTATTCCATTTTGACTGTTGTGGTTAGGTCAATAATCTTTTTTTTTCTTTTGTCTATTTTGGCTATTACAATTTTTTTTTCATTGGACAAAATAGCCAATGTTACGCCCAATAATAATTTTTTTTTCTGTTTCATTTAATCTCATCAACAATTTGATTGATCAAAATTGTTGCTGTTGAGATTTATGAGTGTGTGTTGGGAGAGAGAAAAAAATGAATTGTAGTTAAACCATATATGGTTAATGGAAACAAACAAACAAACAAACAAACCAATTCTATAATGGAAATGAATGTTTTTTTTTTGGTCTCCTATAAAAGTTGGCTTACCTGTGATAAATCATCATCGCTATTAATGTGTTGTGTATTTGGCCTACAATTGGCGACAACATGACAAAAACGAAAAAAAAAAAAATACACGAACATAACAGTGAAATAGATTGTACGAAATCCCCAAAAAACATTAAATTATTAAGAAAGAAAAAAACAGAACAGAATCTTTTCTTTTCAGTGTGTGTGTACCAGGTGTTTGACATGATTTTAGACATTTCTTTCTTTTTTTTCTGTTGTTGGATTCAATCCGTTTATCGATCTTCATTGTTTTTTTTTGGCCAGACAGAACAAAAATGTTTTTTTTTATCTTCCTTCTTTTCATTCCACTTATGGATGATGATAATGATGATTAACGTTGTGCGCGCATGCATCATCATTGTTGTTGTAGTTGAATAATAATGAAACCCATTGGAACATAAAAGTAAAAAAAAATGTCAAATAGCCGTATTTCTTTCCTTGTTTTTTTTTTTTTTTTTTATTTGGAAAATCTTTCTTTTATTAGTTGAATATATTGAATAGATATAGATTGGAAAAAAAATGATGATTTTCAGTTGATAATAAATAATTTATATATAAAATTATACGACCACATGCAGTGAAAACCTACGCATGATGATCATCATCATTATCATTTTTTTTTTCATACAATGATCCAGGAACAACAACAACGAACAACAACAACAACCTAAATGGAATGTATCGGTTGCCAGAAATGTCAAACAAAAGAAATGTTTTTTTTTTGTCTTGTTTTTTATTATTGCCAAAACAAGAACAAAAAAAAAAAAAAAAAAAATGCAAAAATTTCACGTGATATTTATTTTTGGCCGAGTACAGTGAAAAAAAAAAAAAACACAGCATTTTTCATCATCATCATCATCAATGTGGATCACAATGTTTACTTTGTGGATCATACAAATCCACTTTGTTTTTTTGTCGTCGTCGTTGTCGTTGTCGTTCTGTTCAATTCTTATGAACAAACAGATGAAAAACGAAAAAATTACTCCAAGACCAACAGCTATATATATATCGATATATACCTATATGATGAATGGTTGATTATCACAGTCATCCAGTCACTTTAACTGAAACATCTTCAACTATTTATAATCAACATATTGACTGTATATATGTGTAGAAATTAATTAATTTTATTTTTATTTTCACTTTTTCCTGTTTTTCTCCCATTTTGTTTCATCACATCATCATCATTAGCATTGTTTTAATTGTAAAACGAATATTGTTTTTTCCGGATTGTTGCACTACAACCAGATTTTTTTCCATATTACCGCTGTCATGATCAATTGTTTATTGTTGTTGTTGTTGTTGTTGTTGTACAGAATAATATAAAGTGAATTCATGTGTCCAGTTTTTGTTCGTATCTACTTGTTTGTTTGTTTGTTTGTCATTGTTTTCATACGTGATTTATTTGAATGAAAAAATAATAAATTTTCCATTACAACTACAACAACAACAACAACATTAATCACAACAACAACAACAACAACAAACAAACAAACAACGAGATAAAAAAAAAAGACGAATCACCTTTATAAATGAATGAAAATGTTTTTATCAAGCAACAGCGGTAGCAGCAGAAACAGCAGTAGCAGTAGCGATCCATCGCCACTGATAACACCTTGTGTACACCCATCATCACTAACACCACCACCACCGCCACCACCACTAGCACCAATGTCAATGATAACAATGGTACCACCATTATCACCATCAGCTGTACAAACAACAACACAACAACAGCCATCAACAACATCGACCAACCAGAACAACAACAACAACAACAACAATCCTTTACTTGGTTCACCATTACCACCTAGATATCGTTTTAGAGAATTATTAATGGGTGCAACTACCGATACTTATAATACATATATCGATGATGGTGAAAGGTATGTTTGTTTGTGTTTTGTAATAATGATAATGATTTTCAGTCACAAAATCAAAATAAGACATAAATCACGATTCTTTTGCTTCTTTTTTTTTTTGATTTGTTGTTGTTTTACATAAATGTTTTTTTGTGTGTGTTTAGAATAACAATAAAAAAAAAATATATTGAAGTGACCAAAAACCACTCAAACTTTAAATGTTTATTGTTTTTTTTTCGTTGTTGTTTGAGTGTTCGCTTCATTCATTTATTTATGATAATTGTCGTTGACCATTTTCTTGATTTGAATGAATAATGGGCCACATCAATGACCGGAATATGAAAATGGTAATCATCCAACAATTTGTTATAATGTTTTTTTCTGGTTGTTTCCATGTAACCAACATGAAACCTGAATTTTGTTGCAATAAAAAAAATTGACTAATCATCATCATTTGCATTTACATTTGCACCAAATGTTTTCATTATTTGTTTCCAAAAATTTGCAACAAAAAACAATAAAAATGTGAACATTTCTTTGATTGTTTCCATTCTGATTTCCATTTTTATTCTTTCAAAATGATTCTCAGCGTGAACAATCAACGACAACAACAACAACAAAAAAATTCATAGAAAATGTTCCTCATTTCAATTTTGTTTTGTTCATTTTCATCAGATGAACGAAACAAAAGTTGATTACCCAGAATAATTATGATTAAAAATGATGATGATGATCATCATTATTAATAATAATGATCATCATCATCAACAATTGTTCAAATCGAAAAACAATGATCCAGAAAATTATTTGAAAAATTTTTCAAGTATTTTTCATCCAAGGAATTTTTTTCTTTTTCATCATTTTTTTTTCCATAAGCATCCAAATGCTTCAGGCACATAATGATGGGTTTTTTTTCTGCAAAAAAAAATCATTTTTCTTCCATTTCAATGAATTTTTTTTCCTGGAAAGATTTCTCATTTTTTTTTCTCTTGCTACTGTTACAAACATTTTTTGATCGAAACAAAGAGACAATCGTATCGTGAATCATGATTCAAGTGGTCCAAATAAAAAGTCTTGCGGGTAATTTTTCTTTTGATTTAGATATTTCTCTCTCTCTGTGTGTGTATGTTTGTTTTTTCATTCTTTCTCGTTTTTTTATCAGTTCAAGTTGTCGTTTAATTACAAATTATTTATCGATAAATTACACCAATACGTGACCTTTTATTGATCTGATTATCATTATTCACATTGTGTGTGTGTGTGTGTTCGTGTGCGTGTATGTCTGTGTGTTTTATACTGAAATGAGATCCGGATTTGTTTACTTTTTTTGTTGTTGTTGTCCTACTTGTTCAAATTCATATTGATTGATTGTTTGTTCGATCAATCGATCGATCGATCAATTGATCATGATGATAATGTGTTGTGAAAAAAAAATTTTTTTTTTTTGCCAATATAATCCTATTATATCATGAGATAATTATCTTGCTTTGATATGTGGACAACGATGATGATGAACAAAATTTTTTTTTTTTTTCACAAATTTTTCCAATGGATTACAAATCTAAATTTCATGATTTTCATCGATACATTGAAATGTTTGGAAAACATATACACAAACCCATTATATAGGGTGAAAAAAAATTCACAGATAAAATGAATTTCATAACGATTTCTTGATTTCCTGATTTAAACTATGTCGAACATCCTGTTTTTGATGGTTTTATTTTTGAACTCTTTTTTGGTGAGTGAAGAATTTATTAATTTCTCCCTGAATTATTCTTTTCGACAGAATTTTTTGTATGCACACCCGCACCGAAAAAAAAAATTCAAAATATGAAATAATGTTTGATTATGAATTTGAAAGTGAACGAAACAAAAAAAACAAATTGATCAACCAGAAAAATGAACCAGCTCCCGTACATTCATCATTTTATGTAAAAATCATTGAAAATGAAACAATGGAACCAGAAAATAAAATGTGGCTGCTCCAAACAAATGTGGCTGGATGTTCATCATGATGATGATGTTGTTTGCAATAAATGTGGCCCCATTGGAACCAGAAACAAAAAACCATATATTGTATTCATTAAAGCAGCAAAAATTTTCGTATGTTTCCACTCGGTAATTCAATCGAATCACCATTATCCGTTTTCTTTTGTTTTCATTTTCAAATTTTTTTTTCTCTGGCTCTTGTATTCATATTGAAAATCTGATGGCTAGAAAATTGTCATTCCTATATGGCCGATTGAATTGTTTTGTTTTTGTTTCGTTTTGTTTTTTAACGAAAAGCAAAACGAAACAAAAAACAATAACAAAAACAACAACAACAACTTTATAGTTTGTTAAATTGACCGAAAATTTCATCATTTGACAAACAAAGAATATTGTATGTTTGAAACAGGAAATGGAATGATTTCCGAGAAAAAAAACTTTCAAAAGTTGTGAATAAAAAAAAGAAGAATTTGAATAATTTTTGTTCTCGTCGTCGTCGTCGTCGAAATCCTTTCATTTCCCAGAAGAGAGTAAAAAACCAGAAAGAAAATTTCCTGAAAAAAAAATTTTTTTTTTGCCCCGGTCAAATTGAAAAATCAAAATTCCAATAATCCACAGACAACGAAAATGATGATGATGATGATGATGATGATGAAAAAAAACAACCAGCAACACTCATAATCATCACATTGAATCTTGTGATTTCCCATAATCTATTCACTGGATTCTGGAATGTGGGAAACAAACGTGTGTGTGTGTGTGTGTGTGTGTTTTCTTATTTTCTTTTTTCAAAAGTTGATTCTTTAAGATTCTAGATAAGTAAAAGAAGGATGAAAAAAAAAATTTCCAATTTATTCGAATAAAGGAAAATAAAAGTCAAGATTGAACCAAAATAAAAAAAAAAAATGTCGATTGTTGTCATATTTATTTGACAGCTCTGAAAACACTAACACCAAGTGGATGGTCGTCCACAAACACACACACACACACACACACACACACACACACATGGACATTTTAATCATGTTTATTATGATTCCGGTTTATTAAATTCAGTGTTTTTTTTCTCCTTTTTCAAAACTTTTTTGTTTTGTTTGTTGCAGTGATGGCGATGATGATGATAAATTCTCTAGAATTCTTAAAAAAACTTGACCAAAAATGAAAATAAGTAAAGAAAAATGATATCCATCCGAATTGAAAAACGAAACGAACAATTATTCTGTGCTTGCAATGTTTGGTTTTTTTTTTTTTTGGTAACACACACAAATGAAATGAAAATGAAAATGAAAACATCTGATAATCTTACACTATTGGTCAATGATTGTCAAAATTGTCGATAAAAATCAAACAACCGAAAAAATGGTAAATTTCGTTTCAATTTCGTTTCAAACTCAATCATCATCATCATCATCATCATCATCATTGACATTCATTCAATTAGATTATTTTTCTCACGTATACAGTATCATTTTGCTTTGTGTTTCAATCAGAAAAAAATGCTCAGTTTTTTTTAGTTGCTCATTTCATTTATCCATCTATCTATTAATTATATATGATTCCAGTGCTTTTTATTCTTGCTCTCTTGCGATCCAAAAAAAAAAAAATATTTATTCAGCCATTTTATTTACGGAAAAAATCATTTCATTTCCACACGAACACAGTGGAAAAAAAACGGAAAATAAAGTAAACAGGGTGATGAAATGAAAAAACAACAAAAAAAAATCAAATCAAAGCAAAACATGAACAAAAACAAAAAAAAAACTTTTTAGAATCGTATAACAAAACAAAACAGACCGACAAAAACAACAGGAAATAAAGTTATTATGAAAAAAAAAAAAAATAAAACGAATCTTCTTTTCTTTTCACACACGCACGAATGATTGTCATTGACAGCCAAGAATCTAACTGACCAACCAAGAAAAAAAAAGAAATAGAATCCATATAGAGATAATGATGACCATGTTGTTGTTGTTGTTTCTAATTCTATTGTGAAATCGGTTATCGTGAAAAAAAATGAAAAAAAAATTTCCTTTTTTTTCGTTCCATTTATCTTTAACGTTTTTATTTCTCTCCGGTATAATGGTGCAAAATGACCAGTGTGTGCGTGTGTGTGTGTTTTTTTGGTTTGTCTGTTGATAACCAGAAAGTGAGGGTAGAGAATTTGATGGTAATTTCTTCTCCTCTTCGTCTTTTTTCGTTTTTTTTTACTTGATCCCATCATTAGATGAATTTTTCCATTTTGTACTATAGTTTAGGTCAAGTTTTAATTGGAATTTTTCAATGAATACAGACACTAGAATCCAAAAACATCTTTTCATCATCATCATCATCATCAACATGGCCTAAAGAAAGAAAGAAAGAAATAAAAAAAAACTCATCTTTACAATATAACTAACAAATTGGCTGCATGGTAGTACTCAGAATTCTTTCTTTTTCTGATTTTTTTTTTGAACAGAAAAAGCAAATTAACGGCAATCATAATTAGAGGCTAAATAAATCTTGATGACAGATGAACGAAATTCGTAATAGAATAAAAGAATTCAAAGCAAACAAAAAAACCCGTAGAAATTCGTTGTTCGTGTTTGGCTGTAATATTTTTTTCACTTTCTTTCATAACATGAGCTTGATATATATATGTAAATTATGGATATGCATGTTTTTTTTTTCGTTGCACTATTTCATTGCGGCCACTATTATCATTCATTTGATTTCAGGTTATTGATTACAACAATAACGTTGCCGAAATGAAATGGAATGGCATGCAAGCAAAAAAAAAAATCACTCGATTCTGAATTTTTCTAATTTAATCCGAAATAAAAAGAAAAAGAAAAAGAAAAAGAGAGAGAGAACGGGAGAAAAATAAAAGATAAATTTTCATTTCAGTATAGAGAAAAAAAATGTGTTCAAATGAATTCAGTTTGTTTATGGTTGAAAAGTTTTCTGAATAATGAATTCTAACGAAATAAAATTCCTGTGTATGTGTGTGTGTGTGTGTGTCTGTCTGTTCTGTCTGTCTGTTTGTGTGAGTTCAT